ATAAGTTAAATGTTCACCTTGAACCCCAAATGAAAGAAAAATGAAAAATGAAAAATGAAAAAGAAAATGTATAGCACTTTTCAGGGGTATAATAAGGGACAGTTAGTGTAGAAGGGTAAGACTGTCAGATCACGACAGTAGGGTAAACGAATGCCTCGACTTTTGAAGCTTTCGATACTCGGCCACAGCTGGGCTAAGTGAGGATTTCTGGGGCGATCCTTCGACATCACCAGCAGCATCGTGGCCAGGTGCCTGATTCCTGGATCTCTCACGCCCTTCCTTTCCGGTAATGTAATAATGTTCGTCGTCTTCATCCATTTCTATCCTCCACCGTTCGCTAAGCTGACGGCCTTCAGGCCCGGCACCGCAGGCTCCCTGTAATCGAACACTCGATGGGCTATTCAGCGCCAAGGCAAATATATTTTGGGGTTCAGTGAAGTCGGTTACCTGGGTACCCCGAATGTCGAAGTACATGTACGCCAGGCAAACAAGATTGGTCAAAAACACATGGACAAGGACGACATAGAAAATCTTTTGCCAAGAATATGTGCCGCCAGATGCGTATTCGCTGACGCGAATAGTAGCCGGGAAATCCTCGTAGACAGTCTTGCCATCCTCAATTACTGGGCTTTCACCGTACTCCCAGTACTGGGAAAAAGTGGCACCTTCTGTGCTTTCTAAGAGAGTTGAGCTTCCCATGGCTGCTAACGCTTCTGCCAATGAGGGTAATCGAGGATTGAGAGAGTACTCCTTCGTCTCATTCTTAAAGCCTCCGGTTAGCTGCATGAGGAGTCTAGCGTTGCTCGAATGCCCGTCGGTAATGCCTGTTCCTAAACTGACTGAGTTCACCCAGTTCGACGCTACATTTTTCCAATCGGGATCGATCAAAAAGGGCTTAGACTTATGTGCCGTTCGATGATACGCCAATTCGTCATCTTTGTCCCCGCAGTTAACCCCCATCTTACCCCCACTTGCTGCAGCGTGGTATTGGGTTGAGCATTTGGATGTGGTCCCTCCCTTAATACTACAAAGAACATATGGTGAACTCGTCTCTGATGGAGGTGACGCGCCGAGTAGATAGACAGAGTGTAACGGATAGCGACCGGAACCGTTCACTATCGTATTATAGTGTGCGGGCAGTCTTGGGAAAATGGGAGCTTGCTGGTCTCCCTTTTTACCAAATCCAAATATGTCATCGACAACTGTTTCATTCAGCATATCAGGGGAAGTAGGAATATCACTCGGCGCAGATGCCGGCCAAGCTGAGAAGTTGAGTTTCTGAGCATAGGGCCATTTCGAATATACTATCGGAGTCAGCTCATCTTCAGTCATGCCAACACAAGTTACTTGGATAGCAGGAGACGCCACTGAAGCAGAAATGTAGAATTCTCCAAAGCCGGCGAAGTCAGATGGCTGTCGCAGTTTGTTACGGGGATCTCTTGAGGCTACGAATACTCCAGCATGCGGCATGGCAGCAGTAGCAATGTTGACCATTCTTCCGTGCTTCCTCGAAAGTTCTGTCATATTTTGGACATCAATCCACTCTCCAGAAACAGTGGTATTATCATACCAAGTCCCAGTTGGATATGGCCGTTCCGATAAAGCGCGGGAGCTGAAATTGCCGGACCGTGATATAGTTGCCCAGTCGGCAAGGTACTGCTGGTAATTGTGGTAGCTATGTCCAACATGCGTAAGTTGCATACAGGTGCCCCCGTACTCTAACGGGTCCATCTCAGGAGTAATAGGTGTCAAACATTTGTTGGCTAAATAGTCTTTATTTGCAAACTTCGACGCTACCTGACCATACAGCGTGGTGTCTTCGGTCGGTCCAAATTTGAGTTTTGGTGAGACTAGGGAGTATGAGCGGCAAGGTATGACTGTTCGTAGGAAAAGGACTCACCCAGTGTTTCAGCTGCAGTGGTATATAACATTGCCATCCATGCAGTAGTTAGAGCGGCCATGCCCAAAATAGTCATAGCGGAATAACGAACGTTTTCCCAGTGAGTTAAAAGCGTGCCAGGTTGCATTATCCAGCTCCGCATCGACATATCTGCAATAGAAATACCGGGAGATCGCTTCGCCAAAGCTCTGCGGCTCAACACTTGTCCTAGGAAGGCCACGAACACAGTCACGAACGACAATTCGATCGTCTTAGCAAAGAGTGCACTTAATAATGACGCTGTAGACGGTGATAGTCCGCCGTCCGTTCCGACGCGCCTTCCGTAGCGCGGCTTGACGCATGCGACGACGAGGTATATGCCTGAAAACGCAGTAGAGTAAAATGCGAGGATCAAGATACTGATGGACAACCATGAGGTGCGTCGTTGGACGACATTCTTTCGACTTGAGCATTTAATATTGCCTGAGTGGCCTGCATTCCTGTGTCAGCTGATCGCATCTCTAGCTTGATAGATTTCTATTTACCTCTGCCGCCTTCGCCTGGAGGATTCGACGTCGGGGTGTTGTGCACTAAGGTATGCGAACTCTCGAGATGGGTAGGGTACGAAGATAATAGATAGGCCTCAGATGGGGTATTTCGTGATGTATGGATTAAGTCATCCGGTGAGTCGCGGCCTTGTCCATGAAGAGCGTTGCTTGACGAGGACGATTGATTGCGGGAGCGTCGATCGGATCCATTATCGAAGACATTGCTGAATGCATCGCCGTAACTACCAAGTCCTAAGCCAACCATGCTGGATGGGTTGGCATGCAGGGCTCTCTCTGGACTGGTCGAATGTGAAGTACGGCGGTGTCGAGTATCATCAGCCGAAGGAATCCGCTCATATGGCGACCGCGAAAGGTCGGGGTTCCGGCCCCGTGAGAAGACGGCATCGGGTTGCGATATCGTCGGTCGTGAGCTTGGCTCCGGTGGTGACTCCATTCCTCACAAACGACAGGATTGTTGAGTTTGCGCAGAGGCAAGGATCCAGCGCAAATATTATAGTGATGGATTCATGCCGTGGAGTACTGTAATTGGGCGCTGGGAGCGAGCAAGAACACTTTCAGCGACAGTTTGGCGGGGTTCAGCAAGCAGAGCGGCTTGGGGGAAAGAAATTTCGAGCTGGAGCTTGGAGCAAATATAGATTGCACACGGTGAGGGCGATCACAGCCTGACGATGAGCGGGGACGAGAGATCGTCACATTTATCGACTAACAAGCCAGTGCTAAAGTTAACAGCTTGGAGATGTCACCAAGAGTGTCAGAAGGGCAAAGGACAGCAGAATGGGTGCGCTTGGGCCTTGTCATGCAGTATCCTCACTAACCGAAGCACCAGAAACCCACAGACCGCTGGGACTCTTTGCAAACCCACATCCTAAAAGGCTGGAGAGGGAGCTGCCAGCCTAGTGAGTTCGCCAACTCCCGTGCTGCTTGGGCCATGCCGGCTGTGCAGTGCAGTGGTTGTGACTGGACAAACGAAAATTTATCCAGCCTTGTCCAGTCCACTTGACCAACATTTGTGTGATAAGCCATTGCGGCTGCTGGGAAAAACAAAGCGACTCCTGCATTGGCCCTTGTGTTCAAACCGGTTGTTTGCTTCTGCGAGGTCGAGGTGGAGGGTTTTGCGCATGGGGCGACAAGGAAGACCCCTGTGCGGTTGAACCGCCACTGTTCGCCTGAGCCGTTCGAACGGCACGACTAACGGCGGCGCAACACCAACAAAATCGCGGGATCGCCAGCACCAGGACCATCTTCCACGTCGCCGGCCAATCAAGAATCCGAATATTCGTTAGTTACGGGTTCTCCGTGGAGGCTTTGAGGTGCCGACTCAACACGCCAACGAGGCTGGGAAGTTGACTTTGCAGAATTCAATTGCAATTCCCCTCTCGCTTTCCCGGCTCTCTGTTCGAAGCAAGGCACCGGAGTAACAGCGACGACCCCGTAGATATGGGTCAGATAACTGTCGATGGTGAGAAGGAAAAGGACAGCGGAACTCGTCGCGAAACGATCTTCCCTCCCGGGGGCCAAGCTTGAAAACCCTTTCTAGCAAAATGACCGCCCCTGTCGAACGTTCTCAAAATCTTGCGCAGATAGATGGAGGGACATAACTAACGTATCTCTCTCGCCCTCTATCTCTCTGTCTCTGTCTCTCTCGCGTGCGCACTTCCCGTCGAGTGAGCTTATTCTCAACGGCTCCAATAATGGCAGCACTGTTGAGTAGGAGATCTGCGCGGCGGTTGAGCTCTGTGATCCTTCATGCTCGATATCGTTTCAATTTCTTCAATGCAACCACTGATGGATCGATGGTTTCTCCTCGAGCTGGCGAGTCAAACCCACTCGCATGTATCGTTCTCTTCGACATCTGCAGCACTAATGTTTGAAAATCATGGCTGGACGGGCTTTAGGATGGTCCGCACGCTCTGATGAAACCTTCGGCCGCAGACGCAGCATACTCCCGGGCTGCCACATTAACTAATGCCAGTTGGCCGAGAGTACCAAGGGCAAACTTCGGCCAGTACTTACTCCGTAGTTACCCCGGACTTTTTTTTTTCTTTTTTCTTTTTTTTTTTTCCAAAGTTTCTAGCACTGCCCATATACGTTACTCATTATATTCGGCAGCAACTTTAATTCTAGGAGACTGGTTCCAATGCCTGCTATTGTTCTCACACCGGAGCAACATCGCTTTTCCAGCAAGCCAATGTGTTTCATGCTATCAAGCGACTGCTAGTAAATACACAAGGCCCAGGAATTCAGGCTCTGCTCAGATTTACATGATCTAACCGTCTTATTTAGGATCCCTTGACTTGCCAGGTATAGTCCATAACTACTCCGTACTCCCGTAGGCCTTTTAGACCGACGGCCGATCGGAACCCAGTCTTCCAAGATTCTCGGCCTGCTTGCCGAACAGGAAACCTGCCAAATTGCCCCTCGGCCCCGGCTCTCAAAGGCTCGAGACAATCTGAGCTGTTGAGGATGTCTATACATCATTTCGCTGGTCTCAGATTGCACGTCGGACTGGAAGGCCCCGGCGCCTTCTCCGGGGTTTCAGTCTTTGGAAGGACTCATGTAAAAAAATGGGTCTCACATCTATTATTCTAGGCCGTATCGAAGTTCGGCATTGAATATTGCGGAAAAGAAAAGAAAAAAAAAAGGAATGAAATCAGACTCCCAACACATCAGCCTTCAAAAGCCTGTCTACCGGTCTCCGTCCTCTCCAAAGTCAACTCACGGATGGCGAAGCAAGTGAGCAGCCCAATTCCAGAGATGACAGTCATGGTGATCCATACGGTTCTTGTTGCATCGGTGTACACGTCAAGGATAACCAACTTCTCAACTCTAGGTAGGTCTAAAGTCTTCAGGGTTGGGATCATGCTTATAGCCGCATATCCATCTGCCAGGCCTTTTAGCGGCCCCGGTAGGTTGACGTTCTTGATCTCGGCAGCAAACTTATTCGCAAAGATACCCGAGCCTAGCGCAACACCTATGACGGCGCCCAGCTGACGAGCAAAAACAAATGTCCCCATAGCAATCCCTGCCTGTAATTCATCGCTCGCAGCCTGGACGGGAATCCCAAGTCCTGGGAAAAGGATCCCTAATCCAAGAGCAGCAACAACTTGCAGACCCACCCGATCCGGAACCGAAGTGTGTGAATCATATAAAATAAACAGCCCCATTCCCACCGTCGAAAGGAGCCATCCGGACCAAGCTGCCCATGTGTATCGGCGAATGTATTCAATTGCGAATGCTGTAGCGACCGCGCTAATTGAGACGCCCACAGAAAGGGGTAACGCAGTGATGGCACCAGATATGGGTTCTAGCCCGAGAGAACCTTCGAAGTATATTGGAACATAGAACACAACCGTGTAAAGAACGAGCCCGTGTAGGAATGCTCCGAGCAATGCACCCCAGCGAGTGGGGACCGTAAAAAGCCAGTAAGGAAGCAGAGGCGTTTTCGAATACCCTTCGTACACCCCGAACGCAATCAATAGCAGTATCCCAAATACTAGCGGCACAACCGTACCGGCAGAAGTCCACCGGTACAAGCTCCCAGCCCACGTAATAGCCAGAGCAAAGAGCGTGAGGCCGGGGATAAACAAGGCTATTCCAATCCAGTCGACTTTGGCGAATTTAGTTCTCAGCGATTCCGGGATTGTCTTTAAGCGCAGAAATAGTGGTACCAGCACAACAGGGAAAATTAGGATTGGCAAGTTGATCCAGGCAATCCAGCGCCAGGAAACAAGCTCTGCGAACATACCGCCAATCAACGGACCAAACGCTGAACCGGCAGCCCAAACAAAGCTCAAGATACCCAGATAGAGCGGACGTTCTGCGAGCGTGGTGATATCAGTGAGAATTATTTCCGAAAGGGCTTCTAATCCGCCTCCACCAACGCCTTGGACAGCACGGCCTGCAATCAACGTCTTCATGTCCCTGGAAAAGCCGATGATGAGCGAGCCAACGCCAAACAGAACAATGCAGCAATATAAAATTTGCTTGCGGCCAAAAATATCCGACAACGCAGTGTGAACCGGCTGAAATAGAATCGAAGTTAAGAGGAACGAAACCCCAGCGCAGAATGATTCAAGTGTTGTTCCCCCAAGTTCCTTTGCAATGATCTATCCTCAAGCAAGACACATATTAGGATCAACACTGAAAATGGATACATATCTTGGGCCTATGAACATACCGGAAGAGCAACCGAGAGACTGGTCGCGTCGAGGGCACTGGCAAATGCCACAGTCGCTAGAGCGAAGAAGGCGAGTCTGAAAGGCCATCCTTTCTTCGATCTCTTCGTGGGGTCTGGGGGTTCTTCGATGTCAAACTGCGAGGACGGAGGCAGTATCTGAATTTCATCCGAAAATCGTTCAGATACCTTCAAGGTAGGTACTGGCGGAAGCGGTTTGGACATCTTTGCAACCAGTTATGGGCAATCAACGAGATCATGTCCTAAAAGGGGTATCTATGTTTTCCTTTTAGTTTTGAGACTTGGACCATCTTGTTAATAGGGAAAATGAAAGATCAAAATCTAATGCAAAGTCGTGGCGCAGGTATCCATGGCAAAATCCCCGTATGGATTACGCCTACAACATTTCAAAGGAGAAAATGCGCCGTGTCTAGAATCCACATGCATAGTTAAGGCTATACAGAGACATTGTCCAAACAGAGTTACACTGTTTGATCCACAGGGGGCTTGTACGAAGGGGTCCGTTGAAGAAAGCTGTAATACCGACGGTGGCTGTCGCAAGTGTCAGGATATTCCAGGATATCGTGCCATGAGGACGAGTTCCTGTAGGAACCGGCCACATTAGAAGATTGCTGTGTTTCGTAGTCGGCAGTCACACCTTTTGCCGGGAAGATATGGTTGCACCTTAAGGGGGTGTCCATGGCTCTCATGTGGCAATGAATGGGGGTAAGGCCTAGTCGAGCCTTTCATCGTTCAATCAAATCGCATATTCAACACGTTGGAAGAGAATCTTCACTTAGTATACAACTCCACAACGTACGAACGTTGTCCTGTGGATGAAAGCCAATGTCCAATGTCCATTCTGAAGTGCCGATTCCAATTCGGTCGGGAGGAAGTAAGGCTGAGTTCGGAGCTTTAACTATTTCGAGTTTAAAACCCGACCATTCCGGATACTCTAAAACATGGCGCATCTTTTTAGATGTCAAATACTCCGTACAGAAAGGCAATCTATGTATTCCAAGACGTAATCGGGGGCCATAACCCAGCGAAAGAAAAAAAACAGTCATTCTACGATCTTCAATCGGTTTCACTCCTGCTTTTCGGGAAGAGCAACAAGACGAGGTATCAAAAAATAGTCTCGCGAAAGCCTGACAACGGCCCCTCGATCCATCACGCCGCTCTGTAAACGAATGTATTCGACAAAAATGAGATAGTAATATACCCCGAATGCAGTAAGAATATGCCACCTAGATGAATCGTTACCGTATCGCCCAAAAAAAATAGGGCAGGAGAGAAAATACGTCCACCCTTACCAGCTATGGAGTTCCAACAGCATTCCTAAGGGCATTCCCAAAATTTGACGAATGCCTCGAAGGTCGTCGCACGAAAAAACATCAACCAACCACAGAAGAAAGCCGGCCAAGAACGTAACTGGATTCGAAGAGAGTCAGCTCAAAAATTTTGTACCAGTGCAAGTAATAGAGACACCCAAGTTACCTGATCCTACGAGAGCAAGGCGTTTCATTTCTGATCGAATGGCTGCATTTCCGACACCACGTAACAACCAGGTACATCGCGCGGCCACCACGATGACCATAAGGGCAAAGCAAACACGATGGGCCAAAGAGTTCTCCTGCTGGATGTGGAGAATAGTAATAACCAGTGAACCGGTAAAAAAGGAGAGGCCAAGCATCAGCTGAACCAGCGGCCTCAATCGAAATGCGAATACGGCGTAAATGACGGTGGCAGTAGCATATAGCATTGCCATTTCATCAACTGATGTCCCGCCATATTAGTAAACCTGGCCGCCAACCAACAGGGACCTTGCAGCAGACCTATCTGGGCCGGGAACTTCAGTGTAGAGTGGAAGGCTATGGATCCGACACCCACTCCTGCCAGCTGCAAATAGCTTAAGAGAATCGCGTAGTCCCCTGCCCGTCGTTCAGAGCAGAACAGGCCCCTCCACGCGAGATATACTGACAGATGTCATGTTAGACCTTGAGAATAGAAAAGCGGGGTAAGCTATTAAAAAGAAAAAGAAGAAAGAACTAACAATACGCAAGGTTTGACATTGTATTGACAAACTCTGCGATGTATGGTGTAACGATATAATCCTAACGCCAGCAATATGCCAGAGACACAGGTTAGCACATGAAACAATTTCAAGGAACTCATTGAAACCCAATAAACACGAGGGTGACCGACAAGCTCGCAGAAGCTGACATCAAGTTAGTCTTGGAAGCGTTCAAGAACCCAAGCTCTCCTTTCCGAGGAATCCACTCACTTCATTGTCGAAGTCCTTGGACTCCAGAAGCCCGCCGGGGGTGGGGAGGGATAAGTCCAACCAAAGATTGCCATCGCGGTTATCCTGTCGACCCAGTTGTTTGGAACAGGTTTCCAGGTATTTCTCACAAATATTGGTGGCCAAGATAGCAAGGACCAATCTTAAAAGTAAATCATGTGCGAAAAGGCACTGAGTTATAACACGAGGCTGTAGAAATTTGTCTCAACGCTCCATCAGCCCTATCAGGGACACCTTGCCTGTGTTTTACATACTGTTCACAACAGATCATCAAAACCCCATTCGATTGGCCAATCAAAGTACTGAAGACCCTGTTGGTTGTTCAAACCAGCTCCGACAGATTGACTGAACCAGAGGCCAGTTAGCTTGACTGCAAAGTTAACTGGTATTATTAAGGTGATAATGACGATGATGGTGGTGATGGTGCTGGAAAATATTAACCTCTTCATTATGACGGGCAGTGCTCTCGGGAACCCTGAACCCGAATCAGATATTCATCTTCAGGTGACTAACGCACCCAGCAGGCATACATGCAGACATATGAAGAACAGTGGACGGCTGAATCACTGCAGGGCATGGGAGCTGACCTTGTGGTCCGGAGACCTTCATAGAACCGTCCCAACGGACTGATGTTGGGCGGACGCCACTGCCAAGCCGCAATCTAAAAATAACTAAGTAACCAGCCAACTTTGTCCGTGACTTCATCACTATTAACTAGCTACCTCCAAAGATCTCAATCCTACAAAGTATGTGCAAAGCGATCCAGCTACCAGTTTACCACTGGCTCTACAAATCATTGGGAGAACTCTGCAGCGGATTTTGGAAGATTCGAGTCGAGAGGTTGGAGGCCGTTGTAACCACGATGTACTCTAAAGAGGTTGACAAAGGTTTGGATTCCCAGCCCGTTAGGTTAACCATCATCCAAGTCAACCATGTATAAAGTTAGCCCCGTTTGCGTATTCGAATTCTTATTCGCTTTTGGTTCTACAATCCTGAGCCTGTTGTGTTCGATCCGCCCCGCCCGACCACGGACATGGTTCAATATTCCCATCAGTTCCTAAGTACACACATACGCACATACTCCGTACGTTTGGTTCGAATCCACCTAAGATTCCTCAGTCCCTGCAATGTTCTCAACACGTGCACTTGGCCCTGCGTTGTGTGGATTTTTTGGTATCCCTGTGGCTGTGTCTAGGCTGCTGGAAATGGGCTACTCCTTAGCCTGACGGTATCCCTTAAGATCCGCTGCTGCGTGGACATCCCTGGCTCAGCTCATATACATACCCTCTAGCCAGATTTCGATGAAGAGACTTTTCAGTCAAGAAATCTACTTTCACAACTGTATTACCCTGTGGAGAGTAGATCTTCCGTATACTGAACACCCAAAAATCTGCTAGCTCTATAGAGGAGTTATATCGCCCTACAATATTGATAATATCACCTTTCCAGCACAATATCTGCAATCCTATAAACAGTAATGCTCCACTCAAAATAGGCTCTCCCTTCTCAAAGTCATTTGCAGAATTTCACTCCGAACTTCCGTTCGCGACACCCTCAATTTCCACTACATGAGCTTGCTTAGCCAGCTGCCGTCCGCGTTCATACCGAATTCCTGTATCACTGCCCTTCCAGATAGTGCCGAAGACCCTATCCCAGAACGAGAAAAACGGTTGGGAGAAATTAGTCTGTTGAGACCCGTTAGCCTTGGAAATCGACTCTTTACTCCTAATTCCAGGAAGCAAGTTTTCCTACCTTCATTCCCCAGCTTTGGTGATGGATATCGTGATACAGAGCATTGTTGTCTGTAAAAAGCTGAAGCGGATCCCACGGTAGCAGGAAGCCCGAATGGTCATCGACCGTTTTCAGCGTCGCGAAAGTGAAGAAATAGATACCCTGGCGTATGCTTAATTGAGCCACCCTAAAGGCGAGAAGAGAGCCGATCGTGTCTTGCACAAAGCCTTCTAGTGGATGGTTATATAGAGCACCAAAAGCATATGGCACATAGAGCTGATGGTGTTTATAGTGGAAGGTGCCTAGACTCTTTTAGGCGCTGGCTTCATTTCATATAACCAGATACTCATCGCCAGTGGTCATGGACTTACGATAGAGCCACCTATTCTTATGCATGCACCAGTGAATGCCATATTGCCAGCTATCGACGAAGAACGCCGCAAGAGCATATTGGAACGCGGGGATCTACGGAGTTAGGAGCAACGCCCTGTTGAACTAGGAATTGAATACCATGACTTACAAGAACATAGTAAATGGTCTTAGCAACCGCCACTTCCCACCCGGCAAATCCGACAGCAGATGCACATTGGGCTGGCAGCTTGACCTTCTCAGCAAGGCTAAGTAGGTCTATACCCGTGATCGCAAATAAAGACGGAAGATACCCTTTCCCAAGCTGAATTCTTTGCACCCACGTAGCAATATTCTGTTGTTCATTAACGATTTCATCAGGTTCGAAGTATGCCAGGCCAATCCCCACGACAACTTGTAACACATGTTGGATGAGGACGCCCTGGATGACATCCCTTTTGCGAATCCTATTTCGCTTCAAAAACTCCTCCGGGGTATGGAGTTTATATTTTGAGAGCCAGCCATTGTCGTCACAAGCTTGGAAAATTAGGGAAAAGAACCAGTAAACGGCAACGGGAAGAACGACAATAAGAATTTTGTCAGGGATGAACGGTATGAGAGATGAAGCTCGAATATCAGGGCTGCTTTCCGCCGTGACTATGGGTATCATTTTATTAGATGAAAATGTAAAGTTCATTGTTGCGATTTTCCAGCCCAAAGTTGGCAAAATAGTAAATGAACAATGAGAATGCCAATCAAAGTCTCTCAGAATCGAGTCTCCCGAGCAAGGAGATGAATTGCTGGGAAGAAGGTTACCTGTCAAAATATATCATGGTTGATCGTATATATCCGATACCATATATATATTTTTGAGCTCTCGGGGCAGTTCCCCCGCCCCCCTACCCAGGGGCAGCAGTGCAACATGATCAAATCGAGACATTCCCCGACTGCATCCCTTCATCTTTTTTGCAAACTCGACCTACCACTTCACGAAATATGCAGATCCGGCCCGCCGAAGGAAAAAATGCGGACCCATTGATTCCAATGAAGATTTTACTTCAACACGAAACGATTTCCAGCGGCAAACCCCGACACGTTGCGGCATGAAAGACTACCCTGGAGTTACTCAGACAATTGGACCCAATTCGGCCACACTAGAACTTGCTTTTCTCTCGTTGGATACGATTTTGTGGTTCACGGCCAACATGAAGCCCCGTCTCCCACGCCCGCTCGGATCGCAATCGAGTGGTAGTGCATTGATAGCCCTTCGGTGGTTGTATGCAGGATGCAGGGATTGCCAAGTCCAGTTTCCAATGCAGCCATCAGCCTTATGGAGTCCTCCTATTTGAGTAACGTTTGGGGCATTGAAAGAGCTGAGACGAGAATTATCCAGTGAGGATCCAAAATAAGGTAACCTAGAGATATTGAATACGGAGCACTGGATATATTATTCCAGAAGATATAGTCATTAGCCGCACGAGAAAACAAGCAGTTTTCAGCTCTAACCCTGTAGCTTGCATTAGATGGTCACTACTCAGCACGAATAAAAATTCAAGCTGCAATGAAACCTTTCATGGAGCCTAGGTCGACGGAAGGGCTATGTTCGATGGTGACATTCCTATTCCTTGCTCATACCTAGAAGTTATCCCTCAGCAAGTGCTTCAAAAGCGGGAAAGTTCATTATTTGTTTGCAACGACTCTAAACAAGCTGAGTTCTGCATGCTTAAAATAGCTTGTCCGTACGGCTGAAAGCCCGATGTTAAACTGATCAACACACTTCTAGCCTTGCAGATTTGTGTAATGTACATACTTTGTACTCTGTGCCTCGTAATGTAATTCTAGAAGATTTCCTCATCCAGCTTTTATTCGGCCCCACGAACAAATTGAATCTTCAAAAAGGATCAAAGTGCTGGACGTCACCTTGAGACAATCTTCTCTTTCCTCTATCCACTTCTTAAATCACCTCGCTCTAACATCGAATCGGTTGTAGAGTATGGACGGCAAAGTAAGTCGCACCTTGCTAAGTTGGGGAGCGTTTTGGGCTAAACAACGCAATAGGTAGCAGTAATTGCAGGGGGTTCTGCTGGGCTTGGGTGTGAGTTAGCATCACAGCTGGTGCAAGCTGGTGGGTATATCCAAACCTTCCCTTACAGTGCGCCATTGACAGCTGCTCCTCAGGTGCTGATGTTATCATTCTGGCTCGCAATCGCGAACGCCTAGAGGCCACGGAGCAAGAATTACTCGCCCTCCAAGTTCGGAAAAACCAAAAGATCTGCGGAAGATCAGTTGACCTTACGGATTATTCGCAGGTAACTTTCTTTAGATCCTACATTGTAGGTAAAACAATGCTGATGCCTAAGGTTTAGATTGAAGCGTTTGCTCAATCGCTTGATGTTTCCCCTGGATATGTCTTTTGCGTAGCTGGTGGTTGCGCTGAAGAAGTTGGCTTTTTTGCCGATATTTCATCGCGGGACATCGTGTCTTGTTTCGAGAAGAACTACTTCTCATCCGCGTTTGTCGCCCATGCCTTCATTCGGCAGTGGATCAACCAGCCCAAAAGGTCAGAGCCCAGGCATCTGATATTCACAGGGTCAACTGCTGCTTTCATCGCAATCCCAGGCTATGCGGCATACACTCCGACTAAAACAGCACTCAGAGCACTGGCTGATACCCTTCGCCAAGAGGTGTTGATGTACGAATCGCACGTCAACATCCAAGTCCACTGTTCCTTTCCAGGGACTATTTTTACCGAGACATTCGAAAAGGAGCAGCAGAAAAAGCCGGATCTCTGCAAGGAGATTGAGGGCTCGGATGATGAGAAAAATGGCATGACTTCCTATGCAGTGGCCAAAGGTATCATTGACGGTCTCAAGAAAAACCAATATTTTATTGCTCTAGACATGCAGACAAGGCTGTTGCTAAACAATATGCGAGGGCCAAGTCCAGCAGAGTCTTACGTATGGGATTGGCTCTTGTGCATAGCGGCATCGGTCGTATGGCCGATTTTCCGTCGTATCTTCGACAGAAAAACAAGGATATATGGAAGAGAAAGGGTGCAGAAATCTCGAGAGTAGGAATATTGTTAGATAGCAAGGCTATACTTAGGAAATGGAGACAATGATGCTGTGGAAGCGTGGACTCAGAAAGTAACAGCTGCCCCTGGGCTGATAGAACATGGAATACTCGGCGAAACGAGTCATTTTCTCAGAAGGAATAGGCCGCTGCCCAATCTCAAGCCCCGATTCAATTCGTTACTATGCGAAATGTTAGTATATCTAGCTTTATCATGCTATTTGCTGCTTAGAACGGGGCCACCGGGGTTTCCGAGCAACCATTTTTGGTAGAATAACCGTCGAATCCATGGTAATCGTGGCTAAACTTCCGTTGTCTCAAACCTTGTACGTATCCAGGCATACCCAAGCCGTCCCGACCCAGCCCGAGGATAAGATTTGGTTTCGGGCTATGAGGCGGGCGAAACCGCGATAACCCGTAAAAAAAAATCGCGATTGGAAAGCGTTATGACGGTGATGGATTCCAACTGCAGCAAGTGCCCCATCGCAGGAAGTTATGGCATAGCTGTGGCAGGCTTTGACGTATCATGGCCTTCAGGATGGTCGTACAACCCCTGCGCCGCTTCCCTTTGTTACACCGCAGCGTCTAGCCCCCTGCGTAGGGCTGGAAAAGATATCCAACAGATGTGGAGTAGGCGAACGTAGATTGATTGTATCATGGCAAGTAGGTGCTTGCGGGAGGACATAAAAAGCATACAGACCACCCGGCCTTGATGGTGCATCCTCAAATCACACCAGATCCAAAAACGCATCCATTGGGAGTGCCTAACGCCTGGACTCTTGATAGACTGCCATATCCAAGTATTTGAACATAATATCAGGCGTCACCATAAACCATGCTCGGAATTTCGAAATTCAGACGGCGCTTCCCAAGGGGAGGTATTCAATTCGTACGAAAAAGCGGCGCGTCGTTTGTCGAAGAACATAGCGTAATGCCAATTGAAGATGCAGACGAAGCAAAATTGGCTGTCTCAGATTCCAAAGCCGGGTCTCTTGAAAATGATCCACAGAAGGTCAATTTCACACGACCCGTCGAACCTCCGGTGGCTTTAGTTGAGAAGTTCCTCTTCTTGATTTGGAGCATTATGCTTGTTCTCACCCAAGTCTGGAGCGATTTCATCGAGAAGAGACCATTCCGATATGTCTTGAAGTCTGATATCATGGCCCACTATTTTGTAAGTATAACTTTTCATAATAGAAACAGCACTGCTGACATCACCCAGTTCCTCCCTGCCGGCCGACACGATCCTCGCTTTGTGACTTCTGGGCCGTACAGCCGGATCAATGTCAAGATGATCCCCCCAAATGTGACAAGAAGATATGAAGAAGACACCGATTTATCCACCTTCGAAGAGGTGGAGATCATCAACTGTGCCTCAAACAATTATGGCGGCTTCACAGAGTTGGAAAATCGATCGGGAGAGATTATCGAAACGGCATTGCAGCTGCTACCTTTCGCTCCCGCACCAAACGCTCTAGAACTGAGGGTTCGTGCTAAGTGTGCCGAGTACATGAGTTGCGATGCCTGCGTCACTGCGCCCTCTGGCTTCAGTACCAACAGATTAATCTTTGCCACGGTTGCCGGGGTCGCTCGCAGTCAAGGCCGAAAGCTGGTCTTTCTATGCGACCGAGACAGCCATAATTCTATGTTCACTGGTGCATTCTTCAACAAGGAAGCTGAAGTGCATAAATTTGATCACAACGACTTGACTGACCTCGAGTATAAATTGCGCATGCAGCGTGAACAAGACCCTTCCGCTTTGGTTTGTGTTGCTGTTGAAGGGATTTATAGGTGAGAGCGCGGTCCTGAAAACCCCCTGGGAAGAATAGGAATGTGCTGACAGCTGAGTTGAATAGCATGGAGGGATCTGTGTCTCCAGGTCCGGCATTACTAGCGCTCAAAAAAGTGTATAATTTCGCATTGTTGGTGGATGAAGCGCATTCATTCATGGCTTTAGGATCTGCGGGTCGTGGTTCGTTCAACCATTGGGAAGACTTGGGATACAAATGCCCGCTAGAAGAAGTGGACGTCATGTCCTGCATGTTTTCCAAATCGGTTGGGTGTACGGGAGGCTTCGCATTGGCCAACGGTGTCTTCGCCGAGGAGCTCCGGAAGCAGGGCGAAACCCTCAAAGAGCGCGGCGTCGAAACCTTGTCCACAGTGGTGCTTCTGCGTATTTTGAACCTCCTAAGCAAACCTAAACTGATCCGGCATCGTATGTGCTTGCTCCGCAAGAAATCGGAATACATCAGCCGCGCATTGGGCAACGCAGGGTTTCGGATCCTCTCAACACCCGGTTCACCAATTGTGTGCTTTCCCGTTGGTAAGATCAATTTTATCACAAAAACATCCACTTCATCAAGACTGACGAGGTGCCCACTCTAGGTACCGTACGGCAAGTAATACGATTCCATGCAGAGGCTTTGAAGGAGGGTGTTGCCGTTACAGGTGGTGTGCCACCTGCCACCCCATTATGGTAAGCACAGTCCCAAGTCAATGGTGTCTCTAGAAATCTGGGTCTCGATATGTCAAGAGGTCCATTGCTCACAACCAAACAGGTGTTGTCGAATTCGTGTCTGCATCTTCGCTACCACCTCCTGGCCGGACATTTATAAACTTTTGGGGACGATGCTCCGTATTGGTCAAAAGGTTGGCGTCAACGGTATCTCTCCCATCTCTTTTGACGCTGGTCTTTTGGCTCAACAGGATCCCGAGGATTCAATGCTGGAGGTTGAAAGCAATTCGGTCGACAGTGATATGCTTGACTATGTGATCGAGTTGAGCGGCTCGACCAAGGGCTTGGCTGGCAATACGGAAGTCGTGCGGACTGGCATGGAGAGTATAAGGAAATACGGTATCGGCCCCTGCAGCGCTAGGTGGTTTTATGGCTCATTCGACATTTTCATCCAACTTGAACGCCGGCTGGCCAATCTATACCCTAGTCTTGTCGCCCAGTCCGGTAAATGTCGAGGTAAGATATCTAACCCAACGCGCGAGAGGGCACGTGTGACTGAATGCGTGCTAACATCATATATTAGGGATGATTTGTGGCGATGCTGAAATCACGCTCGGTTCCACAGTGGCGGCACTGGTCCAGCCATGCTCATCCGGCTCGACCCTGAACCGAGTTTTCATACCAAATAATGCACCACACAGCGTAATGGCTGGTGCTCGACTCAACCGACCGTCGAAACAAGTTGCGGCTACTTTCTACAATGCGGTAGAAGACATCGAGCTGCCAACGGGTCACAAGAACGTTCATGCCACACTGTACTTTGAGACAGTCAGAAATGGCATCCCGTTAGACCTGCACACGTTTATCCGGAAGATCGCTCCGAAAGTCAAACGGTCTGGAAACCTCACTGGCGCCACGATCATGTTCGACGACCGGAACGGTTTAGGGATGGTCGGTCCTCAGTCTCTTGGGTATCTCAACCTCATGGAAGCAAAACATGGCGTGAACTTCCTCAACGACGCGCTTCGACCCTTGCAGTGTGAAGTGGAAGTCATTGTGGCCGGCTCGTGGTTCGATGCATTTGGTCACCAGGGCGGATATGTGACAGGCTCAGCATCCAAGGTCGAATGCTTGACGTGGAACACTAAAGCGTTCTTCTTTTCTACACCTCCAATGCCCGTGCAAGCTGCGATGTCGGACCGCATGTTGCAGGTTCTCTTGAACAAAGATAGCAAAAAGAAAGCAGTGGCGTGGGAGTCGTGAGTCGCGAGCCGTTGATCGGTTCTCTGGTGATGTCAAATTGGCCAATAGAGAAGAGCTGTCCTGTCTTGTCGATGAATAATTAGATTTGCGCTTTGTCTTATTACGTCCACCGTACGCTAGATAGTTAATCCGAGATTATGTCATCATTCCCCCTGAGCACGTTTTCAAAAAAAAAAACCACATCTTTGCCCGGATTCATTCCAGCCCTGTAACTAAATGTACTCCATTCAGAGTTGATCAAGCAGCTTTCAAATGCCGACAAAAAGGCCAAAGCATACCTTTCAGAGAGCTTTTCCAGCGTATGCTCATGCTGACTACAGAGTACAGCGAAATTCATTCTCTGCATCGTCAATTGAAAGGCGGAAAGATCAACGCAACCAAGGCGCCAAGCCTTGTGCAAAATTAAGCTTGACCGCAGCTAACCATCCAGACGATAATCTCCGCGATACGGAGCCTGCCGAGGGGAATACAAAGAGGGAACTTTGTTGCAGTGGGAGGTTCGCAGAACTTCTCTTTTGGCACCGGCAAAACAACACACCGTCCACTTCTGTAGCGATGACTTATTTTCCGGGTCTCCTTCTGAAAGCCAATCGTTCCATGAAAATGGATGGATAGAGTGCGAAAGAGAATCCTCCAGAACTACTGCGCCCATCATAATTACTCCGTACGGAGTACAGCCGCAGTTTCTCTTGGATGTGTATGTACTCCGTACGGAACGTTATCGTTTCGCAAGCAAGGCTCCATCTGCAAGGGTCCGATGCTGAGCGGCTTCGCTCAATGCAAGCGGGTTACCATCAACCGCTGACATGGATCACCTTGTCTCTGTGCGGTACGAAAGTCTTGGGCCATCTCCGGAGTCAATTTACCCCAGACTCAGTTACATGCCCATGTAGCACCTGGAAAGCGGGGACCCATCCTCCATACGATTGACCTGATCTGGTGGCAAGCTTAATATATGATGATCTCCCGCATGCAGAAACTCCTCCAGGCGGATCCACGAAAACGAGCGAAGCCATCAACAGTATCCCGATAATATAACTCGACGGTTTATCACAATGCGCCTCCTTTCTCTCTTTACTATCATAACGGCCGTTGCCGCGTTAGAGTGCGCCGATCTCGTTATCGAATTGACCCACAGAGAGACTTGCTCCCGCCCGACTCAGGCTGGTGATACGATCAAGATACATTATCGCGGAACGTTTACCAACGGCACGGAGTTCGATTCTAGCATTGGCCAGGAGCCATTGGAATTTCCACTCGGTGCGAACAAAGTGATTCGTGGGTATGTATTAGCAGTATCAGCTGGGGCTTGGCCCTTTGTGTAATCAGTATCTCTATGGAATTCGCTAATAAGAAAAATTTCCCACCCCGAAGCTTTGATGAAGGTGCCCGTAACATGTGTGTTGGTGATAAGCGAAAGATTACCATCCCGCCCTTGCTAGGCTATGGAGATAAACAAAAGGGACCCATTCCGCCCAGCTCGACACTGATTTTTGAGACCGAGCTTGTGGAGATCGTGGGTGTACCAAATGAAGGCAACTGAGGGGGTAATAATTAACACGAAAACTATCGATGCCATTCCATGAAGACATGATCCATGACGGTTGAAAGCAATCTAGACCTCAGGAGAACATCGACACGCTGTATATAATATAATAATATGTGAGACACGATATGGGGGTATGGATGGATATTGCATATTTGGAAGAATACCCAAGACTTAATTGAGGTCTTCAAATGTATGAAGAAACGTCAGGCTATGATCCTGTCACGGCTGCAGTCCAGGTGTAAAAGTGAATTATTCCTGGCTTGATCAAAACAATACAAGCATCGCCACTTCTCCGATAGGAGAGCATTGGGTATTATAGGAAACATCGAACAAAATTCAGAGCCAAATATGGCGTCAGACAGATTATACCAAAACCAAACCATCCCTAGCTAATACCCGACCCGCAGAATGAAGCAAAATCACAACTCCAATATATCACAGGCAATGCAAGACATTCCCAGCTCTCCAGACCATGTTCCAACAATAAATATTACAAGTTCCAACACACCATAGAGCACTAATAGTACTCCGGCAGATCACCCAACTCGGGAAGAGTATCTCCACACTTAAACGACGGCTCGTACGCCTTCTTTGGCAAAATGCCAGCCTCCAATCCTCGTCTCCAGCTCCATTGCACCGCTGACTCGGTCTCCCATGTCCAATAAAACCACCCCCAACCCTTTTCGAAGGCAGACATCTGCGCCTCCGCATACGTCAGGAGGAATTTCTTATACGCATCCGAGTATTCAGAAGGGTCAGCATTAGCGCCATCACAGCTACATGCTTTCCCGTTACCAGACTTGGCAGCAGGGCAAAGAGGTTCAGAAACTTGATCTTTGGCGCTGGGGCTATCCATGGTACCAGTCCAGCGGGTGCCAACGCCGACGTTGTTAAGATACCTGGCGCAGTCCGTGTCGGCTTGGGACCATTCACCGCAGATAGTCGGTCCCCAACTATAATGCAGTTAGCCACATATCCAATGGCATAATTAAACGTAGTTCAGTAAAATTTCCTTACCCAGTTCCCTTTGAGTTGCTGTCACTTAGCAATTCCACCCACCCGTCGCAGACGAACTCGAGCTTCTTCTTGTGTTCCAAGCCAATTAGTTCCGTATTGAAGATCGTGTATTGATGCGTATCCAAGAGGAGACTGTGCCCAGTATCCTGTAGTATGGTCTTCCACTTGGACAGTTTCAGAAACCCATCTCCGAAAACAATGTGTTGCTTCATGCCATTTTTCTCAACGATCTCTGCTGCTTTCTTGGTCCAATCTATCACAGGCTCAATGGGTAGCTTCAGCATCAACGGTTCATTCGCAAGGCCATATAGCGTGACGACATTCTTATAGCGTGGCTGCGCGAAAAACTTGGAGAGCTGATCGTGAATATCCAAAGACCGCTGAGCATTTTTATCCCCATCGGGCCCATTCAGCCAGCCGATGACTCCGTGACGGCCGCTATGGTTCCAGCCATTTTGGCTCCCGGGCAATCCGTGCAGGTCCAAGCTAACTCGCAGTCCATATTTTCTACAATACTCGATCGCTCGTAGGAGATATCTGAACGAAACCTGTTCCACATACGGTTCATCGTCGAACTTTTTCACCGCCCAATAAGAGTACGGTATCCGAACGTGGTCCAGCCCAGCATCACGTATCTCTCTGAAAGATCGCTCTGTGATAAATGTAGCATAATGCTTCTCCAAGGTAGGTTTCGCAGAGGAGGCGAGGCGCCGGGTGAGGGTGTACTCATCAACGACATTGTCATGCACAGAGTATTTCTTGAAAAACGATGGAGTGATAAACGGTTCGAGTGAAAGCCATCCCCCAACGCTCACTCCGCGAATAGGTTGCTTCCCGTACGGGAACCTTTTATTCAGAGGTGGGACGTGTTCATTCGCCTGCGCAGAGTCGTCCCAGGCAGCATTCAGGCCCATCACCGGCAGCCCACCCACAGTCTCATCCGTGTATGTCACGTTAAAATCTGCTGTGTCATACCACGTAAAAGGGTCGAGATACGTTCCTCTGGCGCTTTGCTACAACAACATTAACCATACCAAACCGCACCACACTCGAAATAATGACTTACCGGAATGCTATCGCGGTCGATTTCCTTGAGGTTATCGTTGGAAGGGGCATCCCCATCCCCATGCCCAGCTGAGCCACCTTCATCATCTTTCTTCTTTGAAACCACGACGCCGACCGGGATGATGATGATCAATAGCAATGCAAGAATTCCAACGATAACCAAAATCTTCTTTTTCTTACTCCAGTTGCTGAACCATTTCCCTCCTCTTCCGCCCCCGCCTCCTCCGCCTCCGCCATCTCTGTCGTCCTCTCTCCACTTTTGTCCATGTCGGCCACCTCCTCGTACCCTTAATTCAGGACCACGACCTTCTTCCATCATTGCACCAGATACAAGTCTTCTCTTGCTCTTTTCTCTCCCTCCCTCCCTCGACGTACCGCGATCACGAGATTTGCCAACAAAGAAGCCCTCTTTCTTCCTGCGCCGTTTGTCCTTGTCACGACTCCTCTGTTCATCTTTAGCCTCACGTTGTCGCTCAGCCGCATCCCTCTTTGCATTATACTTGTTTAACTTCGATAATGCATCCGCGCTCAGCAGCTGGGTCGCACTATTCGCCGAGCCAGAGCTGGCATGCTTCTCCCGAACACGCTCACGCTCCCTCTCTCTCGCTCTGTCCCGCTGCACCGATCTTTTTCGCTCATCTTTACTTCGCGCCCGAACATCTGCAATGTCCTTTTCACGATACTTCTCTCTCGCAACTCTCTCTCTTAACCTCGCCCCGACCGGCCCATCCTCATCCGCCGTGCTATCTCTCCTCCTTCGATGACCCTCTCTATCCCGCTCCCGATCTCTCTTCTTAGCTGGCGACGTCGCAGGAGACTCCTTCGCCTTATGCTGTCTGGATCTTTCTCTCCCACCCATATACGGCGGCGGACTCGCTCGTCTCGGACTGGCCCGAACATTCGGCGGTCTCGCAAAATTCGGTCTTGAATCCACAACGATCACTTCACTCTCCTCCTCCCCTTCATAATCATCGTATCCTCCATCATTATCATCATACTCGTCAACACCACCATCCTCATACCTATCGTAGGAATCGTAGCGACGATGCGCTCGCGCGCGAGACTCGTCACGCCGCCGCTGATGCCGTCGATCGTGGTGGGGTTCAACATACCGTCTTTCCTCGGCGTCAATGATGTCGTCGTCGTCATACTCGTAATCATAGCTATCATCGCGATATCTGTGCCGGTCTGGCTTCTTCTGCCGGTCCTCCCATTCTGGTTCGTAGCCGCGGTGGTGATCCCGCGAACGTTGCGGCATACGCAATATCACACCCCCCAAGTCGACAAAATGTAAAGCGCGATACAAAAAACAAAAATTTTTGAGAGAGCGCTCCTTTCTTAAGTCCTTCTTTAAAAAGGCCAATCGGTTTGGAATGTCAAAAAATCGTAATCGAAGGGTTCCTCAGTTAGTTTCCCTTGTTCCGGCAGCCCGCTTGCTTTGGCCGTCGTCGAAAGCGATCGAATGATTGGAATTGCCTGTCAATTCGCTTCGCCAATATTCCCGACGCAGCGAATCTTCTTATTCAAAGAGCGTATTGTCGAGATAATTTTCTCCGCAAGAGAAATGAATTGGCGCCCGCTTGCCTCAATCAGACACTGTTCCTGTACGGATCAGGTAACATGTTTACATCCAACTCCATTCCAGGGGCTCAGCCAATAACATCCGCCACAGGTTAGTGTTTACGTAATTGACAGATTATGTAATGATGGCAGTTTGACGTCATGGCAAACAAACAGCTGGCAAATTGGCCGGAAAGACGAACTGAGGGAGTGAGTATTGATGGATGGGGAAGCATCTCAAATCGCCTACAGGGCTCTTCAGATTCCAGGATGATAAAATGTTGGATTAATACACGTCGATGAATTACATATGATGTATATACTGATAATTCTTAAATCAAACGCAAACCAATCAAACCCACTTGGAGAAGAATACAAGTCCGTCATGCCGTAAATCCAAATAACCATCGATAGCGCGCTGAGGCATAGGTGATGCAAAGTGAAGTCAAGAAAAGAAGAAAAGAAAAGAAGAGAAGAGCTAGCCCGTTTTCAGCATCAAGGAAACGAGCATTGAAAACCTCGCTGTCAGAACCAGGGTATAATCAAGCGCTATAAGCATACAAAAGGCGCACCAGGAGGATAAGAGTGACGCAAAAGTGTGAAAGCACCCCAGAAGAGAACAAGAAAGTTTGCGGGGGAAAGAAACGAAAAAGTCCCAAGTTGCCACGAAGCGTCTATTAAACAGCATAGGAAAAGTAAAACGAAACGTGCACCGCCATCCAACCAACCGAATCCATGCCAATGATGAGATAAAAGAAAACCAATGTTTATGTCAAATCCATGCAAAAACGCATCTGCCAAATATGAACATGGAAGATGTCTGTGCTCCCCAGAAAATTCATAACCTCGTGATGTACGGAGTAGACGTTGCTCTTTTGCGTAGGGAAGCAGTGAACAATAAGATGTAGGGATGAGTGTGCAGCAAGTGGAGTGTAGAAGCGGTATCGGGTGGCCGGCCTTAGGTCAGGGTACGGCGTCATCCGTGGAGTAGCAATATAGTTGAGACGAGCGAAAAATTCGCATGTAGTTTTGGTGAAATGTGAGTCTCTCATTGGAGTCCCACGTTCATACATCCGATACAGTCGAGATCCAGGAACCCGGTCGGCATCAGCTTATAATCTGCCTAGCCCCCTCTTTCCCTAGTACTCCTGGCTCTGTGGGTTTGGGACTTCGTTCTCGACCTTTCTTTCCCTTGAGGAACGAGAACATTCCGCCATTCGCAGCAGGTTTTCCTTTGGTTCCTTCACTGATACCACTGTGATCAGCGAGAGTACTCCAGCTACCAGCTTCTCCCAAGACCATCTGGACTCCACCACCCTTACTCGTTTTGCGTGTGACACCTGGGTGCCTTTGGTAAAGAGATGGGGGTTGGTAGTTCTGTGGTTGAGATGTAGGTGGCCGTTGAAGCGGAGGAGGTGGTGATGCTGAATGAATCCCGCTATGTCCGTTGGTTTCTTTTGACGCTATAGACCGTATCGTTTCGCCGAGCGGAGAGTATGTGTCGGAGGCATTGGATGGATTATATGATTTCTCGGTTAGAGACGGCGAAACGCTACCGGAGCGGGCTTGAGAAGGGTGTCGGGAATGTGCCGGGTTTGTACGGGATACGGTAGGGGGAAGTTGTTCTTCGGGATTACTAAAAGCAAGGTTCAGCTGGTGTTGGGGGATCGGGTGAGCGTGAAGTACTGACGTTGAGGCCTCAATGGCGGCAGCGGCAGTTCTAGGGTGAAGTCAGTAGGTGTCCGAACATAATCAGAGTTTGGTGTCAATGGAACATACCCCTCATACTTCACCAGCGTGTAATCGAATGGTTCGAACATCGTCTCTATTATTCTGTAAAGTTCATCTTCTCGAATCTCCTTGGGTGTCGCATCCTCCTTGAGCTCCGCTCGGGGCTTTTGTCGCCGAGCTCTCGCTTCCAAGGGTGCTTCTTCCAATAATAATTCTTCAAGGTCATACGTGGCGTCAAAATTAGTTTTATCGCTCGAAGGGACAAAAATGGGGCTTATCTCTTGTCTCTCCAGGGCGTCGAAATCTATGTCAGCAAAAAAAGGATGGGTGGTGAAAGATTCGAATGAAACAGCTCCGATTCGTCTGGATCGATCTTTTTCCATCAGGGCTCCCATGGCGTGTAAGCATGGAACGGTGACAGGAGGGTTCGTTACGAAGTACTTGGGTTGTGCACGCATGATACATTCGCCGAGTTGATGGTGATTTCGGCCATCAAAAGGTCGCTGGTCCGGGGTCAATGCGCGAACAGAAGAAGTAACCAACGTGCAGGAGACATTTACCTTGCTGTAAATGCACTCGTAGAATGTCACACCAAGTGACCACCAATCCACTTCGCTGAGGTAACCAGAACCGTCAAAGACTTCTGGCGCTAGATATGCAAGAGTACCTGATTTGCTGGTCAAAGGTCTGGTGGGTTTAAAATCGGACGCGACATTCTGCAAGACAATAAGCAATTCGGCCGAATAACGTATCACGAGTGTTGGGCTTACAAAGTCTGCCAGATGGACATGGCCTTTGGAATCAAGCAATACATTATCTGGTTTTAAATCTCGATGAACGATTCCCTGGCCATGAATGTAGCGCAGAGCACAGGCTAGTTCTGAAATCCAGAATCGGATAGCTTCTTCTGTAAAGCACTTTCTCGAGATGTGGAATCGAAGATCACCGCCGTTCATGAGATCTACTACTAGGTATCTGCAATAGGAAAAAAATATATGTCAGATCTGACTGGGCGTTGTTTCAAGGCACCAGCCGCAGGTGCACTCACATGTACTCGATATCTTGAAAGCTGTATCTCAAGTTGCACAGAAATGGATGGTTTAGATGTTCTAGCATCCGTCGCTCTCGTATGATGTTGCGGACACTTTCGGATCGGACAACTGGTAGGTTGTGAGTAAGTAATTGGTTGGTGTATACGGACACAGAATCTATCATTACCTTCATCTTTCCGGATATATTTCAGAGCAAACGTTAACCCTGTGTCTTTGCGCTCAACAATTCGAACTTTCCCAAAGGCGCCCTTCCCAACAACCCTTAACAGGCGGAAGTGGTTCAGGTTCACTGCATCATTCAGCAGGTCAGTCTCCTTCCAATCAATGGCTAATCTTGGAGGCAGCTGATTCCTCCCCCAAATACCCTGATCAATTTATACGGACCTGCATCATCGCATGAAGTCTGCTTTGTCTGAGTGTTCCCCATCTTCACCTCGCCGGCAACTTTATTTGTTTTCAAATGGTACTAGTGGCCGCGTCGTCGCGTCTGCATTACCTGATTGGCAACTCTCGTGCAGCACTTAAGAATTTCTGAGAAAAATCCGAATCAAACTGGTGACAGGAGCGTAGCACTGAGCTTTCGTGGGAAGCGTAGGTTCGTTATCAGCGACTTCGGCGAAAGCAAAGGCCGGAAAATCAGGTGTTCAAGGAAAGGTCTGAAGAAGCAATCGGAGCGGTAAGAGTAAGAAACCGTGACGCGGCTTTGACATGTGCCAGAAGTAAAGGATGTAGTGGCACAGCGGATAACTGTCGTCACTACGCTTCTGCAATGGACAAGCGGCAAGGTTCGCTAGGAGAGGAAAAGATGGAGAGAGAGGGGGAGAGAGAGAGTAAAGACAAAGGCAGCCGAAGAATTGATAGCCAGACAGACAGACAGAGGGGAAGAGAGAGAGATTGAGATTTGAGGGGACCACAGAGAATTGGGGGGGTTGAAAAAGCGTCTGGGGCTCACGTTTGGGATCCCCAAAATTCGGTGGACGGAGCTTCCAGAGAGTGGCACACGGACGGTGGAAGTCGGAAGTGAGGTCTGGGGAGCAGTCCCTCAGGAAGTGGGCAAGGTGGGAACGGAAGGTTTAGCACTGAGGAGCGGCGGCCGAGGATTGGAGCCTTGTTGGGTGGAAGAGAAGTGGTTTGAAAGGAGAAGAGTTCAGGACAAGAGCCATCAACACATGACCCAGTGCTGGCGGCAGGGGTCTTAAGTTAGGAGGATGGAGAACAAATTGGGACTAAAAAAGAATTAGGCGATGGCGGATGCAGAAGCTAAGGCAATGGTTTGGCGGAGTGGAGAGAGAGAAAGAAAGGAAAAAGACCCAGCTGCAGCCATCGACAGCGAGGGTGCTGATGCTGCTGCGGCGACCCGCCGGTTACTAACTACTGCTGGTGGTGGTGACAGGACGTGCTCTCTGCAAGAAAGGGGGAATTGGGACAAGGAGGAGAGCTGGACGGAGCGGACGCCGAGAGGACAGGATGGGACGGCGGCGAAGCGTGGTTGACGGGGGGTGAGGGAGAGGGGGGAAGGGAGAAAAGTGATAATATGATTGTTACCGCTTTTGGTTTGGCGAGCGGGTGAGATTCGGGCTTGGAGGAAAATGGATCGGTGGTGGTCCACTCGCGCGGAACCTCCCCACCAAACGACTTTTTAGGCTTTGACTTTTTTTCTTTCACGAGCAGCAGGGGGGGTGAGTGAAAGATAGAGATTCACAGGCCAGAAGAAGCTCGTATCGGGTGCTGAACAACCTTCCGTCGAGCGTGGCCAAAAAAAAAAAAAAGCCACGCGCCGATCGCCAGTTCGATTCAATCCTGATTGATGACTACGAATTATCTAAACAGATCCAGACTTCATGCAGGGAGCCCAACCAATCATGACAGCAGGCAAAACCACCCGAATTGAGGCGGCCGTCGCCTTGTTCCCTGTGTTTCTTCTTTGCCCTCGACCCTGTTTTTTACTGTATTTTCTGCACGATCTCAACCAAGGTTCTCGCTGGAAGAAACCGGCGGGCGGGCGGGTGATGGATTCCCACGTGACGGAAATGGCTGTAAGATTACGGTCCGCCGGCCGTCAAACCTTGCGGGATGGACTGGACTTGAACCACCAGTGGAAGAACGAAGAAAAAAAGGGAAAAAGGAAGAAATCCATCATGGAACAGAGCACGAAAGGGACGACGACTTGGCGGATGATCCCCCTTCTGCCCCCACGCCGTCTATACCGAAACGAAAAGAGCAGCGACGCCCGCTGCGCGTGGTTGGGTTTTTCTCCTTTTTCTTTCTCATTTTTTGTTTTTTTTTGGTGCTGTGGACAACCACGCTGAGCCCTGTGGCATTGGTTTGGTTTGCGCTGTTTTTGATCGCCGCGTGGGCGCCACGTTTTCAGTTAACCGAAAAAAGGCTTTCCACTAAGCCCTATCCGGTCAAGCCCACCCAGGCTGAAACACTAATACGTGCTGGTACCGTCCCTCGCCGCCCACATGCCCACAAAGTATTTGTCAGATACGATACCCTTACGGCGCCAAGCCGCTTGGCGTTCCGGAGCTTTGCGTCGTGAATCATTCTCGAATACGGAGTATATACACGGCGGCCTGTCCGTCCCAGAATTGGGCCTCTCCTGAGCAAAGAAAAGGACAATATTTACGAAGAAAAAGAAAAGAAGAAAAAAAATTATATACTGGTCAATGGGACCCAGCCGAAAATCTGACTGTTCGAGAGCGAAATGGTGTTCAACCACTCACCAACTCGCGCCTCAAAAAGCCAGATTGATCCAACACGCCGATCGGCACTCGCTGGCACAACAGCGAATTCAACTCTCTATGCAGCGTATGGATCACTGCTCTAATCATCTTTTCCTGCAGGGGAAAAAAAAAGCATGTGGTTAACTGCACGCCTCTCACCGGAAGAAAAGAAAGAAAAAAAAAAAAAAAAAAAATTATGACACATGGAATTGATGTCTCAGTTCCAACACAGTGTTCACCTATCAGGAGTGTCCCGACCCTGACGAGCAAGACAGGGACCGGGTCTGGTCTTGTTATTCCTTGAGGTTCCAATAATCAGGCACCCCGATACCATCGCTCATTATGATGTATCCATGACATTCTTCCGCGACCATTTCTTCATCTCCCGAAAACCTGCAGATTTTCTTTGTTTCAGGTACCGGAACCTCGCTATCCATAACTGCATTCGGTATCTGACCTGCAAGGGATATTGTTGCGGATTCACCCTTGGTTTCGAGTCGATCTTCCCAACCCTTTTTAAAAGAAAAGAAAAGAAAAGAAAAGAAAAGCAGATCTCTTGTTCCATCTTGTCATGTGTGCAGCTGTGTGCGGATCGGGGAAGGGTTTCGCTCGAGGCTCCTTGAAACCATTCCTCCAAAAAAGAAAGAAAAAAAAAGTTAAAAGAAAAACTGTCCCCCCTGTGCTCATTATGCATATTTGCTAAAAGTCTTATTTCCTATCAAGCACTGCGGAAGACGCCTCCCGTGCAACGTGATCGCTCAACTCAATTGCTCGGGTGATCTCCACAGTTGTCTGCTGTTGTCATGAATGGCCTCTCTAAAGCCCATTCATTCTGTCGCGTAATGTGGTTCTTTGCATCTCCAATACCCTCTCTCAGAAAAGATCCAAGGAGAACACCTTCAAGGACCGTGTGCCGTGAAGCGCGAACAAAGCTCCCGGCATGCAGTTAATCCCTCGTCCTTATTCACCACTGCAAGTCTACTGACCGACCGCAGCATATGAATTAAGATAGTATGCTGCTTTATTGTTTTTCAAATGTGGCACAGAGAGTGTCCATCAAACATGCATCTAAAAACAGAGCAGATTGCACCCCGGCCTCGTGCCATGTTACAAGATTCGATACGGGGTACTTCGTGAGTACTCCGTCCAAGGTACAAAGATCGTGTTCCCTCCCACATGCCCTTCAAGTATTTATTTGAATTAGAAAACAAAATCCATCCATACTCCATATGAACATGGACAATTAAATACCCAACTTCACCGCTCGGGAGATCCCAATTTTTCGGTCCACTAAAAAAATCTCCCTTTCATGTTTGATAGGCCGGGGAAAAACCGGCCAACCTGCATCCCAACCCCGCATGGATTCCCATGCTTCATTACGGAGTACATTCTTGGGCTTCATTAATTATCTGATTATGATGCACAGCGTGCTCGGTACATGAGATCCAACAGGTGAAATTTCATGGACAAGGAAAAATTTAAAATAAAAAAAACAAGATACTCTGCAGGGGTGCAAGCAAGGCAGCCTGCATAAATGAAGCGCAACACGTGGGAGAAAGCCATCCACGCCTTTCAAACCCACACACTCTCACACTGGCCACGCGAGAAAGAAGTCTTCTAGAACAAAGACAAATCCACACCGCTTTTACCATGCAGATGGGCCAATAATATCGTCCGCAGTGAGGCGATGTACGTGACCTTACTCGGTATGGGGACAAAGAAAGTGTCTCGAGAACAAACGAAAAAGACGCAAACATTGGGCGGGTTACGAAAAGAAAAGGAAGAAAAGAAAGAAAATGGCGCCGTGCTGAAGCATTGTGCCCCGCAAGGAACAACAACCGAAATGAGAATCCCCTGCTTGTCAATTCAGATTTTCTGTATCCTCTCCGCACACGAGGGAAAAAAAGGCCCATCCGTCTCCCTCGCGATGAATGCAACTTTCTCGCTCACCCTCCCCCCCTAACAAAACCAACACCTCTCTCAAACCTCCCGGCGTCATTTGTAGTTCTCCTCCCCCACAAAAGAAAAACGGGACAAACGATCCAATCGCCTGCCAGACACCCTGGATGGTTTCAGCCCTATGTTCGCTTGAGATTCCCCACCCTGGATAGCGCCAGCACATGGTGGAGAACGGTGCGTCGACATCGTGTGTCAGAGAAAGAAAACCAGGGGGTTCTCTTAACGGACATCTTTTACCTAGAGAGGTTTTCGGTGGAGCGTAAATTGTTTCAGGAATATTGGAGAGTATTGCGGAAGACACATGGGCCCCTTTCCCATCTCGGTTATATTTTCAGTCAATCAATCCAAGACCCTGCACCGGTCAACTACAGAGTGATAGCTACAAACCTGGTGAAGAGAAAAAGAAAAGTGATGTCAAATTTAAATTTAAAAAAAGAAAAAAGAAAAGGTCTAGGTAACCACAGTTCGATATGATCCCACCAAGCCTCGAGAATCCGGAAACAAACGCCGCCCGCCCCAAATCTAATAACCCAGCAAACAATGGTGTTACGCAAAAGACAGTATGGGTTCAGTACCCGAAATTTCAAATAAACGAAACACCTGCGTCACCATCTCCGCCCGTATACAGAGCTTTCCTGCACCCGCTTCCTGTTTTTGTTCAGATCCCGCTCCATAACCGGCGGTGAAGCCCTTCTTCCCTGGTTCTGGTCCGGATTCAAAGACGAACTCCGCAAAGAACCACTCAAGGACAGATGCCCAAACGCATCTTCCGCCACCTCCCTGGACTCCAACAGCCGTCCCTTTCCGGAAGAAAAGTCCAACCCTTCGTCTTCCACGTACCTCGCCTCCGCATCGTGACGGAACAAGGCAAGCATATCGTTCATGGTGAGTTTCCCCGCCGCGGTCTTACCTTCGATGGTGGCACTGGCAAGTTCGCGTTTGCGCTCCTGGAGGTCGAGAATACGCTCTTCGACGGTATCTTTAATGGTCATCTTGTAGACTTTCACGTCCACTGTTTGATTCAGACGGTGGACACGGTCAATGGCTTGCTCCTCGACGAACTGCAATAGAGTTAAATGCTAGTGATACAAAAATGGGGGTCAAGGGCTGGAGTATACGTACTGGGTTCCAAAATGGTTCTAGGATAACCACCCTACTGGCAGCTGTAAGATTCAGCCCCAATGAACCCGCTCGTAAACTACAGAGAAGCACTCGAGTGGAACTCGAGTGTCTGAGTTTCTCAAGACTAGCTTCTCGAAGGTCATTTCTCATTCCACCATCGTATCTCGCGTAGCCAATACCTGCACTCTTGAGGAATGGCTCAATCTTATCTAGCATGGAGGTGAAAACGGAGAAGACAATGAATTTAAACTCTCCAGCCTCTCGCTTCAATATTCTCAGGAGATGCCTGATCTTCGTCGAGGATGAGAGATTCCTCAACGCGGTGTAGTCCGGATCGTCTTGTTCCTCGTCTACATCGTCATCGTCGTCGATTTGAGCACTATCTTCCTCATCCTCACCAGTCTCTGAGTCTTCGGAGCCGATCCATTCCCCACCACCCTCAGCATTCTCGTCATCTGTCCCTCCAGCTCTCCCAATATCCTCTGATACCCGCTTATTCTCAGGGACAATCCATTCACCTTCATCCTCGTCATCACTGTCAAGAATAACGCGTCGATTCCTTTGACGCCTCGCCGTTTGTTGCTCGGCGGCCTCCACGAAGACCTGCTTTTCCTTGGGCTTCTTCTTTCTCTGCTTCTTTGCCTTTTTGTCCTTCGACAAGCCGACATGAATCTTCAGATCAGCCTCGCAATCGTTACACCTGATTGCACCGCTCTTGGTCTCCTCTGAAGTTAGGTCAATCAAGCAGATATCGCAGCGCTTGCTAACAACGCTAAGGCCCCCTAGCATGTTGGCAATCTCATCCATATCGCCTCCCTCAGAGCCCTTTGATTGGTTACCATTGGCAATAATTGCATCCTTTTCCCGAGCAAGATCTCCCTTTACAAGATCTGCGTGATTGCAAGCTTGTCGAAGACGGAGTAACAGCACCAAAGCACTGGCATAGTTCAATTTATGATGGCCAATCATATTCTCCAGGCTCTTATCTGTTCTATCCTCAAGACGACTGTAAAATTCCCTTTCTTCCGTTGTAAAATCAACCTCGACTTTGATGACATCTCGCTTTGTGATTCGAAAGCCGCTCGATGGCTTATCGCTTTCCTTCTCATCATCTGGGCTCTTGTTATCGAGACCACCGTTCAGCTTTAATACGTCTTTTGTTCGTCGTTTCATAAAGGCTTTCAGATAGATTTGCAATCGTCGGATGGCCAAACCGCCACGACCGTTGTTTAGTGGGCGAGTGATTTGGTCCCTCCATGCAGCGAGATCATCGTAAGGTTTAATCTGTAGGAATCTGATCAAACTTTGAAGCTCATCCAAGTTATTTTGCATGGGAGTACCAGTCAGGCACCATCTGTACAGTGAGTCCAACGCGTATACGGCCTGTGTGGATTTCGCGTTGCGGTTCTTGATCGTATGGGCTTCATCAAGGACAATTCGATACCAGTGTATTCCAAAACATCCAGGTTTCCCATCTGACGTATCTTTTGTCTTGCTTGAACCTCCGTGTTCAGAGCTCAAAGTGCCGTATGTTGTAATAACAACGTCGTATTTTGCGAGATCTTTAGCAATTTTTGCACGACCTGGACCATGATAAACGCCGACGTTCAGCCGACGGGTTGACTCGATTTTACTTTCGATCTCAGACTCCCATTGTTTGATCAAGGCCACCGGGGCAACAATTAATGTTCCTTTCCCTACTTTATCAGGGACTTTTGCCTTATCCTTCGGGTTATCTTTTTCGCCATCTTTTCCGGGAGGCGGCCTTGGATTGGAGAGCATAAGTGCGATGGTCTGAACGGTTTTCCCAAGACCCATATCATCTGCTAAAATACCACCTTTGGGGAGCACGCCTCTAGTTTTCTTCAGCCCTGTTTCCTTGTCCCTCATCCAGCTTACACCTTCAACTTGGTGGGGGAGCAGTGTGACCTTTAAACCTTCAATAGTTCCATCATTCTCCTCTTCCTCATCGTCCTCTTCTTCTTTTGGCGGTTCGCCCTCATTTGCAGATTTCTGGATGGAGTTTTGCTCATTGACATTAATCCCTTGAAGTTTGTTCGCCAATTCATCAACCTGGGTCTGAATCTTTTTCTTGCGGATCCTAGTTCGGGGCTTGTCATCTTCGTCTTCAAATGCACCTTCAAGCAACGCTTTGATGTTCTCATTTGCCTTCGCGCTATCCAGATACGAGTAGGCTTCTATCGCCCGAGAGTCATCATCGTACACAGAGGGACCCGTCGCTGACCCAACAGTATTTGCAGTCAAGTCTATAAAGTTCTTCAAATTGCTCCGGGATTTGCTAATCGACGGGGTGGGTTTAGAGGAGAAATACGGCTTCGATCTCGGTTGAGTGGTCCAAACAACGTTTGTAGGGCGAGTTATTTCAACCACGTCGTCGTCATCGGGTATGTTTGAGGACCTGTAGCCCGTGAACGCGGAGGAAGGCTTCACCACTTGGAACGGATCAACGGTACGCCTGTCCCTTGATTGTTGTGATTGTGAGTAATTTGTCACCGGCCTGTGGTGTTCTGGGCGAGTTTTGTTCGGCTTCGGGATGTAGAAAGGATTTCCCCTGTTAGACCCAAGCAGAGAGGGCTTTCCAAACTCCGGTGGAACCATTCTCTGGGATTGATTCTCTCCACTTCCCATAGATCCCGGCCGATGTTTCGGCGGCTCACGCTCGTTTAGCATTCTGGTCAAAATCCAGTAAAGTTAAGAATTTTACAACAATATAGCAGCGAAAGAAACGGGCTCGAAGAGGGTGAGGCTGTTCGGAAATTTGCCCCTTGTGACAGCCAATTCACTACCAAGCCTCACAATAAAACAAAATGGCTCACGGGCTTGGAGATAGACTGCTCAAAAGGTAAGTGCTTTCAAGCAAACACCTGGAAGGAAATTCTCATCCGTTATATCAACCCATAAATGAGAGATGGGTGAGCAAAAATGCGCTCTCTGTGTGCTTGTCGATGCAACGAAAGCTTGCTCGAGCTCCAGCGCGTGTTTTGTTAGGCTGATGCCATGGCAACGAGGGTGATTAGTCATCACAAACAGAGGCGTTGAACGTTTGGTGTCTCCCCGAGTCCACGGAGTATCAGGCATCATTCGTTGCTGAGAGCATGCACTGTTCACGTTTCCTCTCCTTCCATTTTGTTTGCTGCTGCTGTCACATCTCCTAGTGTATGGCTCTGGATATTCAAGACTACAGCGCTTATTATGCCCCCAAGTGCAGTGGACCTGCAACCATGTGATGCCACTTATATCTCTTGGGTAAGGGAGAGGCTCTAGAGTTACTGGTTGCAAATGCAATGTTTGAGTGGTAGTTGCTGTACATTGACCATGTTGAAGAGATTTACTTATAGCTCATAAGCCTTAGGAAAACGGGCTAGGCCACGGACAATGGAAAGGGGAGAACCCCTTTGCATGCAACGTACTTGACCCTTCCGTCCATCAACATGTTTTCAATAGAACACATTACAAATTGCAAGATAATTTTTCTTTTCCAAGGATGCTGGGTCAATTTCTATTAATTATTGGTTATATTTAGCCCATTTTGTTTCTCCGTAAGAAACGCCAGGCTGCATCCCCAGGTAACCGCAAAGTAAGTTCTCCGCAAGAAGTCACGTTTTCTTAAAAAAAAAAAATAAAAAAAAAAAATAAAAAATTGAACAGGATAGTAGATCAAAACGCCCGGATATATCGACCAAAACGGAAAAGCCTTGGAAATTAAACCTCATTTTCGTGCTTTCCCAGGACTTATTGATTCTCTGGTAACTCAATCTCGCCGACAACCTCTTTCAAAAGCTCAGGGATAATGGCACTTGCATCACCTTCAAAAATCCAATCGCCAGGTTTCATTCCGGTTCGAGGCAAATGGGTTCGATCCATGTTGATTATCGCAACGCGGGCACCCTTGCATCGCCCGCGATCAATGTAGCTAACGGCTGGAAAGACCCGCGCACTCGTTCCGATCACCAAGACAAGATCAACAGGGCCATTTTTAAGCCAATCTTCTACGGTATTGATAGTTTCCTCGACCAGAGGTTCGCCGAACCAGACGACACCAGGTCGAAGCAAGCCAGTTGAGCACTCCGGACATGGCGGGAGATCTTCCTCCCTCAGATTAGGGATAGGAACATTGGGGTTTGAAATATCCAGTTCTCCACTCCCAGGTGCCCAACCGGGACCCGCTGCGTTAGACTTCATCGCATCTTCGAGCGCCTGTCCTGCTCTTTCTCCAGTATGGTCCTTTGGGTATGGGTCAACTCCAAAAGGTATCTTCGGAATTTCTAACGCTGGGACAATTGGGTCGGTGAAGTCATTATCACGAGAATAGGTGCAATATTCGTTCGCACATTTTATGGTAAATAGAGAACCGTGGAGACGTTGGATTTGGGTCTCGGGATGGCCCGCTCGTTCAGATAACCCTGCCAACGCGATTATATTCAGCATTCTCATCCACGAATAAGTATCAGCTGCTGTCATTTTGCATACCGTCCACGTTCTGAGTTAATGCGATGAAGTTTGGATTCTTCTTCGCAAACTCTGCGAGGGCATAATGTGCCCTATTTGGTTTAGCAAGCAATGCCATATGTCGCCGGTAACCGTAAAACTGCCAGACCAGACCAGGCGTCGCATTGAATGCTTCCGGCGTGGCCAGGTCGACGGCAGAGTAACGTCGCCACAGTCCTCCCACTCCTCTGAACGTTGGTAAACCGGATGCCGCTGAAAGTCCCGCGCCTATGACGGCCATAACACGCTTGCTGGACCTGAGGTGCTCTCGAAATGAGAGGAGGTCAGCTTCTGGTATCACAGAAGCTCCCGGTGCTGACGCCATGGTGATATTGCGGAACACCCTCCGACGGTGTATAATGGAAGGCCCTGAGATAACTAGAGGCAGGTTTGATCAGGGCTCTAGGTGTATGAGAAAGATTCCTACTCGTGAAGAAAACTGCGAAGATGGAGGACGGAAAATGGTAGATGCTGGCTGACACAATGCATACCACCCATATGACTCCCAGCCTTTTTCCATACAGATGCGGGGTAGCCACGCAGCTGAGACAGTTACCCCAGTCTATGCATTGGAGCACGATCCGGAGGGCTCGGAATGCAGCTCTACGAACAAATAATCGCCCTCCAAAGATGCAAACACGGCTGGAGATTTGACAAAGCCAGAACATCGCGACGATTTCTCCACATGTGGAGTTTTCTCGGCTTGCGAGAGGCTTAAAGCTTCCATAGCAAACAAGGTTCTTTGGGCGCCAAGATTGGGGTTGAACTCGAATTCGAGGGCCGCAGCGCAACACGCCCTTCATATTAGACTCATAGGCCCAGCCGTCCTGCGATACTCCCAGAAGCCGGGATTATCGCTTTTTAGGGACAACGTATGCTGTGCTTGCGCTGATCTGGCGCATTTATACGGAGTACTGTCGGGATATTTTTGACGATGACTCGAAAATATGACAAAACCGTCAAACAAATTAAGCATATTTGGAGACAAAAGTATATTGAAGCTACAAACACAGCACCCTCACACTGTCGGCCTTTGAGCTAATGTTGCTCCTCCTTCGGCAATGGAACCTTGATCGCATCAAATGCACACTTTCGATTCTGCTCGTTCATCCGCTCGATATATGAACTGATATGTTCCGGAACCTCATTGACCTTGTTGAGGCCGTCCGGCACCGGCTCCCCGAACGTCTGCCAAACGGGGACAACACCGGTCCAGACCTTTTCCGTGACGTCGGGTCTATCCTTGTCCTTTCTCTCGTCGGACACGCCACCGTCTCTGATTTTCCCACTACCATCGACGATTTTGACTTTGAGGATGGTGGTAGACTGCATTTCTGCGCCGTCCGGTGGGATGCGGGTGTTCTCCCATCGCTGAGGCACCACTGAGTTAGTGATCAGCTTCATCGCCCACAGCTTCTCTTCTACGTCCGTCACCAGGGTGGCGTATCCATGGAGCACTGCGGAGCGGTAGTTGTAGCTGTGCGAATTAGGTGTAAGGGTGAGAATTAGTCCGTCCACATGTGTCGCGGCGATGCAGATAGGAAGTCCCTTGCCATCTGTGGCGCGAGCCAGGTTCATGATCCGGGAGCTAACGTATCCGTGAAGGTAGCACTCAAGAGGGTCGTCTATTCCGGACGAGGGATATTCGAATGAACCCATTTGGCCGATCATAGGAAGAATGGCGGGGAATGGGTCATCTGGACTGGGGCTGAAGGAAACATGCAAAACAGGTGCGCTGTTGATGATGGAGTGGATAGGACCAAGATCATATGTCCCTATTGTTGAGAATGGTTAAATCCCTGGTGGAGTGTATGACGCGTTGGAAGAAGCGATGCACTTTACCTCTATGCTTATACCGGTTCATGGTATTACTCTCCCGCTTCGGGTATACCAGTGACTTTCCCATGGTTGCTGTATGTCAAGGAAAAAAGACAAGAATATGGCTTCTGAAGACAAGCAAGAGAGAGAGTGTGTGTGTGAGAGAGTGTGTGTGAGAGAGTGTGTGTGAGAGAGTGTGTGTGAGAGAGAGTGTGTGAGAGAGAGTGTGTGAGAGAGTGTGTGTGAGAGTGTGTGTATCTGTGCTGTATTATGATGATGTTCTCGTTCAATTGGGGCAACGATCGATGTTTATATCCTATTACTCCTTGATTTATCAGCATGCCACACTCATGGTGTGGGTGTCGAGAAAACAACCTAGGCTCACCTTTGTCCCCGACGCCGCGTAGAATCCGAAGATCAGATGGCTGTTCCTATCATCCGTGGCCATGGCTCCTGTTGCGCCCTTTAGATGGTTCGCGATGCGATGAGTAATGTTCGGAAGCCGACTGGCAGCCGACGCCATCCTCTCTACCCCGCGACAAGACTGCCTATCAGCGGGCAATCTGCCCCTCAGCCAACCCCACCGCCTCCGTCAACGCTTGGCAGCAGCGGTCCCTATGTAATTGCAGTGATCTGATTGGATCCGCAGCGGCGGGGCGGCCATCCACGAGAATCTGGCCAATTACACACTGCCGGAAGCAACGCGCTTACCAGATAACCGCGGAGGGCTCTAAGCTACGAAGAGTATTTACATGCGAGGTCTCGGTTTGCGCGGCCTATCGGCTGTGCGGAGTAGCCCAATTCTATTTTCTCTGTGCAGAATGTGTACAGTGCCCGTGGGCAAGAGACGTGATCCGACGGTGGTGTTGCCCGTTTTGCAGGAGACGATCACCCTGTGTAGGGCTGCGTGGCCAAGTGTTGGAGCCTCTTATCTGAGAGGCGCTGGTTTTGGGCCTGCCCGGTAGATGCCGAGCGAGCGCCCTGTCGTGCCGAACCCGACATGAAAGCACGATACAATGCAGATAGCAAGGATTTAACGATTCCAGTTCGCAGATCGCACCGGCAGGTAGCGATAACAGACCCGATGCGAGCATTGCATCTCCGTCGTTAACACCTCCTTGCTCTTCAGCATTGGATGCCTTTCGCCATATCACCGATGCGATGCTCGTCAGTGCACGGCGCGATGGAGACCCATGACACGGTGCAGACGGATTCGCCGCCCATCTTCTCCATGACCCGGTGACTGGTATCATTGTACGACATCACGTCAGCGAACGCCCACCGCTCCTCGCCATCCCCCTTTCCAAAACAGAATTGGCGATTGTCCAGCATCCCTCGTCGCATCACCGACTTCGCAAGGGCAGCTGCTAATCCACGACCTCTATGCTCCTGTTCAACATGCAATGACACGAGACTGGCATCGTAACCTAAAAAGGCCCAGCCCACGGGCATTTCTTGCGCGCCATGCTCCCCATCACGCCCGTTCTCTTTGATGTTTCCGGTGCCGTCGTGATACATTACAACACTGGCCATGTCTTCTAAGGCTTTTCTCTGGCGGACTATGAAAGAACGACTCTTTATAAGATCATAGTGGTACGACTGGAACCCTTCTACGCCGTCACGTGTGCAAAATCGATATCCCGGGGGGAGAAGGGAGGAGGATGCGTTGGACACCGGATCGTACACGGAGCGAGCGAAGGAATATTTTACGCAGTAATCTGGCTGGGGTATGTGGAATCTGGGACGGCTCATAAGTCCTATTGACTCCTCTAGGAGTTTTACAACACCAGAGTGCACACTGCCGAGTAAGATCGTCGTAAGTGGCCTAGACGGCGGACGGTTTGGATGAGCTCCATGACCTCCGTTCGCCGATGTGCCTTGGGCTTCCGGACTAGAAATAAACCTTGGAAGAAGTTTATCAAAGCAGTATGTTATTAAGCTTAGCAGTTGCGAACGAGCTGCGGTCAAATGGGCATCGCTAGAGTTGAGTGTCGACTTTTGCCCAGGAACTGTGCTACTCTCGGCCTGGAGACTGGAGTACAACCATACCTGAGTCCCTGGCCACGCATACAAATCTACATATGCAACCAGCCATGGCGAAGCAGGATGGGAGGCTGAAGCTTGCTCGTCAGTAGGCGGGAACGTTGCCAAGTAACAAGCTGTTGGCGATTTGCGAACTATGTCGTGCTGAAGGCGCCGAAGGAGTGTGCCGGACTGTGGGAGCTGGAACTGTAGAAGAGAGATGAGAAGGTCCACACCGCGATGAGTGTAGAATTTCAAGGCCGTAGGCGCCATTTCTGGGTTCAAGGCCGGCATTTTGATGAAACCACGGCTTAGCAACACGGAAGCCAAGCAACACTAAGCTTTGTGATAGGAGGATCTCCAACCAAACAGAAAACCGAAAGAGCAAAATGCATGGATGAGGCGGTATTGTTCCCGAATATTAATTGAACAAGAGGAAAGGAAAGGAAAAGAGGGAGGGGAAAAAGAAAAGACCCCTGGGCGCAGCAAAGGCACCACGATGTGACCCCACCACCACGAGAAGAGTGACATCGTTGGTTAAGCTTGAGACCCATCAGAGTCGCGCGGGGAGACTGACAAATTAGGGATCCAGGTCCATCTATTTTGGCTCGCGTTGGCTGTTCGTTGGGGCAGCCAAGGTACCTGGCCCACCCGATTCAATTTTCGAATCAAAAAGATCAAAGACTTCAAAGTTGTTAGATTAACTAGTTACTACTTCGGATACGGGAGTTAACTTGATGTTCTGTAAAGGATATCGGATGTGCATCCTTGCTTCTTAGTCCTGACGCCCGAGTCCCATATACCCGTTGACACAACGAATACGACCCAAGCCCCCGGATCACGGTTGATTGACCGAATGTACGATGGCCCTCACCCCTTTCGAATCCCACCTCGGGTATGGAACTAGATATGCGTGTTTCATAACAATGTCAGAGTGTGAAGTCTCGTGCAGCTCGAATGTGAACCGGCTGAACACTATTGCTATTGCAGTATAGAGCTCGGCCATGGCAAGGCTAGGACACCCTCGTTAGCTTCTCCCGAAAACCTGAAGAATGAAAAGAAAGGGCTTGCATACTTTATGCCCATGCACTGCCGTGAACCCTTGCCAAAAGCCACAAAATACCGATCCAAAGTGGGATCCTCGATCCAGCGCTCAGGCACAAATTTCTCCGGGTCGGGAAAGATCTCTGGGTTCATCAAAGTATCGACATTTGTCATAGACACCGGCGTGTTTCGTGGAATCACCCATTCTCCATATACCAGTTCCGAGTCTGGGACAAGACGGGGGTTGCGAGTTGTTATGCCATGAGCGAGTCTGATAGCCTCGCGAATACATCCATTCAGATAAGGAAGCTGTTCGAGCGTGCGCCAGTCCAACGGGCCTTCAGATCTTGACTGAGCTAGATTCACTTCATCACGGAGCCTTTTCGACACGGACGAGTCAGTGATGATGTGAAAACTCGCCACACTCAACGCCCACGACGTTGTGATAAGCCCCGCTGCTACAATAAGTTGTGCCTCGTCTCCCAAGCGTGCATCGCTCTTCTGGTCGTCCGGAAGGTCGCTATTCAACACTTCGTGGAAAATCGTTCGGTGCTTAACTGTCTTATAGGAGTCATTTACGCCGTTCCGGATGTTGTTTACCCGACGCGCCAGGTCCTAGAATACTAGGATAAGTAAGAGCCAAGAAGAGAGTCTGCCTCGAGCATCTAACCTTGCGCATCCCGACGACCGAGACAAGGTCCGGTTGCATTTTCAGAACAAGCCATTCTGGCAGAGCATCCAAGATTGGAAATACGACTGGAAAGTGAAGCGCGAAGTGGCCAGTGACATAAATAGCGACCAATGCTTCGTGAAGAGTCTCCCTGAAACCTGGAGAATCTAGCTGATCATAGGATTTTGCGAATGCGTACTCGGTGATAATGTCTGTGGTCAAGGCCATCCACGCTCGATTTAGTGTTATGACCTTGCCATCGCTATATTCTGACAACTTCTGACAGAGCTTATCGACCTTCGCTCGGATAACAGGCTGAAATTCCGATATCTTTTGGGTTGAAAACATAGGACCCAGGGGCTTGCGCCGAAGACGATGAAGATCATGGTGGATCGTCGAAAAACAGTCACTCGCATATCCAAAACGACCAGAGAAATACGCGTATTTGTCCCTCCTCCCATTTCGTGAATAGAGCTGCTCATAAAATTCCGGGTCGTCCACATGCAGCTCGGAGGGGGTTATCCGAACAATACGTCCTAGCCCAAGTGTTATCAGAGTCGCTCTGCTCTGCCCATGCGACGGTGAATTTCATACCATACTGCTTGTGCAGATCCTGGATGTGCTCGGTGAATTTTCCCTGCAGGATAACATCGTAGTAGAACTCATACCAGTTGGTCAGGGCGGCGAGACGCGGCCCCGGGAATCTTGCAAGGGGGCTCCAAAACAATCTGGATAACACCAGCCAGCCAATGTAAGCAGTTAACAGGGTAAACCCCAGAGAGAGGAACGCCCAACTTGGGGTTTCCATGACGGGCTTTTTTTGCGATCAGTCACTTATGAGACTGCCTCTGGGAGCAGCCATTCTTCGGTTTTGTCTCAAGAAAGTTAGAGGGAGGTAAGAGGCCGCAGGGACGTTCTGTTAAGCTCCTTAACAACACTTCGTCCTTTTACCTCTCCGCGGGCTCCATCCCCTCCAAGCCTGCTTTGGGGGGAGCCAGGGGAACGGGTGGCCCATGATCCGGGCGCAGCCCGAAGGTGCTAACACATATTTGGGTCCTTTTGTGTTTGGCTAGAAGTTCGCCGGTCGCTTTCACAGAGATTTAACTCCGAAACACGCCAGCGATCTGATCTTGCGGGCGAATCAATTGCCACTGACTGGGTTCCACCAGCTCTTTGGCATTGCGTGCGGATTGCGGCAACCTTGGCTATGCTGCAGGGCTTCAAGGATGGCGTCTCCATCTTTCAGAAAATAGCGTCGCAGAAGAGGGACAAATTGGGGAAATGGGAACTCAAATTTGCAGAGCCCTCATGGCCGATACGAAGGAACCACCTGAAGAAGTTTGAACCATTGTCAGGTTGCATCCTCCTATCAACGAAGGAGCTACGTCTCCCCAAAACAACACATAAAGACGGCCCTCTCCAAATCCAAGCTTCAGTTAGTGTTGTGCATATCCTTTATCCATTTGATCGAGAAGTTCTTTGGAAATGCGAAAGGATTCAGACGTTACCCAAGGGTTCTGAAATCGAAACGCGTTTTCTGCGTTGCGACGAATCACGCCAAAGCATTTCGACATGGATGTCAACTCACGAGTGAAAGAAAATGCTTGCCCCTGTCCTCCAAACGCGAGGCCATAATTACATTTGTTTTATTATGGAAACAACCAGGATCGTTACCCGACGTCTCTCGGTGAGACGGCGTGATCTCGGTTCGCGGTTATGACTCCATGTACCCCGTACTCCATAGCTGAGTATGGATTATTATTTGTGCCGTCCTTTTTAACAACAACTCCTTGGCCCTGGCATAATAATGCTCGTGCCCACTGTTCCACGGCCTTTGGCCAATTTTTGAGATTTCTTTTTCGAAACTTTCCCGGTTCCGACGGGCCGAATTGAGTGGCCAAGCGGTATTTCATTTGATCTGTTTCATCGCTGTTTAGCCTACGGAAGGGCCGATTTGACCGGAAGCTGGCTGCTTCTGTTACGGGTTGAACACTATACCTGGGCTGCTGAAAACCGGTTATAAATGGATCATCATCCTATAGAACAGGCTGAGGACGGCATCATCCAGATCGAGGATGACGTCGACTCTTCCTACGGGGATTACAGTGATGTGGCATCAGGGACCACCTCACTCTATTCCCAGATCACCAGCCACGTATATGAGAATGGAAGGAGATACAACGGCTGGAGATATGGAACATATTGGTATGTAGCTAGATTGGTCTCAGTTAAAGGCCTCAAGGCTGAACATTCCAGGGGCCCGAACGACGAACAGGCCTCCGATAATCTCGACCTCTTCCATCATGTCTTTAACCTCACTTTTGGAGGACGTACGTTCCTGGCCCCCATAGGCGACAATCCCCAACGGGTTCTAGACCTTGGTACAGGGACAGGAATATGGGCGATGGACTTTGCGGATGAATTCCCGTCTGCAGCCGTCATCGCTACAGACGTTTCTGCAATCCAGCCGACGCTGGTCCCGCCGAATTTGGAATTCCAGATCGATGACTTTTGTGAGCCATGGACGTTTCGGAAGGAGAGCTTTGATTACATACATGCACGATGTATTTACGGTTGCAGTTCGGACTATCCCGCTCTCTATCAGGAAGCGCTTGATCATTTAAAGCCTGGTGGTTGGTTTGAGCAAGCTGAGATTAGTGTGGTGGCACAGTCAGACGATTCATCCTTGAAGGGAACGGCGATTGAGCGCTGGGGACCCTTAGCTCACAAGGTGGGCGACGTATTTGGAAAGTCCTTCCGTATTGTCGATGAGATGACGGACATGATCAAGTCGGCGGGATTTGTCAATGTCAAGAAGCGGACATTCAAATGGCCCATTGGCACATGGCCCAAGGACCCTAAACTAAAAGAGATTGGGCTGTATAACAAGCTGGGCTGGGAAGAAGGTTTGGACGGATGGGCCAATTTTCTTTTCACAAACTACCTTGGGGTGAGTCTGCCCGCCCAGTGATTGGCTTACCTTGACAATCACTCACCAAGGCCTTGACGACAGTGGACTTTGGAGGAAGTTCAGGTCTTGACAGCCCATATACGCAATGATTTACGCAACCCTAAAGTTCATGCGTGGCAACATGTGTGGGTTCCCCGCTTCCAAACCAAATGCGCTGTGTGCTTATATCATTTTTCTTTTTAACATTAGGACTGTTTGTTACGGACAGAAGCCTACAGCCAAGAAAGTTAAGGATTAACTGTTGAATACGGAGTACTCATATTGATATTGCGCACAAGGTTATGATGAATTGAAACACTCTCTTACGATGACATGAATTGTTCTCTTGTTTGATTTCCTTACTTCTCTGGCTGGCCTGGGGTTTGGGCGAGGATTATAGAGCTTGCGCTGTGTATTCTAACTGCCACGACATAGGAATCGTATGTATGAGTTGGGTTATGGGGTGGAGTTGGACATCGACATTTTCAGCCTTGAGGTATTCCAATCACTTCTTGCAATGTTTTGTGGTTGGTTTGTGTTCTCTGCTTCTGGTGTCATTACTTTTCTTACTAGATGCCATATCATGCCGAAGAGGCTCTTTTGAAGACAAGTTATCAGGTAGTCAGTTAACTACAGAGTAGTTGAATAAGCTAGCAGTCAGGAGCTCCACAGAAGTTTTTGTCCTCTTAGAGTGCTGTGTGTACTTGTTCGATACCGCGTCCACATTTTGATTCGCACAGGTACTGTTGGAGAAGTGTGACTGGGAGTAAGCTGAGACATAAATCATTCCCAATAACTGGTTCTGTTCGAGAAGATGGAACTAGCTGACCGACTAGCACACTCACCCAGCTAGAAGAAATCAAACCTCCATTCCCACTTCTTGCCGGTAATAATGTGCAGCGAAGCCAAAATCACTCGAAAATACAAGGACTATCTTGAGGACTTCTAGCGGAAGGTCAACGTCAGAAAAGGCAAGCAGGAGTCTTTGCTGCTAAAGACCACATGCCCGACAAAATACCTTGCTGCTGGAAGAATGGAGCTTAAACCAAATACAATGATCAGATGCTTATTCTGAAACATACATGATGCGTCAAGATCCATGACTGAAGCCTCTACAGTCATTATTCAAGTGCCTGGTAACTGTATTTTGAGATGTTCTACCATGGTCAACCTTCCTCAAGCTCTTGTGAAGATACTTTGATACATGCTAGTAAAAAGATAATAAAATAATATAACTTAAGAAATAATTATTATATTTAGATAGTTCTTATAATTTACAAAGTTTATTATATCTGTATAGTATCTTCTTCATTTTATAATGATCAGACATAGACTTGTTAAGATATAAGAGAGCAAAAAGTTGAGATTTGTATGTGTATTTTGGTGATCCGCTCGGTGGTGAGATCCGCCCGGGGGTGGATTACGTGAACTAGTTAGTTATTAGTTAACTAGCTAGTTAATCAGGTTCCCTGATTGGCTAATGCGGCTTTCCAGAAGGCCTCAATCATCAATCCATCATCGCCATCAGAGCTCGGGAGTCGAGCCGGCCTCAATTCTTCCTGTTCAAACGGAGAGAATTGAACAATGTCGGCAGGGTACTCCTTGTCACGGCACTGTTACCGAAATGTCCGAAATGTGCTCGATTCGTCCTCATTCTCTCGATGTCGTGGAAAACCATTCCTTCGCTCCAAGGTAGAGGCCCGGCAAGCTCCCCGACGATACAATTCAATCTCCGCTGCGGACCTCCAATTTGGTCAACCGCTGCACGAAACACACCCTCACATATTAAAAGCTGGTGAACGTGAGCAATATTGAACACTGTACCCTGTAAGATGGAACTTCGTCGCTGATATATGGAGTAATTCCAGTAACACCCGGGATTACCGCTTTAGAATATGCACACCGGCGTGCGAAACTTGCGGCGAAGCTGCCAAAGGATGCGGTCGCTATCATCAAGGCTGCCGACGTGAAATATAAATCAAAGAGCGTATTTTATGAGTATCATCAGGACTCAGACTTCTTCTATTTGACCGGTACGCCCCTACGCCCAACTCTTCGCTGCGGAAAGATGTCTGATCCCACGATGTTACAGGGTTTAACGAGCCGGGCGCTCTGGCTGTTATTGGTGAGTTTCGAGTGCTCTTGGGATACCGAATTGTGCTGATCGATTAAAGCGAACAATGGGGCCGATGGCGATCATATATTCCATCTCTACGTAAGAGAAAAGGACCCTCAGTCAGAACTTTGGCAGGGCGCTAGATCTGGGACACGAGCCGCCCTCGACGTCTTCAATGCAGATGAAGTAGGCTTCCTCATTCCATTCCATGGACTATTCACTAAGGCAATTACAATAGACCGACAATATTGACAAAATCAAAGATATCCTCCCAGAAATCGTCTCTGGCGCATCGGAGATCTACACCGACGTCAAGGGGTTAACTTCCGCAAAATCTCTCATTTCCCGCTTTTTCCCAAGTATCCAGAATAACGCGGATGCAGCGAATAGGGCAGCGGCTTTTTCAAAGATCAAGCCATTAAGCCCACTGCTTAGCGAGCTTCGAGTGTTTAAAAGCGACTCGGAGATTGCCAACATGAGGAAAGCTGGACAAGCCTCCGGAAGAGCTTTTACAGACGCTATGAAACAATCCTTTTCCAGTGAAAAGGATTTATATGCCTTTTTGGAGTATCGGTTCAAGATGAATGGATGCGATAAGTCAGCATTCGTTCCTGTTGTCGCGGGGGGTCAGGTATGATGCAATTCCATTCCGGCTCATTGCTTGCCTTTATTGACCATTATAGAATGCTCTTAGCATCCATTATGTTCGAAACGATGATATTCTTAGGTATGTTTGCTCTTCCGTAACAACTTCGCGGCCCGTGGAGCTCACCTATGATGATAGGAACGGCAATCTGGTTTTGGTTGACGGCGGTGGTGTATGTTCCTTTCCCATTCCAGGAGCATAAGGATTGGACAGACTGACAAGATGTAGTCATATGGTGGTTATATATCAGACATCACACGGACGTGGCCGATTAACGGCAAATTTACTCCTCCTCAGAGGGACCTATACGCTGCGGTGTTGAATGTGCAGCGCAAGTGTGTGGGATTGTGCCACGAATCTCAGAATATGTCACTGGACGATATTCACGAATACGCCGAACGCGGACTCCGGGAGGAACTTTCAGGCCTAGGTTTCAATTTGTCTCGTTCCGTAAGACCTGCCTTGTGTCTTTGAGCGTGGCGCTCGGTTTTCTAATCTCAATTTCCTGTTTATAGGCGATTAGAACACTATTCCCTCACCATGTCGGCCACTATATTGGCCTGGATGTTCATGATACGGGTGACTATTCGAGGAGCCATGGGCTTCTGAAGGGACAGTGTGTGACCATTGAGCCGTAAGATTCCCCGATCTTTTGTCAAATTGCGCGCTGTTCTCTCACACCCAGGTCTTTCAGCGGTATCTATGTTCCCGACGATGAAAGGTGGCCAGAACATTTCCGAGGGATTGGGATACGAATTGAGGATAGTGTCTGCGTGGGTGACGAGAGCCCACTGGTTTTGACGACGGAGGCGGTGAAAGAGGTACCTCACTAGGATATCCCAATGGGTCCTACTTATCGCTAACTTTTAAATTAGGTCGACGATATCGAGGCCCTTCGCTAAGGGGCGGTGAAGATCATCCGTCTTCAATTGTATAGTATATAATATCATGTTTTAAAATATTAGACTTCTAGCGTACCCCCGTAAAATGTATGTTTATTTGGATGCAGCTCTGACCCCATACGCAGTACCTTATGTAGAAAAATGGATTGGCCTTGAGATGAAGCCTGGGTACTCCGTACTCCGTACTCCATTCTCCATACCCTAGCTCAGCAACGGTTGTCCCTCAATTGAGTGGACTGGCTCGATGACGCTTTCGACGCTGGTGGGCTGCGATCGAAGGAACATTCAGGGGAGAAAAGCGCAGCGAACGACCTCATGGCTGACGTCATACGGGTGCCGGAATAATTAGCTCCGGATCTAAGCCGGAAAGGGGTTAGGGCTCACGCGGTCATGCGCGACGCCAAGAACAGTGCAGCGTTGGTTGGTGGTAACTCTGCAAGTCGCGGGTGTGAAGGGAGCAAAACATGGTGACCCATCCCAAGCATCGAGTGTGTTTACTCCACAAAGGACGGGAGTAGACCGCCTCTGAGGGACAATTGAAAGGAGCTGAACTCCATTCTCCGTTAATCCTGCACGTTTAATTCTGTTGTTGCTATTATTATGGGCGATTCTTGAGCTCCTCTCGTGTGCACGAGGACGCGAGACACCCACCATTCGTCCTTCGGGCCTCACCTTGACCTCCCAAGTCACGTCTCTCTGTATTTCATGGGCGTTGTTCCGTTATACAAAGTTCGAAGTACATGGCAACTATATTAATGCCCTCCCCCCAGACTTCCATTGCAATGTCGAACCGACGGCCCCCCTTGGCCGACGTCCCCAATGCCACCAACTCACCTCATCGAGGCGGCCTCCTAGCTACGAAACGATCACGCCCACTCAACTCCCAAGCCGATAAAGGCCTTGCTCAACCTCCTCTTAAGAAGCAGATACTCCACCGGGATGGCGATCCCAAATCGCCCCGAAAGTTCGTGTGCCAGCCTGCCGAGACCAAGCTCTTTGCGCGTAAGAATAACGCGCAGCCGACTGCATTTGAGCGGAAATTGGCAGCGGCGAGGGAAAAACAGAGCAGTCAGTCTATGTCAAAGCCCAAGAAAAACGCGACGGATTCTGCAGAAAGCATACGGCAATGGCAAAAGCACTATCTAAAAGTGTTTCCGACCTTCGTCTTCTATTTCGATAGCGTTGCTGAGGAGGTTCGACACAAATGGGCAAAAGAAATAACGCGTCTTGGAGGGGTAAGTTTGGGCGATTGCTTCATTCTAATAAACGCTTGTGTTCTGATTGTAAAAAATTTTCTCGGCAGAGCGATGAAAGGTTCTTCTCAAAATATGTAACACACGTTGTCACCGCCCGTCCCATTCCTCCCGACCTTGAGACTCCTCAGTCCTTCGAAGCAAGTACAGCAAACGAGGCCCGCAAAGCGGGTGCTTCTACCGATACTGTTAACCCTTCTCTCCTAGAAAATAGCACAGAAGTCGGCCAGTCACAACAGGGCAGGGCTCGACCTCGAGGTGCATTAGATAAGCGGACATTGGATACAGATGGTAGGAGGGAACTCGGAGGGGGTGTGGATATCCTGTACCGCGCCCGGCAGATGAATATGAAAATATGGACCCTGGATAAACTGCAACGTTTTATTTGCGCTATTCGTGACCACGAACTGCCATACACCGGACATTTTCCTCGCAATAATGCTACGGCAAACAAGACTAAGGCTGAGTCAGATCTATCTGCGGTTTTAAGGAATGAAAAGTTGCACGGGCCCTCTGATCGTGATTCATTAGTCGGGGCAAAGGACCTTGTTCCATTTAAAGGCCCATACATTTACATCTACGACTATTTTGGAAAGACTCGCCCCGTCATGATTCGGGAATACCCCAAAGTTGCAAGGAGGCAGGATGGTGCTTGGCCTCAGTTTCGCAGTGCTCCTTTGGGGAAATGCCCTTTCGTCGAAGAGCCCCAGAACAAAAATGGGGAAAAGCGAGACAAGGCTCAACAAGAAAAGGCGCAGAAACCCCCGATCAAGGAAAAACCCGTTGTCTCTACGGTAGTTAAAGAGATGGCGCCTCCACCCTCATTTGAAAGGCCGGCTTTGAAGCTTCCAGAGGATGAGTGTCGTCGGAAGGTGGCTGAACATATAGAGAACACAAGGGCGCCAATTAGGCAGGGCGAACTACCTCGCACGAATCTTGGGGCTGGGACGACTCCGGCCATCTCATTCGGAGCGTATTCCCGTGGTGAAATAGCTGCGTCGGGAATCCAGCCCTCTAACATTACATCAGCAATTCGATCCCAAATGATTTCGTCGACTGCCGCGATGCCAGGCGCCAAGGCAGGGACAAGTAAAGAAATCCATGAATTAAAGCGAAAAGTATTAGAGAAAAACAATGGGATCCTAGCGGCAGGTCAGAGATCCGCAGATGCTGCAAATACAACCAGCACCGCCAGAGCTCCAACCACGAGAGCCTCCAAGGCCAAGGCTCTGGAGAACCTTGCCACAATACCAGAAAACAGAAAGATTCGCACAACAGACAGCAAAACTCAGAAAACGACTAAAGGACAAACTTCCAGGCGTAGGAAAGACCCGAAACCGGGATACTGCGAAAATTGCCGAGAGAAATTCGATGATTTTGAAGACGTGAGTTTGTTTTTCTTCTTCTGGGAAGCGCCATGTGCTAATATAGCTCTTTCAAGCATATTGTTTCACGGCAACATAGGAAATTCGCGATGACTCCCGCAAACTGGATCGATTTGGACTCAGTACTTGAGATGCTTGAGCGTGAGGAAAAGTATGACCCGGATATGGACACTGCTGATTATGACTATCATTGATTACGGGTTGTGCGCTATTCAGATTTATAACTTTCTTATGCTGCGCTTCCACGCATTTGTTGATAAAGGCTCTCCGTAACGCCCGTATTGCTACTGGACCATGGGGCTTCAGCCTGAGCTGGTGATCCTAGGCCACACTGTAGCTATTGAGAGGACGAGAGAGAATCTCACTGGTGTATTTAGATTTGCACTTGTACTTGCATATCTCCTGTTTCTGTAGCGGTCGCAAATCTTATTCTGTTGGCTTTACGTCTGGCAAGTCTACCTTACGCATTGCTCTATTTTCATACGGGCGGTCTTATAGCTTGACCTTTTGTATCCATTACCCTTTGCTTCTCTATCCCACCTCTTATCTCGAGACATCTGTTCCGGTCATTATCGAGGGTGTCTCCCATCTTCTCCAGATCTTTGTCCGAGGCGACGTTCTTCTCTACCTTTTTCTCCTGCATATGGGATAAATCATGCCTATGACAAAACACCGTGCTTGCTGTACATAAACGAGATCTCTCGGAGCTTGAATATCTTTCGAGAAACATTAGCTCTTTATATTTTTATAATTTCGACAGATATGCCTATTTTTCTTCCATCGCATGCATCCCTATCCACGGAAAAGGAGAGCAAGGTCAACTAGGTCCCCAAAGGCCTTTCCACAACCCATTCACCTATCCTCTCAGACCTCCTATTCAGAGGCCTAAACAAGTAACCATTCTGTTCTTAATATCCCGAATGAACTAGGAGACCTTATGTCATGCAGGGCCCAGGGATTCACGTGCCCTGAAAGGAGTCTGTATCCTCCTTTCACACAACGGGTAATACCGAAGTGTTTGTAATATTTATATTTCCAAAAAAGCTCTCACTCTCAGCACCATCTTCTTTCTGTAATCTCCTTCTCACTCGCTTGCCGAGCGCGTTGAGTGGTTGCTTTGCTTCTCATTTGCTTCTGCACATCTCATCTCGCGTCAACAGCGCCATATTGAGCCCTTCCAAACCCTAGATCGATAGGGAGAGGTGGTTCCTTTAGGCCTCTCTGCTTGAAAACTCGCTGTTTCAGAGGGCCTCTGCCCTTTCACCTGCTTGACCGCGTTGCTTTGTTATCTTGGCTTTGCTGTTCCTCCCACAAGGCCTTTGACACCTGTTTATCCCCCCGAATTGTCATCCTGTCGCTTCACTTCCTCTTCTAAGGCTATTCTCACCCCCCTATCCTCCCGAAAGGGCATTCCTGAACATTCACTGGCACTTCTAAGACCACTTATCCTCCTTAGCCTCCCGAAGTGGTGCTGTCTTGTCCTCTCTGCCTTTCTAAGGCCAGAAAAGCCTCCTTGTCCTCCCGAAGCAGAATCCCCTTCACATCTGCAACGAGTGACGCGCCACCTTGCATGTTGTTATCAGCCGATTGCTGAAAATGGCTGCTCCACAAGAAACACTGTAAGTGCCAAACCATAAGAGGTTTGTTGAATGTGTGTCGCGTTAACAATGTGGTAGCATTATGGCACTGGCACCTCGACGCCCCATCCAAAACATTCTTGAATTGCCGCTCGAAATATTCTTCATAATTGCATTCTTCTTGAACAATCGTGACCTTGCGAACTTGAGACTTGTGTCAAAAGATTTTGCCTGGGTCGAAACAGTTTTGTTTCGGAGCATTTTTATCAGAATGTCACCCGACCTGGTGCAGCGAGCTCAGGATTTCATCAACACGCGTTCTTCCAATCTCACTATTCGCAGCATCGCATTCGGCACTATCTTTGCTGTTCCAGGTGTGAGAGGTGTTAGGACTTGGAGGATACTTAGAGATGCCATCCCTGCATTTGCCGCGCGCAGAGATATAGTTAACCTTCAGACTGTAAGGATGTGCCCAAGCAGCACTGAACTGATACCATTTCTGAACACCCTGCGGCGATGCGGTATCACAACAATTCGAAATTTAGATGTTCAGCGATATACTGGAGCTCGCGGAAAATACCCTCGCGATGGAGCTCAGCTGGCCGAGGTTCTCGCCGAGATCGAAAATCTTCGCCTCTCTGTCGAGGACACTTATGGAGATTTTTTCTTTGTGCCCTGGCTCCTTGCTGAGTGTTCGAACGTGACGGTCTTCGACATGTCGTACTGGGCCTATCCCGGAAGGGCGCCTCGCTGCCCAGAAAACCCTTTCGCGTTAGGACTCGCAGGAGCATGGTTCCCCCGCCTGCGATCTTTGACCTTGTCTAATATTAGACTGGACCTGCACTCCTTCACTTGGCCGATCTTTGGCGGTCCCGCGTGCCTCGAAACAATCAGGCTATGCAACGTCTTGCTCCAGCCAACGGACCCGCGACGATTTCACACGCAGAACTGGCCCTATTGGCCAACTATCTGGATAGACGATGGATGGGACGCCGTGATCCGACAGCTGATTTCGAGATTTGAAAATACCCTTACGCGGGTGGAAATCCGGTATCCCTGGGAGGCCTCATTCCGAGATGGCGACTTCAGGTGGGGTTCAGCCTCATATCTCCGATGCGATAATCCAGTTGTGAAGATCACGGGCTGGGAGGTTGGAATCTTCTATTACATGTAATGGAGGCGGCACGAGAGTCTAAGGAGAGATAAGTTTGTTTTTTGCTGGGTGAGAATGCAGTGGCGCATTGGATAGGCGTGGTGGTGGCTCAAGGGTTTCTTTGTTGGTTTATTTTATATTTCCTTTTTCTTTCTTTTGTAAAAAGAGGTCGAAAATAAAAAGAAAAGTGTTCTACTCTGTAGTGAATTAGTTAACAGACAAAATACAACGCTGTTGCTCAAGAATCAGAATCACACATCCCATCCATCGCCGTCTCTGTGCATATATGTAGTAGTAAAAACATTCTCGGATTCAGCGGCGGGCACATGACCTCTTAGCCGGATCGAGCCTAGCCTGCCTCGGCCAGCGTGACTTCTCGCCGGTTAGGTGAACGATGGCCGAAAATATTCTCCTGTCTACGCTGCATATACCAGCACGTCGCTCGAAATTCCCCCTCGACAGGCAACAAATATAAGCTGAGACTGTGGCCGCAATGGACGCGGTTCCTCCATCCTCTCCACATTGGAGTCATCGCCAACACTCCGTTGCCCGCCACGCCCCCTCTTTGAGTTCCTGAGTTCAACCCAACTCTCCGCGTCTCTCCTTCGAAGAAGAAGAAGAAACACACACACAGCGCGCTGCAGACCATGGTTCTCCGCTCTCCTGCCCACGTGGTGCGCTCGGCTCGTCCGGCTCTCCTGATGGCTAGGCCTAGAGCAACGCTGTCCATGGCCTCACAAGTGTTTGCTCCCCTTGCGCTGAGGTCTCCGACCCCGCAACAAAATCAGAGGCGCCAGAGCTCCCATTCCCCAATGGGGGCAGCACCTATCAATCCTAGAAAGCAGGTCACCGTCAAGACTCTGCAATCGCTTTACAAGAAGAACGAGCCGATCACCATGATGACCGCCCATGATTTCCCCAGCGCCCATGTTGCGGAGGCGGCGGGCATGGAGATGATTCTTGTTGGCGACAGCCTTGCCATGGTTGCGTTGGGAATGGCGGATACGAGTGAGATCGGCCTGGAGGAGATGATACTGCATTGCCGGAGCGTCTCAAGGGCGGTCACAACAGCGTTCACTGTATGTCTTTTTTTTACCCCTCCTGTTCTTATCGCTTTACAGCATCTAACTTTGCAAATTTTACTTAGATTGGAGATATGCCCATGGGCTCTTACGAAATATCCCCAGAACAGGCCCTCCAGACAGCCATTCGCCTCGTCAAAGAAGGCAGGGTACAGTCTGTAAAACTGGAAGGCGGATCGGATATGGCACCGACAATCAAGCGAATAACCCAAGCCGGCATTCCCGTCGTCGCCCACATCGGTCTCACTCCACAACGGCAAAATGCTCTGGGTGGCTTTCGCGTCCAGGGTAAATCCACCGCGGAAGCGATCAAATTCTTCCACGATGCGTTGGCTGTCCAGGATGCCGGAGCATTTATGGTAGTTCTCGAAGCCGTTCCTGCCGAGGTTGCGAGCATCGTCACCAAGAAACTGAAGATACCTACAATTGGTATCGGCGCGGGTAATGGTTGCTCGGGCCAAGTGCTCGTGCAGGTGGATATGGTTGGGAACTTCCCCCCAGGGAGATTCCTGCCGAAATTTGTGAAGAAGTATGGCGATGTGTGGGGTGAGAGTCTGAGGGCTATCGAGCAGTACAGGAACGAAGTGAAGAGTCGAGAGTACCCGTCCAAGGAATTTACATATCCTTCCGTGAAGGAAGACGTGGAAGAATTCCAGAAGTTTGTCGATGAGCATCATTGATCCTTTCGCTGTCGTTGACGTGTTGCGATGGATCTGGTCTCGCGCCATTCGTACAATGACGTACATACATACATACATACATTTTCTCTTTAATACCCCTCTGTTGATAACTTTTTACTTATACTTTATTCTTCTTGGATATAATGTCCAGCTAGACCTCTCAAATATACCAAAACATCAAATAAATACATACTCCATGATTGCTTGGACTTTCTCTCTGTTCTTCATCACTGTTATATACATGCATACAATAACAGGTTATTTTAGGTTGATATTTCGCGGAGGGGTGCCGGAATAACCAGGCTATTTGGGGGGGTGGTGTTATAACATTTGTAACAAACCCTCTTGATAACTTCGTATGCTGTCATCATTTTTGCATTCTCCCTGGAGCTCAGACTTTATCTTTATTATTCAGTCTCCTGCGGGGATGCAGGTGTCATACCAGCAAGACTGATTCCAATGCACGTTAACTGACCGCGAGGGTGCTGTTCCTTTGCCCCGTATATGCGATTCCAAATTGGAAGACGATCGGGAGATAGACAACCCCAAGCGCCAGTAGCAGTAATTGCTGCAGAATCATTGAATCCTAATTTAACCTAACCCCCGGACCTCTCACCCGAATGCTGGGGTCATAGAATAAGAAACAATCAGTTGATCATCAGTTTTGAAGCACTGTATTCTACTATTAGCTCTTTAAATCGATTCCAAAACAGGGTTCCTTAGAGAATAAGTTCAAGGGATCATGCAGCTCACCCTCCAAAGCCCGCCCACACTCTCGTCCAGTCCCGGTGCAAACACGCTGTTGACATAGCAGAACACTGAGTCCGATTCCGAGCAATCTAACTTCTTGCGCAGGAATCGAACGACAGTTTCGAATTTCTGGGAGGCGCTGATTTTGAATACCCGGTTTCTGAGGATTGGAGCTGAAGGGAGAGGGTGGAAACGGACGGTTACTATGTAAACGTTGTGAGTGGGATACAGGTGCTTTGTATATTGGGCATATGCGCTTTTCAGTAAGATGCAGCTTTCGGTACAGAAATTAGGACGTATGTATACAACCATGTTCCATATAGTAGTTTTTCCCATGGGGATAAATGATTATCGCAGGATCATATATGATTTTTCAAGCATTAATTATCGTTAAGCATACCTTTCCCCGCATCAATCGCTTCCACATCCGCCAATGCTCGATGCGCATCTTTCGGTAGCCCGGTGAGAATGACGGATGCCGTCATTGTCAACGGCAGTTCTGCGCCGTGATCCTCATCGGGAATTGGAGCCGTTGCCGCCGGTGACTCTGAGCCATTATTGGTATCTCTTCTGGCTCCGATCTGGGGCCGACTGGCTTGCCTGGTGTTAAGTCCGAGATTGCGGGAGGCGGACCGTGGGGAGGAAGGTTTGGAAGATCCTGGGGACGGGATTGGTGGAGTTGCGGACATGATTCCTAGAGACAAGAAGGTATTGACTGGGTGGGCTGAGGGGCAAGAAACCCTACTGAGAGGTGTTGGTATTGCTGCCGTCAAACAAGGTGGTGGGCTGATGGTTTGAGAGGGACAATAACTAGTTAAACTACGTTGGCTGGTTGCATTCATCATCACCTCAAGAACACCGGAGCTCTCGGCGCCACCATCCACAACTTTAACAACAGCTGGAAACCTGTCTTCAGGGTGCCACATCTCCCGTCCCATTTAGTTCCAAGGTCCACACCCCTCATCATGGGCCGGTCCTGTGGATCAGACCTTACGAAGCCGTACAGTGTCCCACCAAAACTAGCTCAAGCACTGGACACTAAAGAAACGACTTTCTTACTCCCCCGCTCTTCGATCCTGTTTGAAGAGCATCATCTAGTTCCTTAAATCCCCTCCTGAATACCCAAAATCTGTTTCCAACATGCCAATTCACAACGTCGCCATTGTCGGAGCAGATGGCGAGCTCGGTCCATCAGTCCTCAAGGCCCTGGCGTCATCAGGACATTTCAACGTCACGGTCCTGAAGCGCAAATCTTCCACTTCAAATTCGACCTATCCACAGTCAGTCCAGACGGTGTTTATCTCGGACGATTTCCCCGCCGATGAGCTTGTCGCAGCGCTCAAAGGTATAGACGCAGTCGTGGTCACCGTCAATGGCACCCTGGCCGATCTCCAGAAGCGTATCGCGGACGCCGCCGTCACGGCTGGCGTGAAGCACTTCATACCGGCCGACTTTGGCAGCTGCGATTCCCAGGATCAGCTGACCCGCGACCTTGTGCCGCTCTACCAGAGAAAGGCGGATGTGCGGGAGTATCTACGGCAGCTGGCATCTCGCCATGAGAATTTCTCCTGGACTGGTATAGTCTGCGGGCATTTCTTCCATGCTGAGGCCCTGAGGTTCATGCATATCGATATAAGATCATGCACAGCGGAAGTATTGGATGACGGAGAGACGCGCTGCTCCGCTAGTACGCTGCCGCAAGTTGGCGCTGCCGTGGTGAAAGTGTTGGAGAAGTCGGGAGCGGAAGAGATCAAGAACAAGGTCATTTACATTCAGAGCTTCTGTGCAACGCAGATGGAGGTTGTGAGAGCATTTGAACGGGCGACGGGCCAGTCCTGGAAGGTGAATCGTACCGACCCTCAATCCTTTGTAAAGGAGGAAAAGGCCAAGGCAGATGCCAATGGGATTGTAGGGTCAGAGGAATTGGTCTGGGTCCTGGGCACATTACACGCAGACTGGGAGAAAAAGGAAGAGTTTGTGAATAAATTTTTGGGATTAGATGAAGAAGATTTGGATAAGGTTGTTGCCGGATTTGTGGCTTAACATGGCATAGATCACTTGGTTACATAGGAAGACTGGTTCATTTTCCTTGCGTTCACACTCCATACGGTCTCATAATAATCATAGCTACATAGACATATGACCTATGTGCAATTCTTTCCGGGTGCTCCAATACTAATTCAGGGTCATAGTGGTGCTGGGTAACATGCATTTCCTGTGGCAGGATATATATATCCATACTCAGACAAAGGGCCTAGATGATGATGGCCAGGAGAGGTGTAAAGTCCCACCGGTAAAAGTAAAACAAAGTCTCTGCAGCAGCTGCTTGCTGTCGCCCTATCTGGTAAGCCATGATCATGTGTGCGGCTGTTGAGCGGCTTGCCTCCTGGCCTCCCCAGGTCACCCCGACGAACCCCCTGTCATCCTCAGTTTCTCAACGTCATTGCTCACGCTTGTCATCAAGATCACACTGCTGAATTCCTTTTCAACCACTGGCACGGACTCCTAGAGCCCCCGATTGTACAGAGTGTTTTTAAGCATTGACTATGGCCTTCCTGAACAAGCTGCTTTGGTGCGGTGGTGGAGATGGTGATAGTGATGAAATTGTGCATTTCCCCCTCACCACTTTGAAATGAACCATTGCTAACAAGCGCATCAGCAGGAGAATGAAGCGCCCTCGGGATGCCGTCGGATGTGGACCAAAGTCAAGTCATGGTTCTCATCGAAGAACGGGGGGCAGGAAACCACAAATGTTTGTGACTCTTTTCCCCTGCTGTCCTCTAGTTTCTGCTTAAACGAGGACAGCAAGAGAATCCGACGAACGATGCCCCGAACTCACGCGAGCAGAATCGATACCCGGCGCAGGTCCCGAATCCCGGATCAGACGCGGCAACTCTTAGACCCCCGTCGATCTCACCGGCCTCAACACGCGCTTCGTCGCGTGAAGGGTCGATAATATTGCCACAGAGACCTTCATCGATGATAGGAGTGACCATTGATGACTTCATTGCATATCAGAACTGGGTGGTATGTACAGCCCAACCATGTCATGGCTTTTCTCCTTGGCTAGAGACGGCGGAGCTGACGGATGCTGTCTTCAACAGGAGCGCGGTTACTGAGCAGCCGCGGATGGTTGGTTGGGTGTCACTCGAGAATCATCTTTTTTAAGGTAATTAACCTGTTGAAGTTGAGGACCTTGGTTGGTCTGTGAACTCTGTGGATTCGATAATCAGCAGATATAGGGTGGTATATATATGAAAGGCAGGTTTGACTTTAATGTCTGGCTGTTGAAGATGCGGGCTGGTGCAGCGCTTGTGCTTCGTTCATCCGTTGAACGTGGCTGACTGGCAGTATCACACCTCCCTATATAACTATCTGATGCTCTGCTTTCAAGTATGCGTGCGTGTGTGTGTGTGTATGTATCATGCTCTCTCCGTTATGAAATGACATGGCTCCTTTCGAGAACGTGAGCAAAACCGCACGGACCAAGGATGGCGCCATCGCCGGTGACTGTGAATGGTGTGAACTGCCGGCTGCCGGGTCATGTGTGACTTGCAGAGAATAAAGCCAATGGAACCACGCGGTGGGCCGGTGGCGGCGTCGAGTCAGCGAGTCAACTCGTTGCTACCGAACTAACTGGCTGACCGGCTAACTGACTAACTGACTCTTGGGTGGACTTATGTACGGAGAACGGAGGAGTTAAACTAGTTGGGTGGTTAGTTACTTACCCACCTGCCCGACAAGCCGGCCCGGCTGCGTGAATTCCAACCCAAAAGCCAGTCGCTCCCAACGTCATCTCTCTGCCTCTTCAACGTCGCTGCGCTGTTAACGTCTCCGGTGCCTTTTTTCTTTTGCTTCTCGACCGCCTGCAGATCCTCGAGTCTCAAGCCCACATCGTCGCCTACGCTCTGCTAGCTAACTAACTAACACACAGCTCCTATTCCTAGACTCCTTCTGACATTGCTCCCATTAATGACTAGTTATCTGCTCGATCTAGCCGTGTCAGATCCGTGCCCCCAATTCCGCACTGACAATCTTCCCTGCATCCTTACCCCGCCGAGTTCGCTCCCTCGACAGGACTCCCACTTCACTTCACTCCTGGGATAGACTCGCATTTACGCTCTCAACCCCCAGCTTTCGAGTGACAAGTTACTCACAAAGTTATCCTATCGTCATCAGAACCCCGCAAGCGTCTGGCTTACCCATTGGAGTTTCGGCAAGATGAGCAGTCCAAAGCGGAGAATTGAGACAGATGTATGCCCCGCGTTGAACCGTCAAATGGCTTGAAAATGTGTGTGCTTCAAGGGACTGTTTGCTGACTGCCATCTCCGATGTCTTCGGGGTCCGCTTACCGCAGGTCATGAAGTAAGGCCCTCTTTTCTTGCTCTTTGCCAGAAGGTATTTGCTAATTTGGTGAACAGGATGTACAATACCCCCTTCGTTTTGCTCCCCTCTCTGCGAATTTCCCGCTGGGAGACGCTACGCTTCTCCGGATTGCTAACCTCGGTACGACCGTGCTAGGTTGATGAGTGACTATGAGGTGACGCTCGTCAATGACAACAGTAAGTCTCGGTCACTGGGTCCTGAAATGTTTGTATGGACGCATCACTGACGAAGGCTTCCCGATTTAGTGTACGTGCACTAGAATACTGCTTTCCAACTGCATTCAAAAAAATACTAACCGGAATCTCACTTTGCAGGCAGGAATTCTACGTCCGCTTTAAAGGTCCGGAAGAGAGTGCGTCGTCCCTGTAGGAGCCACCATCCTACTCCGTTACTAACGCCGTACAGCACCGTTTGCCGGTGGCCTCTGGAAAGTACATGTGGAGCTCCCGGACCAGTACCCTTACAAGAGTCCGAGCATCGGCTTCGTGAACCGTATCTACCACCCGAATATCGATGAACTGTAAGCTGCACTTGAGAATGGGATACACCACGACTGCACGCTGACAAGCGACCAGGTCCGGATCTGTTTGCCTGGACGTCATCAATCAAACATGGTCGCCGATGTATGACATGATCAACATATTCGAGGTCTTCCTCCCACAATTATTGCGTTATCCAAACCCGTCCGATCCGCTCAACGGAGACGCTGCGGCTGTCTTATTGCGAGACCCCAGCAAATATGAGGCTAAAGTCAGAGGTATACCTCATGCTGCCTACTTCCCCCGTTCAACGATTTGCTCCGCTAATACTACGTTCATTGACTAGAATATGTGGCAAAGTACGCAAGTAAAGATGCCGCTGACGATGCAGGCGAGGATACTGGTGAGGAGGACGAAATGAGCTCAGTCGGAAGCTACGAGTCTGGCGGCGAAGAACCAGCCGGCGAGATGGACGACGTGTGACCCCTCCCGTTTCAATTTTCATCTACTCACTTTGCTGCATCTGGGAGTTCATTTCTCTCTCAAGTTTTTTCTTTCCTTTTCTCTCGGAAATGAGGACGGATCCATCTTTCAAGGAGGGGTGCTATAGGCGTTAGGCACTGGTGTCAAGCATAATACACCAATGGAGTACCCAGGTTCTGGGGACAGAAGATGCATGCATCGGCTTTGATTTGGCCAGCCTTTTGATCTGTCTAGTTTTCTTTTTTTTCACTGGTGTCGCATTCAGCATTGTCTTAATTGAATAAGCTTCTTCGGCGTTGTCTTTCAATGTATGTAGTAAGGATTTATAAGATACATAAGATCCCCTGTTTATGCCGGGTAGTCTTCTTCATGAACTTGAGACAAAAGTAGTATATAAATCTACAGTTGGCTCTTCTTAGTTACAGTGAAGAATGACTTTCATTAAATGAAGTGCGGTTACCAGCTCAAAAACTTGAACCAAAAAAAATATGGGAGTTCGCTAAGGAATTTTGATGCCCGGAAGCATGATACTGAGAGCCGAATATGTACATCGCTATCCATCTTGCCCAAGACTGACTCCGATGCTCTTGCAAGGTAAATAAATAAAATTAAAAAAAAAAAAAAAAAAAAAAAGAAAAGAAAAGAAAAGAAAGGAGTATTGATAAAAAAAGCAGGAGAGAACGATAGAGAAAAATACCGACAACCTGAGGACATCCTCGTTTAGAATGTATAACGGCGCTGGGACGAGTCTAAAGGCGTTATTTGCAAAAGGAAATGTGTCATTGTGGTTCCGGGCACTATCATCTGCCACGATACAAATGTGATAAAATGAATGACGAGCGGTCGACTTGGTCGAGGTAGCAGTCGAGGACACCAGCGCAGTAGCGTGATCCTGCCGTGCGGTCAAAAGGGCTATTTTGGAAGCTTCGTTTAATCCGGTTTCCATCGCTCCACGCGAGCTTCTCCCCCATGTTCACAGGGATGTTGGTACGAAAATCTACTTCACCACCAATGCTCCGAAGAAATCGTCCGCCGTGGTGCCATCTTCGTTGGTCCCGTTGATACCGGGTCTCTTCTTTCTTCCTCTTCGATTCGTCATGACGACTTCTCCCCAGTGTCTCGGTACGGTGGATAGTTCGGTGGCCTCTCCCAGTCCGGCATCGCGGCATGCGACATATTTCATTCCCGGAATCTCGCCTGGAAGGGGCGACGGGGATCGGTCTGCGCGTTCTTGCGGATGTGTTGGATGGGCGAGTGCCGAAGCGTCTTCACCTTTTGACAGCAGTGTCGGAGAGACCACATTTGCTCGATCGTTGCTGGGGAGGCGGGAGGAGGATGCTGTGGTAGCTGTGCTGCTTTGCGCGGGAGGAACTAATGGTTGCGACTGGACGGCCCATATATCAATTACGGAGCTAGATACACGGAGCATTGAATCAGCTTAGATGAAGCAGAAGCTGGGCAAAAGGGGTCGCGGGAGGGCATACTCCGATGTGCGTTGGCAGATTGCCTCCAAGGCTTCTCTTTCGCGCTTCAGGTCTTCCGGATCGGGCCCGTGACGCTGTGCCTGAACTGTACCGTAGCTATAGCCCGGCTGATAGACATCGTCATCTAGCAACCGTGACGCTTCGGACTGAATTTGCGCGATCAAGTTAGCTGCAAAATATGATTGCGATCAAGGCAGATGGGGAGCCTCACGTCATGACTTTCCCGTCTCGCCAAACCCAGGCAAGACGCGCAGATGCCCATTGAATCTGGAGTCGGAGAAGCGCCTCCACCTCAATCAACCAGATAAAGTGCTAGATGTAGCTACAAAGTAACTGTCTATGTCGATAAAAATCACAAGAGTAAAAAGTCACAACAATTAAGGACTGTTGGAAAAGAAGTGAGTAGATTCAGCCAGGCAGTGGGCCTGGATCACAACCCATGAGGGATAGAGAAACTGCACGCGCCTGCAGTCAAGAAGAAAAGAAATCGATTGCTAGCTGCAGGAGGGTGCGCGATCTCGAGGGGCTGGAGGGACATTTGACTATAATTCTCCCTGCCTTTGAGGGGGTGTTTTTTTTTTTTCTCGGCTGCGATGAACTGGCACTGACGCTACTGTGACAAGCCGCCAGGGATCGGAGCACAAGGGCTGGGGCTGCCCAATCATGGGGCACAACGGGCCAACCCAGGGATTCTTCACCACCCGGACGATCTGCTGCAATGAATCATTGATTGCGGATGAATATCTGAACTCAACAAGCGACAAATTTGATCAATCGACTGACCAAAAACACTCATCTTACTGCTGTCAGTTGTTCTTTTTAAGAAAAAAGAAAAATGTTTGAGCTGCCCAATGCAAAGCGGTACGTAGTTAACTACCTACCCTCTCTCTGCTTTCGTCCGGCAGAAGTCCTATTGTCTGGTGGACCATGTCTTTACTCTGCGCCCTGCTACCTCGCTTCTTCCTCATTGTACCCAAGAGCAGCATCGCATCTGCGACTAATGATCCCGCAGTGTTTGCCGTGAAGATCTCAAGTCCCCCTCCCCTCCCCGCTCCCAGTCCCCCGCCGCCAGCGACACAGCCGCCTACGCTACAGACGCACTTCGAAAAGCGTACTCCTCACTCGAGATATTCACGGCACCTCCGGTTACAAATGCGACGACTATAGGTACAGGTCTAGAGCATATAGACGAACATGAAGAGGAGGAGGAGCAGGAATTCGAGTTCAGACTCTTTCATTCCGCCGCACCAAACGCGACGCCGCATGGAAGCACCGCGAAGCGCAGCGACGGTAACGGCCAAGCTGAAGACAGAGAGCGTGTGAATACTCGTGTTCCGGCTGTACAAAAGCTCAGGATCAGGCTCCGTTCACCTACCCCGGCCCGTACTGGAGAAGGAGGGTTCCTTGTTCCCTTTCGCGGATGGGAGTATTACTTCTCCGATCCGGAATCCGTAATGCGAGTGTTTAGTGGAGGTGCGCAGGATCTTAAGCCCGCATTCCCGGGGTCGGAATCCAAAAATCCAAAGAGGCAGAATATTAGGGAGCAGTTTTTTGAAGTCGCTGTTACCTCGGAGGAAGTGCTGGCAGCTGCGCAATCAGAAATCTGGGTACGTTGTTTTTCCCCCCCCCCCCCCCTTCTCTTCTCCCCGGGGTGTTGCCGCGCGGCGAATTCCGTATACAAGTCATCTCCGCTGACGATTCAACAAGCCTGGCTGCCATCTTCCCTGGCGCGTAACACACCTCAAGCTTCCGTCCTCTTCCACAACTAGAGCCTCAGCTCCCTCCGCCACCACTACGCCACTACCCACAACAGAGCCTTCAAGATCCAAAAAGAAGAAACCAGGCAAGAAGAGGCGGATAGTGCTCCGCAAGCGCGCGGCGGCAAAAGCAGCAACCGAAGAAACAGAGAAAGAGAAACGAACGAGACGGAATCGAGAGAAGAAAATCAAGCGAAGGCAGAGAGAACGGGAGAAGAAAGCCGCCATGCGTGCTGAGAACGGCGAAAACGAGATCGAGGCGCGCAAAGGGATGAGCGCACCGGAGAGCGATAGCGAGGGCTCGGATTAGGTGGAAAAGAAGGGGAGATACAATGCCCTGTGTCTCTAGAGATTTACACTAAGCTATTGCTATTCCGCCCGCCGTCGAGGGAAGAAAGCACCAATTGAAAAACATCCATGAAGCATAACTTTCCCGATAAATCATTCATAGCTCACATCGCTTTCACCTTCCATTTAGTCTGACTACGAACTCGAAGAATGATAAGCCAACGCGTACTAAGAACAGTTTAAGGGACACTGGATCGGTAGAAAGCAAATATGAGCCGGCATTACGCAAAATGTAATTTACAGCAAGCGAAACGGCTAAAAGAATATACATTGGAGGAAAGGGTATCAGGCAAGAAAATCCGTAACAGAGCCATCATAACTTCGCTTAGTGGTATCACTGAGGCCGTTCCCCGGCGCACAATCGGCAAGCCTTCCATTGCAGACGTAATGTCGATTCGACTAAGGTACTCATTTGATTATTTGGGAGCTTCACTCTCAGCCGGTGCTTTTGTTTCCGGCGTGGCATCGGGTTGCGCTGGCTTTTCCTCTTCTTTGGCGGGTGCAGTTGCTGCGGATTCCGTGGCTACGGGAGTTTCAGCAGGTTTCGCCTCAGGAGCCGGTGTGGGCTCCGCGGGCTTAGAGGGAGTCTCAGTTGGGGCGGCTGACGCTAATAACAACCCGGCATTAGATATTTCTCAGAGAACATCCAACCCATCGTCGAGGTTTGACGATCACATACCTTGTGTGGGTGGTTCCGCGGGGGCGGGTTCCTCAGGCGCTGGTTCCTTAGGAGCAGGATCCTTGGGAGTCTCTTCCTTGGGAGTCTCTTCCTTAGGAGGCTCTTCCTTAGGAGTCTGTTCCTTAGGAGTCTCTTCCTTAGGAGGCTCTTCCTTGGGAGCAGCTTCTTTAGGGGCGTCGGTTGCTGCAGGTTGCGTAGGCGGCTGCGCTGTCGGAGCGGGTTCAGTGGTTGGAGCCGTGGTGGTCTCTGGAGCCTGGCTGGGCTGTGGAGCAGGAGCACCGCCTTCGGTAGCCGGGGCGCCCGAGGTTGTAGCCTCGGGAGTCTGAGCTACTGGAGCAGCCGCTGGAGCGGCAGGAGGTGGTGAGGTTTGGGTTGGTTCGGTCGCAGGCGCGGTGGGCGTCTCAGCCGGCTTGTTTTCAGCAGGCGGCGCGGGTTGCTCATCATCCTTGGTTGCGTTCTTCTTCTTTCTGCGCAGGAAGAATTTTTTGAAGCCTTTCTTCAGCTGATCGAGAGCATCGGGGGCTGATGAGGAGCTCCTGGTTAGTACAACGCCGAAGCACGCCGCCCAAAAAGGCCCCTAAGCAGAAAAGGAACACCTACGAACTCCTGGCATTGTGAAGGTGAGGGTGGTTGAACCTGGATCTTGCTACCAGTTCGGAACTTGAAAAGGGGGTTTGGACCGAGATCGGACGAATACGGAGCAGTTTTCAGGGGGGCTTCTAATTAGTGATTGGTGTAATAGATACTTTCACAGTGAAACAAAATATGACACAGAGCCACAGAGCAATCAATGGTCCAACAGAGAGTGTGATGGGCCTGTGAAGGAGACAGTGGTAGACAGAGGGCGGTGGTTGTGCGGTTCTGGCCGTGGTGGTTGTGGTTGTGGACACTGTTGTTGTGATCGCGAAGAAGTGCTGAGACACGATGAAACCAGAAAGAAGCAGCTGCACCTGGCCCGTGCACAGACCACCGTGTGCTGACTTTTGTGGGGAAAGCACTATCCCCAATATGGATGTCACATGATGGAGCTAGTCAGGCACCGTCTGGCTTGGCAGAACCTTAATCCGACGCGTGAACTCGCCTGATATTGCCTTTTAATATTATTATTATTATTATTCATTATAGTCTTATGCAGTCAGTGACTTGCCTTTTAATATGGAGTGCATCAGCAGTACAAATGAGGTCTCTATTCCGTAGCGCCAACACCCAGGACCAAATCTCGAAACAACTGAAGGAGGTCACCTGTATTTGGCGAAGGGTTCCTATCAGCCATAGCGGCGTTTAGAGTGTCATAGAAAGCCTAACAGTAGCTCAGGCTCTCACTGACAGAGCCCACCGCTCATCAACCCATCGAGAAAGAAACAACTATCTGATGATTTCTGCCTGTTTCTAACCACCGTCCTGATTAGGTTGCATTCCAGAATTCTCCACTGAGGTTCAACGAGAGAGGACAAAGATTCCTCAGTGAAATTCAGGCAAAACAGCACAGCCTTTGAGCACAGCGTAGGCTTTCATATTGAGCAGTTGATAGCCTCTTTGGACATGGGAGCCATGATTACTGTCGGTTCATATGCATTCTTTGTAAGGTTGACTACATAACACTTGCTTTAACAAGGCCAAGAAAAGCACAAAAATGTGTGGCGTAGAATCGGCCGGACGGGCATTTGAGTATCAGAGTTTATGACCTGGCCCGGAGTTGAAAAGGGACCCGACGCCGCGAAGTTAGTGGAATATTCTAAATCACACTGGTAGCATTTCGAAGAAATTGAGACCATCAAGGACGCTACCCTTTACTACGAACTGGGGAAATGACATTTATTGGAGAGGTCCATTGCTGCCTGTGGCGGACAGCGTATGTTTCAGCGTTGAGAACGATGTCCATGGAGGAGTATCAGACAAGCTAATTCATAAGCGCCATCGTGATCTCGGTTGGCGGTGCAGACATATTCACGTCATGATGTTAACTATGGCTCAGTCGCAGCCAACAGAATGCCCCGGCGTCGTCTAAGAGAGTACGAAACTTGAGAACACGGTTCGATAACTCTAGAATCGGCATATCACAAGTTAATAGAGACTGACTAAAAATTGAATTCGCGTTTCTTGCATTTTCCGTAAAGCTCATAGCTCTAACTCCTCACAAGGCGGAAACAGTCGCTAGGACAGATGATTGACAATGGTGTCTTCAAGAAACTGGAGGAGGCTAGATCGCGAGTCTCACCTGGACCTTGTCATTGTAACCGTAGAGTGTCCTCGCGTCCTCCAGCCAGTGGTAAAGACAGCTCCCACATCCACTCATGGCCCCGAAAGGATTGATTTCCACCAGTAAAACTTCCTGTGCCTGTCCGTAGACAACATCAAAAGTAAACCCCTCCTCCTGCATTTTCTCCAGTATCCAGGCGTCTGTTTCTCGAACCTGTTGTATGATGCGGGCATGGATCCCCTTGGCTGCTTCCAATATACGCGACGCAATTTTCTGTTGCTCGAGAGGGTCCTTCACACCAAATGGGCTTGTCCAGCGGTACTGCGAGATACACGAAATCTCTCCGGTTGGCGGTGGGCAGAACACACGGAATTCCCGATGTGGATTCATATTTCTGTTGTATGGAACGAGGAAGATCTTTGGCTTGCGCTCCTCGTCGTCGTCAAGGTCATCTAGCAAAGCGCGTCTTGCTCGTGCTGAAGAACATAGCGCCCGAATGATATCTTCGAGGATGTGGATGGGGGCAGCTCCCTTTTCGCCGTCCTTGGCGCTGCAGAAGTCGAGGCGCATGAACCATTCCTTTCCCGAGTTGAAGATCGATTCGGTCGACGCGCCATAGACCGTTTGTTTGGGGAACTGAGCCATGAGGGCCTGGAGTGTTTTTTTACTCAGGGCCCCTCGCGCACGCCAAACAATGTAAGTCTCGGTTATTTCTTTGGCCAGGAACCTGGGGAGCTGGAACATATGCCAGTCTGGGACCCCTTGAATGTCCATGATCAGCAATACCCAGAGTTAGTATAGCCTAGTGTAAAAGGATGGCTTTTTGTGTTTGAGAGAGGCCTGTTTTTGGAATGAGAGCAGCAATCTCACTGTGGGAATGGACGTGGGTGTTTCACTTGTCAATCTCTGTCCACTTCACTGATGTCTCGGCTTCACTGAAAGGAATGAGCCTCGATTCCATTGTAAAAAGAGGATCCCACTATATATCACCGTCCATGGCATGTTTGTCGGATATATGGAGTCAGTTTCGGCTCCATTTGGGGCTCAGTCTTTGTACTGGATTGGCATTCAAAGTGCGTCGGAAGCGATGGAAATTGCCATCCGCCCAAGAAAGTGAAGGTCACTTGCAAGTCACACCCCTACGCTTCTTCAGCCTTCAGCCGTCACTGCTTCAACGTGGCCTCCGAAAAATGGTCATCGGACAGTGACATGGGAATGACTGAGCTTTCCGGCCCCTTTTTTTTTGTTGTTTTCATTGGTTGTTTCGTCGCACAATCTGGAATTTCGCCGCTCACTAATACCGGGCGCTCCCGCAAGGCCGTCCGCCTCGTCTTCGCTCTCTGCCTAGGCCGAGCTAATTTAAGAGGCCTTTGAGCGAAGCCTCAAAAGGGCAGCTCGCGCTGCCTTTGCTCCGTCTTCCGCTCGCACGGAGATAATTACCCGTCCATTCTAGCAGTGTACAGAACCGAAAGCTCCTGTCGTCGTGACCCTGACCCTGCATAGACCCTTGTTCCATCGTGAACCGGCGGAATCTGATGGCTCTCACCACCACACCGATCAGAATGATCGCTGGGCCTGTCAGCAAAATACGCTTTCTTGGGCAAACTCAATACGAATCCCACGGACGGCCGGCTCGCGCGTGTTTATCCTGTCCGATGAACGGCTTTTGGCTATAATCTCATGTACGGAGTACTCCATAACAAATTGCGAATGCGTCAAGAATGCGCGAAAAGATCTGCTGTTGAACTTGGTTGTGCGATCAAACGAACACCCCTTAGCACTCACTGCGACAAGTTGTTACCTGTCTCTGGAATCACCCAATAGTGCCCTGTTGATGGTGGATTTCAACAAACAGTTCCTTCCGACAACCTGAAGGTAATGTGCATGGACAGCCGATCGGGAGATCCTCCCGACAAGGAGGGTGGGAACGCGGTTGTTTCAGCAAAGGGAGGGATCCTCGCCGGCCCATGATGACGTCGGTCACTATCTGAGTTACTCAGGAGCGGGGAGACTGCACTCCGGCCACCGACGGAGGAGTGGTGGGTAACTACTTGCTGTCTATATAAACGACCTCGAACCCCCCTCCGAACGCTCTCTACCGCTTTGCTATACCCGCAAGAGCCTCAAGGCCGTTCCAATTGACTTTACTCGCTTTTCGATCGCGCAAGTTCACCATTATACGGAGATTTCAGCAGGAGTATTACAGATTCAGAAAATCTTTTGCAGTCCACAATGGCACCAGAGCGGGATCGCCGTTTTTTTCTCTTGTCTCACCCTCGTTCCGCATCTAACCTCCTCGTCCGAATGCTAGGCCTTGACCAACAACCACAGGTTGCTAAGCGCTGGCTGAACGGGTACTTTTTCATCGAGAGCTACTTCTTGTCCGACAAACTGGGCCTTCGACTAAAAAATGTCATGGACTGGACAGACGATGAACGGACTCAAATGCGCCACGCCTACCAAGGAGCATTTGATACTTTGCAAAATCACGTCTCCGAGGCGGAGAAGGAAGGCAAGATTGTATTCGTCAAAGAGCATAGCTATCTACTGCTGGAACCGGTACACCAGTTCAAGTTCCACTACGGCGAAGATAGTGTCACCGAAGGCCCATGGACCCTTGATGTGCACGAAAGCTACGGTACGAATCTGACCAGGTCGGAAGGAAATATAACGTTGCTACCGGACGAATTTCTGGATACCTGGAACCCGATTTTCCTTATTCGGCATCCTGCTCTGATGTTTCCATCGTTCTACCGAGCGATGGTCGACGTCCATAAAATGGATGACAGAGAGGTTGATGATGACATGTGGGTTGACATGAACATCCTTATGAGTCTTTACTGTCCACGCACCACATACGATTGGTACGCCAAGCGCCGCGGGAAGGCAGGTGATTCAGAGGATCAACGTGACGTATGTCCCATCGTCGTTGACGCGGATGACGTTATCAACCACCCGGAAGTAGTCCTCAAGCTTAGTGACAAAATTGGCTTGGACCGAGATAGCCTGCGATTCACCTGGGAGGCAAAAATCATTAAGGAAGACGGGGAAATTAACTTGAAATCGCAAAGGATGCTATCGACCCTAGCGGCATCGCAAGCCGTTCTCAAAGACAAGGCTGCAGGCAACATCGATATCGATGTTGAGGCTAAGAAGTGGAGAGAAGAGTTTGGCGAAAAGGTAGCGGAGAACTTAAATAGGCTGGTTAGGTCTTCGATGCCGGACTATGAGTATCTGAAGGATAAGAGGATGAGGCCGAGTCAAGTTTAGAAGGAAGTTGAATTGGCAATGTTTACCGCTAGAGAGCGCTGGGACGACGAATGTATGTCCTGATTGATATTGAACGACCCTACTCAACCATGCAATTTATGAATGACACAAGTTCATATTCACCTTAAACTTATACTAAGGTAGAATTTTTTTAAATTGACTTTTAATATCTTTACATGTCATCCGCTCCATTATGATACTAGCTTCAACTTCCTTACCCTATTTAACGAACTTGGAGTGATAGGATAGAGTCGAGGATTGATATTCCATACTTAAGCCAGGGTTGATATAAGTAAGAGGTTTAGATTGATTCCTGATAGCAATGACACAGCATCAGTCATGAATGAGGGTCAAAAGCCTAAGGAAGAATGTCCAAATCATGCGAAAGTTTGAACCGCCTGCAGCGCAGAAAGTTTCGGTTCTGCGGGGGTTGGGACGACATTGTATGTATATTGTCCAACAAAGAAAAAGAAAGCAAGGGGAACTACACATATCCAGTCCAAACGAAAGGCTAGACTTGAGAAAATCCTTCGAGAAAAAAAAACAAAGTAAGCTAATTGATCAAATAGAGAAGTCAGACTTCCTTGAAAGACATCTTGACTTTGAAAACTAAACACGTAAAGAATGCAACCATCGGAGGACAAAGTGTATGGTTCAAGGTAACCGAGACCTCTAAGAATGAAGAATGTAGTTCCTCCTTTTGGTCAATACCATCAACAATGTTCTTCTAGAGTGGTGATTATCTGAAGGTTCGTCTACTCTCCTCCCTATGCCCATCCTCTAGGCATGGGTGTTACTAGGAAGGCGGATGTCATCTCGAGTCTGTAAGATATGCGAGCTTCCCGTTGTATTCTCATCATCTATATGTTGGCGACGAGAAGGCGGAGGGCGACGTTCAGTATCACCATCCTCGTCAAGATGGTGGAGGTTGTCCCGAGCATTTAAAGTCCGTCCGCTCTCCCTCGTACGCTGGTCATCTGAAGATTGGCGACGAGAAGGTGGAGGGCGACGTTCAGTATCACCATCCTCGTCAAGATGGTGGAGGTTGTCCCGAGCATTTAAAGTCCGTCCGCTCTCCCTCGTACGCTGGTCATCTGAAGATTGGCGACGAGAAGGTGGAGGGCGACGTTCAGTATCACCGTCCTCGTCAAGATGGTGGAGGCCATCTCGAGTATACAGCTTCAGCTCATCTCGCTTATTCCGGACGCGAGAAGTTCCATAACACCTACACCATTTCTCCTCCTTCCTTTTGGTATTGTCAGCTATGAAACCCCACGTCCGACTTGGAACTTGACTCCCAGTGAATTAATCTAGGAGAGCAAATCGTATCACACGAAAGAAAGTTTATATATACTTAGCCTTCTCCATAATGCAGTTACCGGCTTCTCGTCCCTGGTCTTGACACTGCGAAAGAACGTTAGGACTAGATCTCGAAGCAAAGATAGCCTATGCTTCAAAGGAATTTGGAAGTACCTCTATGTTGCAGGATTCCTGCATCAAAACAGGGCACTCTTCAGCACGAGTGGCAAGGTCTTCTGCCGTAGAAGCGATAGGCACTGCAACAGTGCACGTAGCCAAGATGGCGAGGGCAACAACAAGGCGATTCATTATGAGTAGAGTTGTAGAAAAGGCCGGGTGCTGCGTTTGCGATTCAGAATCATTTCCAATGAGGAGCTGCCTCATTATATACTATGCTTCGGGAGTAGAAGGATGACGCGGAACTTGCTAGACTGGAAGTGGTTATGACATGATCAAGACCCTGGTATCATATTTCGAGCCTGCTAGTGAAGCATTACATAGCCCGAAAGTGCATAGCTCCGGTATCAAACCTCTGTCGAGACGGCTAAAGGTAAAGAATCTCTCCATAATTTCGATGATATAACAATTAGGACAGGGGCTATGACTTTTTTTGTTGCCATTATGCGCAACAGAATGCGCAAGACACGAACCATGGAATCCAATCGGAGCAAACGGGGATACCTTGAAACGGCAACTCAAAGGGTCATGAATCTCATATCCACTCTCTGGCTCAGCCTGCCATGCTATCGCCTTTGTGTTGTGCATCATAGAGTAGCCAGGAAGAGCTGGAGAGCATATAATGACGATTCAGGGACGCGCACAGGTCGGGAATCCTAACCCGAATCTTCTTCTCAGCCGGCCTTTTTACCTGATCCGGCTTCAATTCGGAATGCGCAGAACATAGCATGTACTAGACGCCCAAGAGGAAGGGAAGGAAGGGAAACAGTGCAGCATAGACAATATGACACCAGCGAAGCGGAGGACGGGTAACAATAGTAACAAAGGCCAACTGAGTCAGATAACGACCACTATCCAATACCAATGACCAGAGAAGCTTGGAGCCATACGGAGTACATCAGGATCGCGCGAAATAAGTGGAGTCGGTCGGATTTGTCCCCTTGGGAAAACAAGCCGCGCCATGAACAGTACAGGCTAGCCACTCAGCATCGAATTCAGCTGTCGATCCACAACTGAGGACATCATAACGCCTGGGCAACCAACTCGCACAAATATAGGCAAGTTGCCGATGGAACTCGATGCACAAGGCAACGTGTTCAAGGCAGTATTTCGCAGAACCGGTGGCAATGCAACATGAGACTCACTTGTTGATCCTCAAAAGGCTCAATAGATTTGCGCACGAAAGGCAGGGGACATTGCAAATACTTTGCAGGGTGGCAACCACATTCCCAACAAAGCAGAATATGTGGTGGCCCTGTATTGCATGCAGCTCGGAGTCATCCTGGAGCCGTCTGAATCAAAGGCGACTCCGTACGGAGTGCTCTAGATAGGTATATTAGTTTATACCCTCCTATGAGAAGGAAGTTGTGGTGTCGATCTGACTTTCGTCGCCTGAAGCTCAAAGCCGGTGCTTTGCGTGAGATGCGGTTCGCGACGATCCGCCACGGTGCCGAGTTAACCTCCCGATACCAAAATGCCCCTGGAAAGCGCACAAACCCTTTCGCTCTGCTAACCAAGGCGGATCCAGATTGTCCAAAGGAAAGATCGGGAGTTTTCCATGGCTGAAACTCGAGACAAGACTAAGACCTAGTACCTGAAGAGAGTGGACATATGGCGTATAATTCTGTTGTCGCTGAACTTAGAAGATCGCCCGCCGGAAGCCGGGGATAACTTCATGGTTGGGTTCGGGCGGCTCGAATCGTTCAGCCAAAACCAAAGACTGCAGGGCGCCACTGATCTTAGTTTTGCTACAGGATAATGCCGCTGCTGATGTATTATGTGTTTCTGTTTTAAAATATGCTCTAAAACGTTTCTAACCATCTATTCCTGAACATGTTTCGCAGCCACTCAAGCTCTCTGTTGTATTGAATCACTTTGCCGTGATTATTCGGAATACTCTGCAATGCATATAGAGCCTAACACTCTATTGCAGAAGTTATACATTAGAAGCAGTAAACGTGGTTTTTAAACATTGCGATTGTCATACCGCATGCGTATAATACTTGACATGTACTCAGATATATACATGTAGCTGAAGCCAATTGACTTCCCATCAAAATGTTAGTTACCTCAGGGGCCGTGGTTCTAATGTCCGTGTTGCGTTTCTTCAACAAAGGCCGAGGGATTTCACGTTCCTTGGATTGTTCTGGGATTGGACTATCCGAGTTACGTATGCTCTGCACGATGAAAAAGGCCGCATGAGCAAAATATCCCTTTGAGAAATGATGTATCGATATCTAATTAACTTGTCTTCCGCACGGAGCATATCATAAAAAAAAAAGAAAAGAAAAGAAAAGAAAAAGAAAAGGTTGACCCGGAGTCCCCGATAAACCTCGAAATTTAGCATTAGATATTATAATCCAGTCGAGTAATCATATATCCCTCGCCACATGCATTACAAGTGTAAAGAAAACCGTTTAACGTTAAGGTTCCTCCCCTTCAACCAAACAAATATCAAATCACCGCACTCAGCATTGCGGCACATCGCCCAATACGCCTTTATTTCAACCCGCACAACGACGAGGCGACCTCTTCGTAGGTGACCTTGATCCTGCCCAATTCCTCTGCCCGTCCGTTCGTCAATACGTCCATCGACTTCTTCGCGATATTAAATCCAGAGTTGCTGTGGTCGATCGCAGTCAAAAAAATCGTTTTAGCATTGTATGTCACTTTGTAGCACTTTCCACAGTTGGGGCTGTTCCACGTTTCGACCGTAAAAGCTCCTCCGACGTGAGGGTAGTTTGGTATCTCGCCGGCGGTGTTATAGCCCTTTGTTATCATGCCATTGTCCCCGTCAGAACAGGTGACGCCACTCAGGGCCAGGGATGGGTCATCGTAGTGAGTGTCGTAGCTGAGGTCGGTCGTGCTAGCAAGGGGAGTGGCGGAGGTGAAAGGGACGAAGACAGCCGCTGCGATAGCGCTGAGGAGTGAGAACTTCATCTTTCCCGATTTTAGAGTTTTGTTATGGAGGAAGAGTGTCGGAGAGGTGAAGGTATAAGAAAGTTTCTCAAGGGTTCTGATTAAATCTTAGTCGTGATATCCGTTGGGAATGTGATGAGAAGGATGTGTTCTAGGCGAGACATGATCGAGGTTTATATACCTCAACGCAGGCCCTCTCCCGGTCTGCAACTGGGTAAGTGTGATAGCAATTCCGATAATAGACCTTCGCAAGGATCACAAAGGAATGTCTTCAGAACCTCTTCCGGGCCATTGCATGCAATCTCAATTTAGCATCACCTGAGGGGCAGGATGTTCCAGATCTCCTAGCCAACCGGTGAAGATAGTTCTTCGGGGCGTGCAACAGTGGGAAGAGAAAGAGGCGGGGGGGGAAGGAGGTGGAGGAGGAGGGGAAGATCCTCTGGAGCTACCTTTCGCCTCTATCCCAGCCGGATGAGAGCGAAAAGGAGCATACTTCGTCGTTGTGGGAACAATTCTCAACGTCATGATGCTAAAAATAAAAGTAGCATACGGAGTCCGGGTATTCGGGTAGAGAAAACCCTCAAAGACCCTCAGCCATCGCGGGAATGTATGTCTCGGTGCAAGCACTGGGCTCTGATCAGCTGCACCTGGAAATGGAAGGGTTTGCATGAAATCTGAGACAAGCGCCGTCAGCTCGCGATTTAGTCCGGGTACTCCGTAGATGGGCGGGAATTTTCAACGGTGAAAGCCTTGTACTCCGTATGAGCCCTGGGGTTGCGGGTCCAAGGTGCAAATGGAAGCCGTTGAAATACCGCATCAAAGACAAAGGCTATGGTTATTTCAAAGCAGTTCGTTTTCGGTGACTAAACCGCTCAACAAAATTTTAGTTTTTTCGCATCCTTCAGTTGATAGTTGGAGAAAGGGTCGCAGCGAATCGACACGCAACGATCCCTTAGGGAATGACTGCGGTGGACGCTGAGTCTAGGCGATTCGACGTCTGAGGTTGAGAGCAGTGTCGCCGCCGCCTGGCTCCAGACTTCTGTAGCAATGCCGCTGAGAGGATCATAGCCGGTGGATCAAGGATTGACCTGTTGCTGCAAAATTCCGCTGAATGAAAGGTGGGTTGTATTCCATTGTATTCCTGAACTGCACATGTCTCAGATGTTTGCACAGCATTGGGCGAGTGTGACCCGCAGCGAGAGTGGTCATCGGATGAAGTTATCTTCGGTACTCCGTAGTTTAGTGCTCCGTGCAAATTCCAAGCCACAAACACTCTCAGCAGCAATGTAAATTCAGCGGTCCGTATGGGCGCGTCCTCGCACAATTTGTAGGCTCGTAGCCGAAACCTGTGTCCCTTGATGACCAGTTAGCGACGTGTCGGAAAGGTGGAAGTACAAGAAACAACTCTGTGTTGTCGCGGAACCATTTGTTCGACATGGAGGTTGGCCAAAAGCAAGGATCGTGGGTTCTGAGGGATGCCAGCATCGGATGATTCGGGTGCGGGAAGGCTTGACAAGTCCGGTTTCGAGAACGAAGCACAACGTCGCTCGTTGCATCATTTGAAGCATAACACCCATGGCATCATAACACGACTTTCGCGTTGTTCTTCCATGTGGAATGAATCGGTTTTCAGCATGCTGCACTGCTTGATTCTTAACTGAGAGTGATCGAGAAACTGGTCATCACATTGACTATCTTCAGCTAATTAACTACGACCTTCTTTCATGCTGAAATACAAGACGCAACTACCAATCTCTCTTCTCTTTCTTTAGTCTCAAGCTCTAGTATTATAACCTTTCATCCCACGCGGTGACCTTTGATCCTGTGGGCCATTTTTGACCTTGCAGACTCGGCCTGTGACCACGGCGGCAGTCGGCAGCCGGTGAGGCCGATGTTCACGTCCCATCGCCGATCGGAGTTAACCGCTAGATATTTGAATTTTGCTCAAGAAAACCCCATGTCCATCCAAGCTTTCTTTCCCGTCACCCAATGTCTGGGGGATCCGTTCGGATAACCATGGATTCCATAAACTATTGATACCCGGGAGGAAGCGGGCCGGATGCATACTCTGATATAACACTCGTCTCTCGGCCAGCGGTCTATGCCGGGTGACTGGCGTGGAGAGCTTGCATTATGTACAGATACATGATGGCTTTTGCCAACGTGAATGTCATAATCGGAGCGACACCTCTCAAATTGAAAGGGTGATAAGGGAGTATGTACAACTGACTACCTAACTCGCTGCAGGTTGCAATGTGGGATTCGGAAATTAAAAAGATGCGTGGTGAGCATGGGAGCTCGGCTTAATAAATGGTTTCTTTAAACTCTTCAACGAACTAACTTAGTTACTACACTGTGTATTCCATGACTTTTGAGAAAAGAAGGGGATCACGTTCTGTATTCGTGTCAACAAAAGTGAAATTCTCGTGGGAATCGCATAGAATCCAGCAAATCTTCGACGTTTCAACATCAATTTGCGCTCAATGCCTCACCTTTTACGCTCAATCTTAAAGATAACGCATCCTAAAATTCCTGGGGAGAGAGAAAGAGAACTTTATGGCTGGGTTTATTCGCCAAAAAGTACGACGTACACACGGTAGCTTTGAGAGACTGTACTCCCACTGGTCCCCATATCGAGGAGTTTTGGTGGCAGTACTCCGTAGTCCAACCGTTTGAATTCCTCCACAGGAATCTCAGGTTGCGCCAGAAGTCTCGGTTTCCAGAAGCTCCCGAGAGCTCGAAGGAACAAGCTAGCGCGCGAAATGGAGCGTGGTTTGGAGGATTTCTTCGATTCCAATTCAGCTGCATATTTCAACGGAACAAGGACTCCCCTTGCTTGAGTATCGCGCCTCCATTAGTAAAAAGACTGTCAGTACGGAGTGGAGCTCTCAAACAAAACAAATAGGGAAAAAAAAAAAAAAAAAAAAAAAAAAAAAGGGCACCACAGAAGGTAGGCAATAGATGTGCCCTGCTTTCCGGCTGAGTTTAACTGATCGTGTACTCCGTAGGCTGAGGCGCGTGCCGCGCTGAAAGACAAGGACCTCTGTACTCCGTAAAGTAACCGGTGAGAGTCCTCGTTAACAAGTTCACTGCGCCAGAGTCTACATAGTGACAATCGGTTTCGAAGGATGATTTCTGATTTTACGAATTCCTTTCACTACAGCCACAGATAGAATATTCCAATCTGCTATCATAAAGGGATAGATTTTCAGTTGCTCAATGACAGCCCCAGGATAATTTCCCCCTATCCGCAGTTTGAAAGACTGAATGAAAGGCGACCCATTTCCCGGATCAAGCTTCCAGGCAGCCTCGAAAACCGGAATTCGCTCGCCTGAATTTCCGTCGATCTCGGATTCTCGACCACTCGTTTGTAACTAACCTGTTAGTGACAGAGCCAACAGCGAGGGTAGACTGACAGGGTTTCTCCCAACCACATCGTCGAGGAAACCAATGGGCGCTGTTTTGCTGTCCGTTGGAATTATATATGATCATTCCGGCGCTCCCGCAAGTCGCTTAAGTTTGATAATTGTCCTCCCAATTTCTGTGTTCACTGCTTTACAGTCCTAATTCCCAATTCTCAAAATTGGGTGCTTTGCACTCCGCGTTTCCCTGCTTTCCTCGATCTCTCCGTATCCATGCAGTTCAGGTCCAAGCATGGCCTCCGTATCTCTCACGAATATCATTTTCACCAGCATCATCCTGTATATATTCACAATCCTACTCAAGCTCCTGCAAAACTACCAAAGAGCGCGCAAGATCGGATTACCCATCGTTTTCGTCCCCGTGGACCAAAGCAACATCTTATGGATAATTATCTCCCCAATCGTACGCCCGCTTCTAAAGCGCTATCTTCCCAGGTTCATCTACAACCGTATAGTCATTTGTATCTTCGGACACGAGTTCCATGAAAAGCTCGAGCCATTCAAAAACTTTGTTGGCGGGCAGAAGACGTATACCCTGATAACACTACGGGGACTGGAAATCTGGACCTGCGATCCCGATGTTTCGATGGATGTTTTGCGACGACCCAAGGATTTCTCGCAGCTGGAGATCGCAAATAAGATGATGAGTAAATTCGGGAGCAATGTTCTAACTACAAGCGGGGCGGTTTGGGCGCGACAGAGAAAGATCATAGCAAGTGTAATCAATGAAAAGATTAGCGGAGTTGTGTTTGACGAAAGCGTGAGGCAAACTGCCGGATTTATAGAGGAGTTTGGCGAATCGAAGCCTGGTGATATAGGATCGAGAAGTACAAAGGCCAATCGAGTGATTGATGGAGTGACTTACAAGACGTTTGACATGGTGAAGAAGATCACCATCCATGTGCTGAGTAGGGCCGGTATGGGTGTGACTCGGCACTGGAGAGATGACGGGAGACAGATTAAGAGCAGTGCTGCAAAGGCAGACCACGATGAAGATTCCAGGTTGAAATTTGACCGCGCTCTTCAAATGATTCTCGCGAATCTCGTCCCTGCGACCCTAGTGCCCGAACAGATTCTTTCACATTGGCCTTTCTTTCTTCCAGGCGCTCGGGAAATGAGAGATTTGGCGTCCGCAGTCCGGCATCTCCCGAAAATGTTCAGAGATATGCTCGGTCAAGAGGCGCCAGTAACGGACAGTTTCCATGGTTCCAGCGACAAGGAGCCGAGCACAAAGATCAATATCATAAGTCAGCTTATTGCTGCATCTGAACTTGGAAACAATCAATCCGTATCAACAGATGCAAACATCAAACAGGGGTGGACATTGTCGAAAGATGAGATTGTAGGAAATCTCTTCATTTTCAACGCTGCTGGATTCGACACGTCTGCGAATGCCCTCTCGTTCGCTCTCGTGGTTCTAGCAGCCTATCCACATTGGCAGGAGTGGCTTTTTGAGGAGATTGATCAAATCGTCCCCGAAGATTCAGACGCCTCAATGGAATACTCAACTATTTTCCCCAAAGCTATTCGGACACTTGCCTTTATGCTGGAAGTATTGCGCCTCTTCCCACCTGTAATTCACATCGGAAAAACAGCCTTTAGCGGAAATGGAGAAGCGGTCCAGCTTGTGAACCCGATGAAAAAAGATGGCGAGTCTGCAGTGACAACCGAAATACCAAGCGGCGTTGTCATTTATATCAACAGTGCGGCGTTGCATATGGCACCGGAGGTATGGAGAGATTTGAACCCTCAAGATGAGACCCAGCACACTGGCCATCGAGTTCAAAACAGAGATGCAAGTCAGAGCGGCATCAAAGCCAGCGGTAGATTTGTTCCTGATGAGGAGCTCTTCCGGCCCTCCCGCTGGATAAATCACTCTGACAACACGATTTTCCAGCCGCCCCGTGGAAGCTATCTGCCCTGGTCAGCTGGTCCCCGTAACTGTCCAGGGCAGAAAATGGCACAGGTAGAATTTGTTGGGGTGTTCCTCACTCTCTTCCGATATCATCGGCTGGAGGCAGTCCGCCACGAGATTCCGGTCAAGGTCAGCACTTCGGCTTCAAAAGAACATAACACGAGAAGAATGGAGACAAGAAAGGAGACCGATGATGAAGTGCGGCAGAGATTAGAACGCGTGATAGATGGGTGTAGAAGCAAATTGACTCTCGAGATGGAGGTGTATGGGGTTACGGACGCAGAGGAGGAAAAAGGAGGGAGGGGCGTGGGTTTGCGGTGGGTGAGAAGAAAGGCGCCAAACCGGCCTTGAGCTTTGGCGCTCAAGGGAGCCCAGCCAGGATGGTGCCTTGGCGTGTTGAAGCCTATCTTCACCGGGCGGTCCAGGCGGCCGGCCCCGTCAAAACGTCCCGAGTTTTGCCACCAATGTCTGGGCTTTAATAATGCTTTAAACTGTGTAAAGTTATCTTATGTACGGAGTACTCCGCATACAACACATAAATAAAAGAAGTAACCGTTTCTCCTGTCATAACTATATCAAATGGAATGTCAGTTTCTGGATCCGCTCAATTGTTAACATACCACCCTTTCACGCACAATGATACTAACTAGCACTCTGCAGGATGATATTCTGAGTCCTCTGCACCCCAGCATCCCCACTCCGCGAAACCCGATCCTCGGATACGAACGGGACTATCACTCACCGGCTGACCTGTCTCCAAAAATAATTCCAGCACCATGTCTTGCAGTCAGTTCAGTACACATCCATAATTCGGTAGTAGAATGTCAGTAAGGAGGAACCAAGAGGAGAGGAACAGACCAAGAGCACGGATATCTTGCAAGAGATGGCAGAATCATCAGAAACAACTCCACTCCTTCGCGACAATGCGGCCGTGGAAGATGGCCATCCCACGGCTGTACCCCCGCCTGCTGCAGATGACTCCGATGCACCTCTGGCGGACGAACCAACACCCAAGGAGCTGCTTGTCATTCAATCAAGTATCTGGCTAGGGGTTTTCTTCGCTGCCTTGGGTAGGCCTCTCTCCTGAGCCAGTGTTTAACACGCTCCAGAGCAAGCTTCTGACTGACATCTTCTCCGGACAAAAAAGATGCCACCGTTGTTGCGACGATCTCCGGTCCAATTTCATCGTCGTTCAATTCCCTTTCCCTCCTTTCCTGGCTCGCTTCAGCATACCTGATTTCGAACGCCGCCTGCCAGCCTCTTAGCGGGAAACTAACCGATATCTTTTCACGTCGAACCGGCCTCGTAGTATCGAACGTACTATTTGGGCTCGGAAATTTGATCTGTGGTCTTGCCCAGGATGAATGGGTGATGATCTTCGGCCGGGTGGTGGCAGGAATGGGCGGAGGAGGCTTGACGGCCATTGCGACTTTTGTTACCTCCGACCTTGTCCCGCTGCGCAAAAGAGGACTGTGGCAGGGTATTGGCAATATATGCTATGGCGTGGGAAGCGGGCTGGGAGGAGTATTTGGGGGTTGGGTCAATGATACTTGGGGCTGGCGTTGGGCATTCCTGGTCCAGATACCTTTTATCGTGGTATCTACTGTTTTGGTCTGGTGGAGGATCAAAATCCCTGTCAAAGAGACCGATGTCTCACGCTGGCGAAGGGTTGATTTCCTTGGAGCAGGAGCCTTGGTCCTGACGCTGGTCCTGCTTTTGTTCGGTATAAACACTGGTGGCAATCAAGTGCCATGGAGCCATCCTATCGTTGTGGTTTCGTTGGTGCTGTCCGGCGTATTCCTTTTCGTCTTTATCTACATTGAAGAGAAGGTGGCTTCTGAGCCTGTTATCCCCGTTCGGCTGCTGACAGACCGGACTGTCCTCTCCGCCTGTCTGACAAATTGGTTTGGTACGATGTCCATATTCGCTGTGTTCCTTTACGTGCCGCTTTACCTCCAGATTCAGGGATATTCTACAACGCAGGCTGGTGCACGACTCATCGCCCAAGCGGTGGGAACATCCATCGGGTCGCTGGGACTGGGATTGTTGATGCGTGTTACGGGCCGTTACTTGTTCTTAAGCTATGTGTCCGTTATGCTTCTGGCTGTGGGTTCCATTCTCTTCAACACCTTCACTCTCGGAACGCCGGCCTGGCCGCCGTTCCTGTACCTGTTTATCGCTGGGCTCGGTTACGGTGGCATGATCACCGCCACCCTGGTAGCGTTGATATCCGCCGTCGCCCACGCACACCAGGCCGTCGTGACGTCAGCGTCCTACGCCTTCCGTAGCACTGGAAGCTCGATCGGTATCAGTATCGCTTCTTCCGTTTTTCAGAATATCCTCAAGTCTGGTCTGTGGTCGCGGTTCGGTGGCCGAGAAGAGGCAGCACGCCTGATCCCGAAGATCCGTGATAGCCTGGATGAGATCAATCACCTCCCTGAGGGCTGGTTGCCAGGTGTGCTGGATGCCTACATGGATGCCCTGAGGGCAGTGTTTGCAACAACTCTGGCCCTATCTCTGTTGGGTGTTGTGGTGAATTTTGGAATGAGAGAACACAAACTGCATGCGAATCTGGCAAGAAAATGAGCTTTTTTCTGTTGATTGATATATGGATTGAGAACCCGGAGGGTTAACCAAAAAGCTGTGGAGTGTCTGGGCCTTTGCAAAATACATAGATAGCAATGAGATACTGCTAGCGTATGATTAATTATCCGTGCTTGGTTGCGCTCGAACTGCCCGCAGACGACAGCTCGTTGTCAGGAACAGCAACGTGGTTGGCTGATGGCGATGCTCCATCTCGCTGGCCCTCGGGGCGCAGGGCTCCATTTCGTCGCTGAACTGGCCTTGGAAGTTCGACGTTTGCTCCGGTGGAAATTTCTCGGCACTTGAACTCTGTTTTTGTCGTCTCATCGACATCATCGGCGCCCCCTACGTACTATTTCCTCACAAATAAACTCCCCTCTGAACACCCGGCGTGGAAAGACAAACTCGGTAATAGTTTTCGTCTTCTCAAATATACTAGGTACACAGCCTCTCCGTTGATTGCAAAAGCAAGTTAATTATTCCGTTCCAGTCCTTAATTATCGCCGCAGAAAGATTCCTCTCCAAGCGGCGCAAGATATATTAGAACGTGGCACCACCCGTTGATCCCCCGTTTCTTTCCCACACGTCGGGACGCAGGCCAGGTTAGTTCGCTTCGCAATATCCTTATCGGAGCCTTCCTCAATTCCCACGCGGTCCGAGCACAAGTCAGTCCTTTCGAACTCGCCCAGCCACGGAAAAAAAAAAAAAAAACAAAAAGGAACGTGCGAGCACTGGTTGGCTACACGACAGGATATCAAGAGAAAAAGAAAGCAAGACGGCGTCCCACTTGTCAAACTGGTAGTTTGCATTGGGCGGCCATACGGAGGAGATTTCATATTTGGAAGCCTAAAATCCTCAGAGTATGCCTCGATAAATCCTCGAGTTGTTGGACGCAGTAGAGCGCGGTCAGGAGACGTCGAAACCAGGATATAGTTAACAAGGAAGCTCAATTCAAAAGAGAGGAGGGGCTAGTTATAAATGGCTGTTGACTCTAAACTCCGATCCGACTCGCATTATTTCGGAGCCCATGATCCTCAAACGCAACCGACCGGCGTGCCCGCGGCGATGAGTTCAGGTTCCGAGACTGGAGATATGAGTAACATCGGTGCTGGTGATAACTCGGGTGTACCCGAAATGAAACAGCCTGTCGCCCATGTTAGCGGTACAATGAATGTGGGACAAATGAGGCTATTGAACTCCCCGAGCAGGCATCACAATCGCATCCTATTATCCACGAACACTCCTTTCTCCGACACGGTGATGCGCTCCCTTCTTCGCGATCCGGATATCGAGCTTCGTTTAATAGCAGATAAAGATTTCAACGATGGGGCTGACGGCGTGGACAATCTTCTATACTATCCAGACATTCCACAGTCAGAAACATACCGGAGCAGGAGGGAATGGATGAATATTACAGCAGCGAGCCTCGCAGACTGGGCAGATGTTCTCATCGTTGCGCCAGTTGACGCAGGAACTCTTGGGTCTATGGTCTCTGGGTTAACTACAAGTCTTACACTGACGATTCTTCGGGGTTGGGATATATCTAAGACAATCTTGCTCGTGCCGAAAATGATGCTGCTTGAGTGGAAATCCCCCATCACCGGAAGACAACTAGATCAGCTTCGCACTTTCTGGCCCTGGGTCAAAATACTTCCCCCAGTCCTGTCTAGATTTGAACCCCCTGATTCTCTCGTCGAAGTTCCGTGGGAAGGACGAGAGATGTTCTATGAAGAGGTCCGGAAAGGGCTTGGATGGCCATTTAATGTAAACGGCGCCGAGGACAAAATCGATTCCCTCGATGAAGCGGTAATAGCCGGGAGAATGGACAAGCATCTCGTTAAAAATGATATGGACACTGCAACAGTCTTGGAAAATCGATCAGAGAGTACAGTCAGGAGAAGCAGTACTCCCTCCAGAGACCCAAATGCTCCTGTCCTTCCGCCAGAACTTTTGACCATGATTTTTGAGGCTTTGGGTGACTGGGAAACATCGACAGCAGTTGGGGTATACGCCAGAATCCCAATGCCAGAGCACTGGAAGGCTTTTGCTCCAAAAGCTGATTGCCCATCAACGAATTTTTCCCTTGAATACACGATTCTTCGAAGTCCTTTATGCGATATCACAAAACTCCTCTCCTCCGCACCTCCATGGAAGCCCCTATCCAACCTCGCGGCACACTTAATTTTTAAGTTTTGTCGAACGGACGTCCTCGACTACATTTGTCAGTCACGAATTGATTTATACTGGTCGACACCGCGGCTATCTAGCCTTCCGCTTCGAGCGTCTGCTGTGTATGGCAATACAACTCTTCTAGAGTGGTGGCGAAATTGTCCAGATCTGCCGACGAACGATTACCTTCCGGATGCTCTCGACGGAGCATCGCGAGCCGGCTTTATCCACGTCCTGGAGTGGTGGCGAAAGTCCGGGTTGCCCCTTCGGTACACCGAACGAGCGCTCGAATCTGCGTCTGCGGAGGGTCAAATCGCTGTCCTCGATTGGTGGAAAAGGGTCTCTGAATCTTCAGCTTATTCCGATCCAGTCCCTTTGAAGATAGGAAAATCGGTACTTTTGGCGGCGCAGTCTGGCAAGACGGCCTCGCTTGCCTGGTGGGATAGATCTGGCATCCCATATTCACATGGCGAATCTGTCGCTCGTATTGCGAGCACACATGGCCATGTTCCCGTGTTAGAGCTGTGGTACAGGCGCAAGGGTTCGAAAATCATTTTTGACAACCAGGTTCTTGTCGGTGCGACGAAGAATGGTCACGTTGACGTGCTCGAGTGGTGGCGACGAAGTGGATTACGGGTTGAATTCAAGACCTGCGACATTGAAGAAGCGTTGGAAGACGCCGTGTCGGGTGCTGAAGATCGAGTTCGACGCTGGTGGGAGCGAAACGGGTTGAACTTGGGGGTTGGTACGAGCGAATGGATGAAAGTTAAGGTTCTGTGAATAGTGCTCAGATTACATCTCCGAGGAGCTACGCTTGTCTGGTTTGTTGGAATATAATATCATGACTTATGTTTTGGCGTTCTACCAATGTCCGATTGCTCTCGGATTTTGCATCATTGCCATGGTCTCGGATATGTTTTTCGGTTGCTTATAAGATGCTAAAACAATCCTTTGCATTTGCATGTATATTATTCACTAGATGAGAGATTCTGTGATTTTTAGGATGGCTTAAATATGTAGCTATTCACGCTACTGTTCCTATCGTCCCGTAGGCCTGACGCCATCCAGTACTTGACTAGCGGCTTGCCGCCAATATTCGCGGTTGGATCAACCTGGGGCACAATCCCGTTTCCACACCTGGCATCTTTTTCCCTATGACAACGCCCAGCGTATGCTCTCACCTCTGCCATCTATGCAGTCGAAGACGGAAAAGGGGCGAGAAGCCAGCATTTCCCAGTGGTACTGGGAGCCATTGGAGCGATTTGGCAGGATGGGGTAGGTGCCTGAAGGTTGATTTGCCTGCATGTCGTTCGCTTATCTTCTATGGAATGAATTGAAATATATTGATATGGATTTGTATAAGAATCTGTGAAGGACTCCACTAAAGGTGTTGGCCTTTGATGGGGCTCGAGACGACATTGCAGCTTTCAAGAGAGCGCCGAAGCTATCGTCTCGCTTTGTGTAAGACCATTGTTTCTCCAATTCCGTAACATATAGATGCAAAACGCGTCCTTCCCTTTAGTCACCGAAACACAGTTGCTGGTAATAGCCTTCTCATTTCTCAGTCCGCCCTTCACCGTCATACGTATAAAAGCCCTGGCGGCTTTTCACACCTAATTTTCCTGCGGCAACCATCTTTCGAAGCAGTTCTCTCGGTGTTTCGGGTAGGCCGGTCCGCTCTTGGGCATAATGTTCCTCAATATCCAATACAACATCCAAACCCACTACGTCCATCTGTTCAAAAGGGCCCTTGGGCGTTTTGAGAACATCTTTATATATCGCGTCGATTTCCTCGGGAGTAGCTACCCCTTCTGCCGCTACTGAAAGGGCTTCGCGCTTGATTGCCGCCCATATCCTGTTTCAGGGAGCATGAATTCAGCTATTAAGCAAGTTGGTGAACTATGAAATTACCTGTTGTAGATATAACCAGTAGAGTTCTTCTTGACATGATACGGCGAGAAGCCGTGGTCTTTGCACTCGCTTATCAGCCGCTGGATGATAAGCGGTTTTGTTTTTGGAGAGGCCATTATTTCAATTGCTAGCTTTGGCGTCAGTGTCGAAGTTACGTTACTCACGGGACATTTCGAGGAGAAAAATAGAATGGGAAGAGAGCTTATGGCTCCTCGTTCACAGACCTGGAGTTTCTGGAGGCCAATCTGAGTTTATGTATCGTTCTGTCAGTGTGTTTGTGGTTTACAGTGCTTTTCAGGGGAATAAATTATCCTCACATGAATGCAAGCTCACAAACCGATCGGGGTGCCGAAGCTCGAGTCCCGCTACGATCTCAGTGATCGTAAAGCTACTCGAGTTGGATGCAATGATCGTCATGGGCCCTGTCAAGGCATCTATATTTTCGATGACAGCTCGTTTCAAGGGCAGCAGCTCAGGCACACACTGATGGAAGATGGGATTGTCAAGTCAGCCGAATAAAATACGTTCCGGAATGTCAAACAGGGGAGAACCTGCCTCGACAACGAGCCATGCTTCCTGCAGGGCGGCTCGAAGGTCTTCTGAGGCAAAGGTTTTAAGCTCCCCGGATAAGTACTCGCTTTTGGAGTCGGTTTTTCTGAATTGCTCGACGGCCTTTTGAGCATCCTGCAGCTGGGATAGATTCTCATCAATCAAATGGACAGGACGGCCACGAGAAGACCACTGTGAAGAAGAGTGTTAACTCATCCGTTCAACCGAGACCTGTTGAACCATGAGGGCAAGGATTACCATGTACGCAAGACGCCGTCCCTGCGTCCCTGCTCCGAGAATTGCAACGGGGGCACTCATCGTGAAGTTAAGTATGATAGATATATGTAAGAAAGAAGTCGCGGGTTCGAAAGGACTGTCGGGGGAAGACAGTCGTCGACTTCACGCCGGGGGCTCGCAGGACGGCGAGGATATCCAAGCCACCGTTTTTCGATGAGACATGGCTATCCGAGGCAAGACTATGGCTTGCCATGTTAACTTGGTTCAACCATCCATAGTTTTGTTGCTTAACTGGTTAACTAACTAGCTAAGTTAGTTACTCCACGGTTGGCAAGCTTCCAAGGTGTTTCACCGTTCCATTGTGATGTCGACTTGTTGACTTGGTGGTTTTGTACTGTTTTCAGCCTGTGAGATGCTTGGATAACTAATTTGTGCATACGATTGACCCTTGATCCTCGAACCAGGCATAGTTGCTTCGTATGTAAACTGGTGAAAATTTATCTATTAATTATTGTATACAATGAATCTATGCGATATTTATCGTATTTACCCCTTGTGGTCTATTGGTAGTATTCCTCCCTAAACACCATCATTCTCTCTCGATCTTCACCATCTGGGCCTTCCTCGATCCATGCCCTGAACATCCCACCGGCGTTAAAATCAAACGAGGTTTTCCCTTTTAGTAATGATTTGTTTCCGTCACCGTCCCACTCAACCTCGATCCCAATCATCCCTGCAGTTGCTTCACCCGTTTTGCCCCATCTATCCCCTGCCGAACGTTGCAATTCTCCTCCCGGACCACAGACAGCTGTCAAAGCTTCGTCGAGAGACACATGGCCTGACGAGAAACGCGCCATCGCTGTGGTTGTCCGGGCGGCTGCGACGCGGAGGAATGAATCTCCATTTCCTGTACCAGATACGGCTGCCGCTCGACGACGACGACGACGACGGCGCCCGGGACGATCACCGTCGTTCGACATCTCTTGGTCAGATTCATCCCAATCCTCGGCCCAGAATCCTGCCCCTAGCGTGGGGGTATCCCCGATGCGCCCGGGGAATTTATTCGTAAGCCCACCCGTACTTGTAGCAACAGCAATGTTGCCCCATTGATCTATACACACGGCGCCCACGGTGCCCTGGCTAAGATACTTATCGCCGTCATGGGACGTCAGATCCATTTCGGCATCGTGGTCAATCGTCGCCTCCACCTTTGGGCCCTGTAGCCCTCTTCGATGTTCATCCCACCTCCTCTTCGTCCAGAACCACTCATCGGGTTTGAATTCCAGGCCCCAATCGCTCGCCAATTTTTCCACGTATGGTCCGCAGAGCTGACAGTGCATGCTACCTCCGCCTCCAGCATCCTCATCATAGCCATTCCGAAGTAAAACCTCCTTCGCCAGACGGATTGGATTTCGCACGTTTCTAACCATCATAACTCCTGCACCGCGCTTTATCCTGGCTATGTCGATCTCGTCTTCGGTATCCTTCCCGTCCCCGGACGACGACGGGGGCACCACTGAGCAAACCATAAGAGACGCCTCCATTTCAATGCTGCCCGCGGTCGTAAACACACTACCACGCCCACAATTAAACAACGGGTCATCCTCCATCAAACTGACCGCATGGACCGCTGCATCAAGAGCAGAGCACCCCGCATACTCTTCCTCATCTCCACCGCAATCGACACCCCGTCCGCACGGCTTCTTGCTCCCATCGTTTTTGCCTTTCAACAGCGAATACGAAGACCGCAGGTACGCCAGCATCGACGCCCGGTATTGTTCGTATAGCTCTGGGGGGATGCGCGAACGCTCGATGTTTCCTGCACCTCCATGGAGGATAATCGCGGGTTTAAAGCGGGGTTTGGCTCCGTGGGACCGGGCCTTACGCGAAGCGGTGGGGGAGCTGGGAATAGTCATTGGGACTGGCTAGAGGGTAGAAGCAGACGCGTAGAGTTAGATACCATACAACTGTCTCGAGAGTGCACCGTCTTCTCCTTTGAACCTTTCTTCTGTTGCTCACTTCGACTCTCTCCCAAAAGTTGCAGAGACGCCCTTCGTCACGTGCTGATAAGATAGGGGCGGTGCGTGCGGGGAAGTGGCGGAAAGACGCGGCGGAAACGCGGGGAGCCGGCAAGGAAGGAAAGAAAATCATATCATATCATATCACGGTGGGCATTCATTGAGAAAATAACCTCGTAAGCAAAAACACATAGAGAAAAAAAAAATAAAGATTGGATTGTACATGAATCTGGACAGAGGCCGTGGGTACAGCATGTTGTATATCAAAAGAGCTCTAGGGAAAATATTAAGAAAGGTCATCACAACGTCAAGCAGGAAAAATATATGCGGAAATCTCAAAGAGCGTAAATGAAGAGAAGATTCAAAAGAAAAAAGAAAAAAGAAAAGAAAAAAAGAAAAAGTAGAAAATAGAAAATATTCAAAAAGAGTGCCGCCAAACGCCTGCAGCGTAGAACAACATGGGGTATAGTTATTATATCGTGACGGTGAAGACAAAACAATCATAACTTCTTAAACAGGAGCTTCAGTTGAGTCGAGGCCTTTTTCTTCTCTTTTTTTTTTTTATCCTTCTCCCCGCTTTTCGAAGACTTTGATCGTCTAGAGCTCCTAGACGTCTTGGAGTGTCGAGAAAAGCTCGATGCATCGTCGGGCTCTCGCAAGTCATTAACTCGCTGTGGGAGATATATACCCGACATAGCAGCTGCAGTGGGCGTAATGAACTCCCCATCGACCGAAGTGCCGCAGCTTTCGGCCTCGGACTCGGCCACTCCACGTCTCCACATTTCAATACGGCTGAGGGAAGCATCGATTTCCATCATCTCATCCATGTGGGCTTGCGGCTCTTCGGGAGCACTGGCCTCCTTGGCGGCTGTGATCTGTTTGATGATCTTGTAGCCGCCAAACATCACCACGGTTACTCCGATCCCGACACCAGCGGCGATCATGAACTGCGGGCTGGATAAAAGTGCAAAGACGGCTGGAGCACTGTTCCGGAGGGCAACTAGCGCCGTTGGGGCCATCTTTTTTACGAGATTGCTGATTTCTGCGAGCGTAAGAGCAACGGCGGCCATAGCGTCCGGGTTCTTTTGTAAGTGTGCGATTGTAGCCGACGCCGAATGGTGAGCACAGTCTGCCTCGATCAGTAGGCTTTTTACTTTGCCCACTAGACCATCTAGCTCGGGATCCGGCTCTTGAGGCTGAAGGCGCTCGAGGGATGACGGGTGGAATTCGCCATATGCAAGATCCATATCGATGTGCGGTTCGGAATGTGAGCGATTTGTCGGCTGTAGGTGTGGTGGTGGCTGGGCAAAACCAATTTCTCCCGATGTGTGACGGCGCGCTAGCTCTGTCTGTCCGTATCGACGCGAGGATGCAACTGAATGTAGATCCTCGTAAGGCCTACGGGGCTCTCCATGGTAGCGGCTGGAGCAATCGCCGTGTCGAACCACGGATTTTGATCTATGGCGCCTCGACGAAGTTGTCGACCGGCCGTCTTGGAACTCGAAATTAGCTATGGCTCGTCGAGCCTCCCGCTCAGCCTGTCGGGCACGCTGATCAGCGTGGATCTCTGCTTTTCGAGATCGATAGGCGGATCTGGCTTCTTTGAAGACACCGAAAAGGTGCTTGCTCTAGAGGAAGAACATGGGTTACGAAAGAGCGCGATAGACAAGTCGACTGGCAACCTTACCGAGCTAACCACCTTCCCGGACTTGTCAATGACAGCGACTGTCTCTCCTAAGGGAAGCATCTTGAAAGTAAGGCTCTGGGGATATGCTTCTTGGTAAATACGTCTCTGTTCAACAGAGCTGGTAACCTTTGACCACTATCGCCGATGCTTTCGGGAAAAAGGATGTACAGCGAGACAGATTATAGACAATAATAATTCAGCAGGCCATAATCTGGGATTTGTGGTGAAGGGAAAGGAAAGAGAAGATCTATGACCGGCGGGATGCGGTCATATAGTGGTGATGAGTTTTCACAGTGATGTCTCCGCAGCACTCCGTATTAATAACGAGAAAAGGACGTGCATGCTGACCAGCTCAACATGGGTCGGGCCCGGGAGAGACACTTTGTCGAAAGGGAAAAATGGATGTACCAATCGGTGAAGAAAGCAGTGGATGGGTGAAACTCCAGCAGCCCAAAGCCGTGGCCTCTCAGGGTGTCTGCATGCCACTAAAATAGCCCGCCTCATCATCGAGGGGGAATGCTTGCTTGGCCGAGCCGTGTTCAGGCACCGACCGGCCTGCACCCAACAATCACCACATGCCAACAAATCGCGGCTGCGATGCTCCCCCCGCCGTCAGGAAAATCGCCCCGACCAGGGAAGACTCTGGTATCTCTGCAGGGAATTGCTGCCCTATCGCCGCGCGACAAAGCAAAGCGACTAAAAAAGAACGAAAAACAAAATGGCTGGGAATCGGAACTTCGGCCAATCAGCGTATAGTGGCGCAAGATGCAAAACCAGCCACATCGTCATTACTGCACAGCCACAGATAAAGGCCGAAAAAAAAAAAAAAAAGGAAAAAAAAGAAAAAAAACAATCAGTTAACAGGATCGGGAAAAGAAAGACACAAAGCCTCGAATCAGCTCGCTCGCGACCCGCATTCTCACCATCAGACAGAGTAGTTATGACTCGGTCCTAATACAAGACAGACAAAGGGGCAGTTCTATCCTCCTCTGTACAGATAGAAATACATACGGAGTGCATCTCCTAGCTTGCTTTCATCTCTCGCCTCAGAATATCACCGTATTAACTGCGTCCACTTTATCCATGTCGATTGAGCCCACTTCTAAGCAACTCTTGGTGATGGAGTCTTGGCATCTCGCCTCATTTTATGGTGTCACCGTCAGCATAACGTTGTTAGAGAGACGAGACCGCTTAGGCCTCTTTCAGGAATGCCTCTTGTCTGGGCCCAAAACGACCTCCATCGATTATTGTCTTCCAGCACTTGTCAGTCGACCTGCTGGCGAAAATGCTTGCAGCTTTGTCTCAAACGCGTTGTCCCATCAGCGGTGGGCCGCTTAACTATCATGCAGAGCTGGCGAGGCACGCGGTAGGATTTGACCGCTCTTTCGACTCGTTGATCTCCCAGCCTCTTGTTTAAATGAACTGATGCAGAAATTAAGACTTTGGAAAGATTAGAGAGTAACATGATGTTCAAAGCGCCCTGGGATTCTCCATACACTCTGCACGGAGCCGCCCGTCCAATGAGTGCAGAAGATAGCATCTCAACACACAACTTAATTGGAACTTGGTGCTTTTTGTATTTCTTCTCCCTCACACATGCCGATCATTCATAAGGATCCATCTCCTCCATCTGCACGGGGAGGTCTGTGCAATGACTTGCTAAATACACACACGTGACGGCTGTTGGATGTTGTCATTTTCAGATCCCATCACATCATCTTGAGCTACTGTCTACAAGTAATTTAAGGAAAGGACGTTTACCATTGAAAATGGAGTGTCAGGAACTTCGAGCGCCTTTGATAAGGCTGTGCTTAGGGAAGTTGGGCAGCTGGTAAGTCAAAGCCGGCGGACTCATTCTTTATTCACAAGTAAAATCAACTGGACAGTCAGGGTGCAAAAAGGCATCATCAATATCGTGACAATAGATCACATCCGAGTGAAGAGACAAAAAACGGTGCAATTGCTTCCTCCAACTTGCTAATTCGATTCGTTTTGGGTTGTTTCAAGGCCGCCGCATGCGATGGACTCGAGCCAATGCCACGAGCCGGGTGAGTCAAGTCCAACCATTTTCTTTGCCCCGTTGAAAGCCTGAAACGTTGCTACTCGTTGTCCACTTCGTCGGGGGCAGGAAAAACAATCGTATGTATTGTACAGCACGGGGTTAGCTCCGGGGAAGCCAGTATGATCCGTGGATCGAGCTGAATCCGTTCCCGGCTTCGAGCAAAACCCTCTTTTGGCGGCTCCACTCGCGCTCCATGTTGGCGGGGCGGAAAAAAAGAGGGCGAAAAACGCTAAAGTGACTCCGCCGCCTTGGCTAAAAATCTCCGCTGCGAATTGCATCCGGTTCATCACTCCGAAGCGTACTGCATGTTGCTAACATGGATGACTTAGCGGTCGGAGTGTCGACGGACGGTGATGATGGAATCGCTACAACTCAACCTCGACAATCAATTTCATCCAACACAGCCAACTTAAAAAATGAGTGTGCCATTGGCCACCGCGTCCATGCTGTACGGTCCGTCTTAGCACTGGTCGTTGATGAAGAATGCGTCTTTGCTGGGCTGCAAGGTGGAGACATTGTGGTATGTCGAGCCACCCTTTTGATGCATTCCTTGCTGGGATGGAACCGGAGCGCTAATTAAGAATACCCAAGGCATGGTCTTTGGACACATATGAACTTGTTTTATCAGTCAAGGCTCATGAAGAGAGTGTCCTGGGTCTATATCTCTCTGATGACCGAAATCTTCTCTTCTCGAGCGGCGGAGACTCTGTGGTCAACGTAGGTTCAACTCGAACACTCCGTCGTAGAATCAGGCTGTATTGACGTACCTGCATACACGAAGGTCTGGTCGACGAGCACTTTTGAGCGCTTGTATTCAATATACACCCACCACGACGTGGGGGACATATTCACAGTTGCATATTCATCAGAGCTAAAAACTGTCTACTGTGGAGGCCAAAATACCAGTCTTCAAGTAAGTCCTCTGTCCTCGCCGGGAGTTCCGAGGTATTGAACCCTTTTCTACAGTGGTACAATCTGCTCCGGGATGCCCATCCGCCACCACAAATTGCAACGCATCCTTCATGCAGGACACACAAATTTTTTGACTCGCGAGGACCTGGCGGAATAGCTCCTCCGGCACGCACAGACAATCAGTCTCTGAATGCTCTATACGATGGTCAGACCCTTACATTTAAAAGAGACCAACACAAGCTCTTTGCTCACAATGGCTACGTGTATTGCATGCTCCTCGTTCGTGGGATTCTCGAATGCCAGTCTGGCGGAGAGGTCCTTTTTACCGGGTCTGGTGATGGATCCGTTAAGTTGTGGGAGCTCAATCAAGGAACAAACGTCGCGCCCACTGAAATCGCTTCACTGCAAAATGGTAGCGAATCCGTCCTGTCGATTGCAGTAGATGGCCCGTTCTTATACTGCGGACTCACGGGAGGGGCCATCAACATATGGAATTTGGATTCTCGCCAGATCATCAAAACAATTACCAGCCACACTGGAGATCTCTGGGCCATCGATATTATTAAAGGGATCATTGTAAGCGGCGATGGCGATGGTATCGTTAAGGTAGCCCTCTATTCCTTGGCTCGCTTTTCAAAAGTTTGCCTCTGACTGCATTATTGTTGTTAGAAATTCAACTCCCGCTTTGAAGAAATTGGGTCTTGGGCAGCACATGATGGAACAATGCTTGCGTCCGCTGCAGGTGTCGTTAAGGATAGATGGATATATGCGACTGGCGGAAACGACAATTCCGTTGCAATCTGGGACTTAACAGAGCACCCTGTAGATTCACATGAAATTCCAGCTACCAGCAACGGTATGCCTTCACCATCTTTTGCTATACCGGCAGTCTGTACTAATCGTTTCTAGACGAATTGGTTAATGCTTTGGCCAAGTTTGTTGGATTCAAAACAATTTCAGCGCGGCCCAAGTTCTCCGGAGAATGCAATCAAGGCGCCGCGTTTCTGCGTCGACACTGCATCTACTTGGGCGCTCAAACAAACATTCTCACCACCGGTCAGAATACCAATCCGATAGTGTTTGCAAAGTTCCCTGCCACCTCTCAGAATGCCTTAGATCGCACAGTCTTGTTCTACGGCCATTATGATGTTGTCGGCGCAGAAGCCAACCAGGCCAAGTGGAATACTGACCCATTTCAGCTAACATCCCTCAACGGGTTTCTGTATGGACGTGGCGTCTCGGATAATAAAGGTCCAATATTGGCTGCACTATATGCGGCAGCAGAGCTAACACAACGGAAAGAGCTGACGTGCAACGTGGTCTTCCTTATCGAGGGCGAGGAAGAATCCGGGTCTCAAGGCTTTGCAGAGACGATCAAGGAGAACAAAGACTTGATTGGACCGGTTGATTGGATACTCCTGGCAAACAGCTACTGGCTTGACGACCATATACCATGTCTAACGTATGGATTGAGAGGTGTTATCCATGCAAACCTAATCGTTGCCAGTCATCACCCTGATCTTCATAGCGGCATTGATGGAAGTTCACTACTCGATGAGCCACTCAAGGATTTGACTATGCTCCTAAGCACGATAGTCGGGCCCAAGGGCAAAATAAATCTCCCAGGATTCCAGGATCCGGTCTTGCCGCTTACCCCCATTGAGAAACAACGGTACGATGCAATCGCGGAAGCGCTTCTGCCACATCATCCAGAGATTGAAGATGTCGAATCATTCACAGCCTCGCTGATGCATCGCTGGCGCGAACCATCACTTACCATCCACTCAGTGGAAATCCCAGGCTGCAAGAGTTCCACAACTACGATATCACGCAAAGCCAAAGCTACGTTGTCCATTCGACTCGTGCCAAACCAAAACGCAGATAAAGTGGCAGAAGACTTAATCGACTACGCCCAAACCCAATTTGCCGATCTCGACTCACAAAACATTCTCACCGTTGAGATCACCGGGAAAGCAGACCCCTGGCTGGGTGATCCGGGCAACGAACTCTTCGAAACCCTCTCCCGTGCCGTCACAGCAGTATGGTCAGCGAGCACGGAGAGCAGAAAATACAACAACTACCCACCACCAATTCCGACCCGACACTTATCCAATTCGGGGCTCCCTCGCACGAATTCTTCCGATAGCCTGGCTTCTACGTCAAAAATTGAGCGAATACTCGCATCTTCGTCCTCCGTTCCAAACCATAAATCCGGCCGGAAAGCGAAATCATCACACTTATCCCCAATACCCACTTCATCCACCCTTACCACTGATCCTACCGATCCAAATCAGCCCTCGCATTCACAGGAGCACGAGACGTCTGAAAACCATCGAAAAACAGCACCACAGCTCATCAAGCCTATCTACATTCGCGAAGGAGGCTCTATTCCTACCATCCGTTTCTTGGAGAAAGAATTTAATGCGCCTGCTGCCCATTTACCTTGTGGACAGGCGAGTGATAATGCCCACTTGAGTAATGAGAGATTGCGGGTGGAAAACTTGTATCGAAGCAGGGAGATCTTCAGGAGAGTGTTTAGGGAGTTAGGTGGCAGTTTGCCGGCCCATGAAGAGTAGAATATTGAGGAAACTTTTTCTCGGGAGTTTCGGGTTGCGGGCATTTCCATACTCCGTACTCCATGCTTTTGATGTGTGGCGACATCCTAGAAATGGGCGGGGAATTAGCATCAACATCGGAGATTGAATATATCAAATTGCAAAGTACCTTTCTTTTTCCCTTTTTTTTTTTTTTTTTTTTTTTTTTTTTTTTTTTTTTCCAAGCATCCTATGAGAACAAGTCGAGAATATTGATATAAGCTGCCTCTAGGGGTGCTAAGGATATAAATAATCGCTATATATACATCACAAACAAGGTACCCCATAGCGTACAAATATCACATCTACACAATTAACAGCCAAATCACCAAATCCGTTTGGCAACCATCTCATACCTCCGTATATTTCCAATTCCATGTAACCCACCAACACTCTTCGCTGCCTTATTGGCATCTCTTTCTTCCCGTTCCTTCAACTTCCTCAACGCCTCCGGATCGTCAGCGTAGATCCACCTCCTCCTGCCCTCACCAACTTCGACCGCTCCCCAGCCTCCAACCCGACGACTGCCTTCCACGGTGTCACCGGTCGGGTCCGGCTTAGAGTTTGCGTAAATCGAGAATGAAGGCGGTGCGGAATCGGGCGGTGGACTCAGAAGCTGTGTTTGGCTAGCGAGAATCGAAGCGCCCTGAGACGATGTCTGCTTCTGTTGCTGGTGTAGCATCTCTCTTTCACTGAGCTTCATCCGCTTATATCTTGCTCGGGAGAAGCTGAGTAGAGTCATTCCCAGGATTAGTTTGACAAGGAGAAGAGTCACGTAGAGGAGTAGTACGAGGATAACTGTGAAGACGGGTATAAACGTGGCAGGTGATGGCATGGTGTGTGACATTACGGTTTCCAGGATGGTGCCTATCTGGCTTAAGGACGTTGGTAGGGGAAACGAGGAAGGTAAATTAGCCGTTGAAGTTGAGGAGTAATGGCTATGTATCGAGGAGAGGGATGTAGCATTTGATTGTGTCGTGAGAGATGGTGATTGAGGAAGCCATGCCGTTAAAAACATCTGGTATGTTTGGATCGAGACACGGAAAAAAAGACAGGAAAGAGGGATAATAGGCAACCCTAAACGACGGTTTAGGTTCTGGTCGGCAAATGCGTTTGTATAGTAGTCCTTTGTGAGGATATCGAGAAATCGACCGTATATAGAAGGTCGAATATTATTGAACTTGTTAATGTATGCGTGTTTGAGCCAGTCCACCAGCATTTCTGAACCGAGGACGACTAAGAACGGACCTAGCACATGGCCTATCGTAGGAAGGAAAGAATTCACGCTGCTAAGAGATAAGAAGATCGACGATGGAAAGAGAGTAAATGACTGCGGAAGGATAGAAGTGGCCGACATTGGAGGGCTGGCCGGAGGGGTGCTGTTAGTGCTTGGGGTCGGACTGGGTTTAGAAAATGGAGCCAGGGCGTTTCCAAATGTGACAGCCCCGGTTTCGACAAAGTTCCTTGATGCGATTATAATCAGCATCAGCCATAGCTGGAATCGCTCTACCACATCAGCACAGGTGAGCTGGAAAAGATTTTCCTTTTCAAACTTCTTGAAGACGGTAGACTTGATCTCCACAAACTGATTTGATAAAAGTAACGTGATCAAGGCATTTGAATATGAGTTGACGGCGACGTTCAGCGTCATTACTTGGTAGAAAAGCGCGGTTGAGTGTATCACGGTGTAGAACAGGGCTAAAATAAACAGCCAGAAGGGCCGGAGGACCTTACTTCGGCCGTCCGGCCCACGCTCCAGCGCTTCCCGGGAAAACAAACATTCAAGGACGTCCTGGCCAATAGCCGAGAAAAGTCGGTCCCCGACCTATGCCCTATTAGTACGTACATCTGATCTCAAGTTAGCTGCGACATACCTCCAGGACGTTATAGATAACATATAGCTTGATCGCGGCTTGACCGCGAATCCAATGATACATCCGACTGGCGTCAAAATACAAGAGAATGGTACAAGTGAATATCATGAGCAAGCCTTTGAGGATGTCTGCCTTGTCGTTCGGCTGCAAAGCAGACGGAACAGATTTCGATCTGCGGTGACGATGCATGCGGCGTTGGATATCGTCCATGCGACTCTTCACATCCTGCCCTTGGAAAGGATTGTCATCCACTGGAGATGATATAGCACTTGATGTTGCTTCCTTCACACGAAGGGAGTCATAATCACCATCGCACCCAGGCTTGCACCTCTTATCGGTGGAGCGACTGCGTTTCCTTCTTCTCCAGACCCTTCCGAGTCCTTGAACGATAAAGGAGGATATATACTGTGCTTCCAATCCCAGGTTGACAGCCCATGACTGGAAAAGAATAAGTATCGACTTGCAGAATCGCAATGGCAGTATTGTAAAGGAATAAAGCCATGAATCAAGGCACGCCAGTGTTCCGAAAAGCAGAACTTGTTCAACAGATGGAGGGAGGAGGAGAAAGTTCTGGAGACGCTCGAGCTTCACGCGAGACGACTCGTATGGGAAGTCCTTGGTGCGAGACTGGTGGATATACAAAGGGGATGGGCGTTCAGAGGATAGCTCCAGTTGGAGATAAGTAGGTATAGAGAACGGCGGGAGCGGTATTGCCGCTGGCACCGGCGACGGCGGCTCAGCAGCGGACTGTCCGGACCTAACGGGATCCTCTAAATTCAAACGACCGGGCGCACGACGATCCGTCCTAGATTTCGACATGCAATTATTCGACTGACGATCAACTCCAAAAGGAGAATGCAACCGGCGCGAGGAGGCACTCGGTGTCGATGCCATCCTTGCCGTCTGCGACCGCTGTCGGCCGAAGGAATGCTGCTCCTGCGAGCTCTGTACAGAATGATCGGAGGCCTGCTCAGCGTAACGTTGCTTCGAAGTTCCTGGTTTTCTCTGGCGAAGACTGCCACTCTCTCTTCGCACACTGCCATTCTGTGTTGCGCCTTTCCCATTTAGAGCCAGTCCCATGTTTGTATTATCTCTGTCCGTATTGAATCTATCACCATCTTCGCTCTCTGCCCAAGGGACTTGCACTGGCCCTCGTTCGCCGACGGAGGTAACTCTCGATGCTCTGTGATCGATGTCCGCAGGAACGGAACGCAAGCATAACGAGTCGGGTGCAGAGGTAAGCTCGCGGATCTTCTCAGAGGATAATTTAAGAGTCTGACTTCGCGGACGAGAACTAGGTGAGCCAACACTGTCACGAAGAGGATGCTTGGTTGATGCTGTCGTCGTCGTCGTCGTCGTCGGGGGTTCCGGACCAACCGCGGCGGAATTTTCAATCTGGACAGCTGGCCTTTCCGGGGGAGACGCAGCGCCATTCGAAGTCGTATTCTCTGCGATACTTTCGGTGCTTTTCCCCCGCAGATTCGGAGTAGCATCCGAAGAGGCATTTTCTCCGACTCGAGTGAGCGGTTGCAGCTTGTCATCGCTCAGTGGAGGGAATTCCTCCCGGCCTCTGACCGGCGCGTTCTGCATGTCCGCGCGACCCAGCTCTACGCCCTTCGCGTCCTCTCCGCCAGCCTTTATACCCAGGCCATTGATATGTCTCTCCGCTCCTCGATCAGAATCCATCACTGTGCTCGATAATTTCCTTCCTGGATCCCGATTCCAGGCGCGTCCTTGCTGCTCCACCGTGCCACCCGCACCCCTGTCGTTCTTCATATTTAGATCTGCCGCTCGCCCGGCGCCCAGACCATGTAAATCACCCTTCATCCCTCTAGAAACACCACCACTATCATCACTGTCTTCATTCCTAGAATTTTGCCTTGTAGATGCCGCCAGATTCCCCCGTAGCACCACCCCATCGACCACCTGTCCCGCTGGCAGACCAATCTCTGATGCACCATCTTCACGTCGTCCAAGACCGTCCGCACCAGAGATCCCAGACGCGGCGTTCCCACGTCGCGTACTGTGTTTGTCGCTAACGGATCGACAACGGCGACACCGATCTGTGTGCGTTGGTGTAAGTATAGCTTGTTCGGCGTGGACTCCGTTTAAGGTTTCCGGTAGCTTGACAGGAGAGGAGTTTTGGCTTGGGAGTGCCATTTGCTCTCGTATTCAGGCAGATTCACTTGTGGAAGCTTTTCATGTCGGGTATGAATGGTGGATTATTCGTAGAGTGGACATGATATGGACGCGCTGGTCGTCGTTGCTCGCCGCTTGGGGTTGTTTGCGTGAGGGAAAGTCTAACTAACTATTTAACTATGTAGTTAACTGCACTACGGAGTATATAAGGCGCGAGACGGCGAAAGGATCAATATCGTGCGTCAACCCACCAAAAAATTATGTATGCAGTTATATTAGACAACATCAGTACTCTGTAGCTAGGAGCCAGATAACTAACTATGAAGAGGCCCGCAGTCATCCCGCAAACCGGGATATATTTTTGTCAAATTCCCATGCAGATCCTGGGTACTGACTGGCATTTGTGGCGGCAATCGATCTACGCCTCTGATGGACGCGATTCAACGACTCCGTAGAACTATTTACATTTACACACCATCTTCATTACTATCCTGAGCAAATCCGCAGATAGATAACATGCTGGAGACAGGGAGAAGTTAAGCAGATTTTCTTTTAATTACATCGGAAACCATGACTCCTCATCAGCAGAGGTTACAAAAGGGGTGCGTAAATCAATCGATGGCAAGATGCGCGATAAACTAGGCATGAGTACACACGGGAAAGAAAAAAAAGGAGATGCTGAATCTGAAATCATAAAGGGGGAGCAAAAAAAAGGGGGGGTATAAGATCGAATGGCAGAAAGCAGAGAGAGCACGAGTCATACTGTGGGAAAATAAAGAAGCCTGCCTCTCCATGTTCCGCTTGGAAAGCCGTTAAAAAGAATCGGTACATAACTTTATTCGGAAAATAAAAAAAAAAAAAAAAAAGGGAAAAAAAAAGGGGGCGAGGGGAGAAAAAGAAAGGAGTCAGGTATTATTTGAACACATGCAGACGGTTATTCGCCCACACGCAAGACAGGCTTTCCCGCGTTTGAATTTTGTATGAGTCGATCGAGTCTGCATCAAAACCGGGGGCCAGGATTGTACGGCAGCGAGTCTTGAGAAGGCGGAGCAGTTCCTACTCGCCGCGGAGAGGGAAGTGCGTTTGAATATTGAGACATGGAGGATTTCCCGGAAACTTGGGTGGGAGCTGGCCATGGCCGAGTGAAATTGCGGTAAGAACTGGGCGAAGGAGTGACACTTGGTATGGGAGCGGTCACGGATCGCTCTGGGACGGTGGTAGCTGGCGGGGGTGGCCTTGCAAAACTATAGCCTTCTCGTGGAGCCGGGGACTGCGTTCTCGGAGTTGGCAGCCTTGGAGTCGGCAGGCTTGGGGGAGCCCGTCCATATGGATCCACGAAAGGGGCAATGGAAGGGGCAGGAGTTCGACGAGCCCGGCCGCCGGGAAGAGAAACGTCACTCATCGAAGCAGAGAAAGGAGTTCCGTATCGTTCAGTTGGCGATGACAAGGCTTCACTGGGCGGCGCGGTATACCCAAATCCTCCAGCGTTGTTTACGAGCGATGCAGTATCGTCAGACGTTCGAGTGCCCGGTCCGGGAGTGCTCGTGGGCAACGGTGGATTTTCCCATTTCATATCCGGCAGCGTTGGCTGACGGTCCATTCCAAATTGCCCGCCGCTGCCGGACGGGGGCGCTCTGGAGTATGGAGGCAGGGTTGTCGCCGTGGTCTGTCGAGAAAGGCCTGGCATAGGCGGCACACTTGACAGGTTGCTGCTCGCATAGTCAAAGGTGGGTAACGTCGGCTGTTGTTTGATAGTCTCGACGCCTGTCTCTAGATCCGTTCGTTTCCGATCCTGAAGAGCAAGACCCTTGGCAAGAGCTCTATCGACCTTTCTTTTGACAATGCGCTCCAGTCGCGTGTTAATTTTCCGTCGACAATATGCCGTGAGCGAACCGTCTTCACTCGGGATATGATGCCACAGAAACAGCAAGTACATGATCAGCGATAACGCTAAACTCAAAATCGACAAGACCCAGATGACGAATGTGAAAAGCATGGCGAATAAGATGGTCGCTTGGAGCTTGTCCTTCTCGGCCAGCGCCTCGACGTTGTTGAAGAACTGTACCACTGCCGGAGTCCCGTCAGAAGGAGCGTTCTCTCCTATCGGGATCAGGCGCAGCTCCATTACAGAATAAAGAGTGAATCCGTTGATAGCTTGGCGGGGTCCTTCGGCAAAGATAACTCGCAGCCAGGCTACGGCGATGGTCAGCGAGAAACTATTTCAAAACCCCCGTCGGGGCTGTGAAAAAAAGGGCGAAACTTCCTTGCACTCACATTCAAAGTTAAAGTAAGTGAACAGGGCGACGTAGTCAGCTCCTTTCTTACTTTTAGTCAATTCTGCAAAGACGAGGAACCGGCGGAAACCCTGCCCTTCGCTTCCCATTCGAGTACTTTGAACACGAACGGCGATCGGGTCAAGGTAGCTCTGGGCAACTCCGCCAGATTTAATTACGCGTATGGCACGGATCCAACGGTATGCCAGCAGGACAAAGGAGAGAATGATGCACCCGGAGAAGATCCATTTCGAAATTCCAAAGGGGATTTTTGGCTTAATCTGAGACGCCCAGCGCGAAAACGCCAACAGGTTCACAGCAGTAAAAGTGTCGACTCCATAAACGGCAAACGATTTAATGATGGTGAGGTAGAGAATGCAGTACGACAGGAACGTGAAGCAAGAGGTCGATCGGAAGTCTGTCAGAGTCTGCAACGGGGGGGGATATTAGCATTCTTGAACGGCTTGAGAGACGGCACCACTCACGATGTAGTCCCATTTCTGCTCGGCCTTGACGTGAATCAGATCATCATCGCGGTGACGGTCACCACAACAGCCCATGTTGGCCTGTTTATTTATTTATTTATTTAATTTTTTTTTTCTTTTCCTTCCTCTCAGGTATCTCTGCGGTTTGTGGGCAGGCCCGGGTGAGAGAGAAGTGTTGACGGAGAGTCACGTATCACAGGTGAGAGAGAGTAATGATCGCGAGCGACAACCGTTCGGACCAGCCGCGGGGTTGACGCGATATAGGCAGATTGCAAGGGGAAACGAGGGGAATTTCCTCAGCACCGAATGTTACTGTGTGCCGGAAAGTAACGCGAAACAGAAGAGCGGTGGTGAATAGTCGACAAGCAGAATGACTTGAAATGATCGTTTGCCGGCGACAATGTGGCCGGTCTCATTCTTGCATGTTCCAATTTGACGGGGAAAAAGAGTTTAGTGTGGAGAAAAGAGCGTCGGTTGTCGCGATGATTGACCGGGCATTGGCATCTGCAACGCTGGGGAGGATCTTGAGAGAGTGAAAGATTCCCCCAGAGCAGTCAAATCTCGCCTTGAGATAAAAGGGAGAGTGATGGTGATGGTGATGGTGACGATGATGATGTTGATGGTTGATGGTGATGATGATGGGTGTGGGACGCAGAGCGAATGGGCGATGATGTCCTCTCAAGCTCGAGTGTTCATTTCACGCACCGGATCCTCAACGTCGCAGGAGCCAAGAAAAGGGGCTGCAGCCATCCCAGCGCCCGGCGGCCAATCACTCCCCCGGTCGTTCCCCCGGCTCAGCTTGCAGGTGTATCAGACTGCCGGGGCCGGAACAAGATCGACAGGAATCTGCTGGAGTCCCGCCAACAGCATGAGCAGCGTCCACTGGGATACCGCTTTGCCCCCCAGAGTTCCAAACCTCGCACGCGCCGAGGATCAAGCTTGAAATCCAGCGTCGTCCAGCATGATTTTCTCTTAAAACTTACCACCGGAGAACGTCCCTTGCTCCCAATCTCCCCCGGCCAGCGGCGGCCAAATTGCGAATATTCACGGCAATGTGTCTCACGCACAATGAATGAAATGCCCTTTTTCAAAAAAAAAAAAAACAAAAGCAATACATGATAACAATGTCCACCCAACCTTTTGGACAATGACCGCGCATGCATGTTGCAAGACGCACGCTGTCTCAAACATCCCCCGAATCACACAGCCTGGTTACTGGTAGCCACCGGGAGGGCGCAAGTAAGCAGCCGCCAGCGCCGGGAATCTAAACCAAAAACATGTTGTCGCATCTTAATAAAGTTGTTGTTTTGAATTTCGATCTTCCCGGGTTATGTACCTAACTAACTCCGAAAGCTGAGTTTTTTTGCCTTTTTCTCCGCCAATAATTGAGGCACAAAATAGTTTCGGTTCGAGAGCGCTGTGTAAAATTCACAGCAAAGCCCGGATTTTATTTTCATGACCCGACAATATTAAGAGGATCCTTTGTGTAAGAGACCCGTATATTAAGAGGATCCTCTGTGTAAGAGACCCGTAGACCTGGCAAGTGGAAAAAAGCAGCACCGAACAGTCAAAAAAAAAAAAAAAAAAAAGGGAAAAAAAAAAAGGCCAAGCGAGATTTCATTCATCGTTTTGGCAAATACATGCACGGAGTAGTAAGACATAGAAATCAAAATCGAAGGAAAAAAAAGGCCTGCTAGAAATACATCAACAGAACAGGCCCAAAAAAATCCTGTCACTTGTCGCTTGCAGAACAGAAAAAAAGAAAAAGCAAACCCATCGATAGTCAAATCATACTCCCGAATCCAAATCCAATACCCTCCATATAGAGTACAAAAAACACCCATCAAATCCCTTTCTATCCCGGAAATCTCAAACCGTAGAGACCACCACAAAAAATTTATACGCCTGTCAAAATGTCAATCACCCCAGCAAGGGTTGTCTTTCATCCACCGCTCCATCACCTGATTTGGAGCTCGCTGGCTTCCTTTTCTTTCTTCTTCTCTTCTTCTTCGTCTTGTCTTGTTTCGTGGAACTCTGAGAAATATCAGCTTCGTTTTGACCGTCTTCGTCATCGCTATTGTGCTCGACAGCAGCATGAGGAGGTACAGGCTTCGTTTGCGTTGCAGAAGGTTGACGACTGTGCCCTTGCCCTTCTTCGCCAGATGCAGGGTGAGTGTCCGACGTTTGCAGTATGACCTTTCGAATACCGTTGCTGTCAACGACCTGTTCGGTGATGCTCCCGCTTCTTGCAGGGCCATGTGCGAGATACGGCGGGCTTAGCGGACTCGAATTAGTAGTACCACCTGCGGAGAGGGTTGGAGCCTCGCTGGGAGACAGGCAGCCTTGTCGGTAGCTTGGCCGATGCGGCGCCGGCTGCAACAGGTCACTTCGGACGTTGATGATGTCACGGTTCATAGTAGGCACGGTGTCTCTGGTGATCGAACGTCGACTGGGAGCCTCGGTGGTACTTCCGTATCTTCTCAGGGCCAGAACAGCGTCACTGGCGGATTTCCCGGCCGATTTGACTCCACCACCAGGTCCGGTGTTTCCACTGAAGCTTGTAACTTCTGACATTCTGCGCTGAGGGTCCGGTGATTGCAGCCGTGAATCCACGGCGGACACCAAGGGAGAGGAACTGCCAGGTTTGATTTTCACATTGTTATAGCGTGTCTGACGAGGTCTGCTGGCAAGGTTCGAAGGGCCCAAGTGTTTAAGGTGTTCGCGGATTTCTGGAGTGGCACCACGTTGTATAATGGCGGCATCTGGACCTTCGACAGCATCGTGTGTGCTTGATTTTCTCAGTTTGAATATCGGCGGGGGTGGAGATCCAATGTCGCCAATGGAACCTTTTCGCCGAGAAGCCTGTAAGTCGCCAGTCCCTGATGAGCTGGCGTCGGGCCCCTTGTGGCCGGTAGAGGCTGCTTCGCTGTCTCCGTTTTGCAATGCACCGAGATTGTCTGGTGGGTCTGTGACGATCTGACCTTTGGGGACGCGAGCTTTGGGAGCCGGGGCCATTCGACGGATGGCTTTGTGGACGTCGATAAAAACATCGGACTCGTCGATGATCTCCCTGCTTCACATTAGAATCGCGTATCCCTTAGGGGGGTAGTAGATTCGACTCGACACTCACTCTCCAATAAGTTCTTCAATAACATCTTCTAAAGTCACAACACCTAACGCTCCATGATCTTCACCTGGAAACTCTGACACCAACACCATGTGAGATTTTCCTTCTTGAAAAAAATTGACAATGTCTAAACAGCTAGTCTCTGCTCGGGTTTCTGGAAGTGTAGCTAGGGCAAAGTCTCGGACTTGCTTGCAATCTTCAGGGTCGTATGTGATAAGCATCTTCACCAGGAGCATGCCAACAAAGTTCTGTGGGTTGTCTGGGGAGTGTATCGGTATTCGCGAATACCCTTGCGAAAGAATGAGGTCCATCATCTTCTCATCCAAAACGGTTTCGGTAGACATTGTAAACACGTCTTCCATGGGGATCATGATACTGCCGACGGGCTTTTCTTTCAGGTCCAACACGGCGCTGATGATGGTCACTTCGTCGGAATTCAATTGTTCTCCAGCACTGCCAAGTGTTTTGTGCAAGGTAACGAGGGTTTTCAGTCCGGCTTTCTTGTAAAGGGTCCGATGGTCAACGCCGAGGAGCTTGTCGAGGAGTTTCGCGATGGGCCATGCGACCGGAGACATGATGTACATGAGGATAAGGACACAAGGTGCCATCCAAGCGCCGATAGGGAGTCCATAGCGAACACAGATGGATTGTGGGACAACTTCTCCAAAGACGACTGCAGAGAGTTAGATCGGGGGAAAAAAAAAAAAAAAAAAAAAAAAAAAAGCAAAGAAAGCAACTCGTCGAGAGTCATACCGATGAGAGCAGTACTTCCTAATACTGCCGGCCACCCGCCACCAAGTGAGCGGTCAAGGACAATTGGAAGTGTTTCGTTTGTGATGACATTGCTCAGCAGAAGCGTAACCAGGACCCAGTGTTTTCCTTTCTTCAGCAGATTCAGGACCTTCTCGGCATGCCTCTTCTCGGCGCCTTCGCCGGAGGTCTTGATCACCTGTAAATAAATCTCATCCTAGGGAGAGAGAACAAGGAAAACTGGTTAGCTTGGAGCTTTAAAGCTAACTGGGGACGGACACTGAAATTGGAATCAAGAGACTCTCTCACCTGGCCCATGAGGGCGATGGTCAGGCCTGCGAAAGCGCCACCGGCAACGACCAGAGCCGTTGCAACCCCCAAGTACAGCCAGAAACTTGGTTGATTCACGGGTTCGCCATCTTCCTGCGTCGCTAGAGCTGGAGAGAATATCGGTAATCCTGTGACGATCGGAAGCCTGGCGAGAAGTGGTAGAAGCAACTTGATCAGCCCCAGACCAAAGTACCTTCTAACCGCATGGTGATTGGAAGACATCGAAAGTCCGCTGTATCCCAGACTGGTTCAGAACAATTTCATAACCGCGGCTTGCAAAATGCTTCAAAATAAATACTGGGCGTCCTTCCTTCTTTTTTATTTATTTTTCTTTTAGATTTTCAATTGCAGGAATTTATATATCGGAGGTCGCACGTCGACACGAGAAACGAGGTTGCGGGCGATACGGGGGCGGACGGGCAGCAGGTCGACAGGAGGATTCGGGGGCTCGGATCTCAGCAGGATTGCGTAACTATAAAGAAATGTACGGAAAGGTGCAATCGAGAAAGCTGAGATGTTGCCGGAGACAGGCCGTCTAGGCGAGTCAGAATCGAGGAAGATGCCTTTTTTTTTGGAGAGGACAAAAGCCGAAGAAACGGGAGAGAGAGAGAGAGAGAGAGCAGAGAGAGTCGAGACGAAGCGCAGCGTGACAGACAAAAGTCGGGTGAGAGGCGCTGAGTCAGTCGGAGTTTAAAAACTTGTCAAACAACAACATTCTCTACAAAACTTGATCGCTCGCGAATAAAAAAAGAAAAAAGAGAGAGTCGGATCTGTGGACGAGTTAACTTGTCGGTTGCCGTGAATTGCTCAACACAAGAGGCTCCGTGAAAAAACGAAGCCCCTGGGAACACCTTCTCGACAACCACATCGGCGGAACTTTGGATCCTCATGGGCGGGATAGACCCTGGGAGGTCTTCTCCTTCTGGAGGATGCGCTGGAGCCCCTGGACCGTCAGCGGGGTCTGGGGTTCGCGGTTGTCGTTCCGTGGCTCGTACTTGGCTTTGAGATCCCTGATCTCGTTCGCGAGCCGGTCTCTCATCGTGCCCATCACCTCGGCCTCTTGCCGGAGGTTCTGGACGTCCCGTTGCAGCTTCTGGGCCCGTGCCTTCTGGGGGTCGGCGAACACGGAGCCCACTGCTTTCTTCGTGCTTTTCTCCCGGCCGACCTGGTCGAGTCGCTCCTTGAGGTCCTGCACCTCCTTGCGCAGCTCAATCTCCGTACCGGATTGCTGCTGGTGCTGGACCGTGAGCTTCTCGACCTGCGCCTCGAGCTCTGCGATCTTTCGCTTGGCGACCTCGTCGATCGAAGAGCTGAGGTCCTTCTCGGCCTTCTGGAGCCCGCGCTGAAGGTCGTCGATCTCGTTTTGCTGTTCAACGAGCTGGACTCTGTGCATCCGCACGGCGTTCGACACCGTGTTGCCAGATTCCTTCTTCGCCTTCCGCTGCTCATTGCGGAGCTCCCTGATCTCCACCTCGACTCCCTTGCACTTGGAGAACAGACCGTCGTTTTCCGCCCGGAGCCAGGCCAACAGTTGGTCCTTTTCGGACACCTGTCGAGTCAACCCTTCCAGTCTCTGCTGGAGCTGTGACCCCCGTTGACCTAGCTCGCTGTACCGGAAGTTCGCCGCACCCAGTTTGAGGTCAAACTCCTCAATGCGGGCGGTCAGCTGTTGCTTCTCTGCGGACAGACTCGCAACAGCCTGATCGTGGCCTTCCGCCAGCTGGGCCCTCTGCGCTGCCTCCTCCTTGAGAGTCGCCTCTCGCTGGAGGGCACCTGTCAGCTCCTCACGGAGCTTCTGGAGCGCAGTCTCGTTCTCGGTCCTCTGCACCATCTCCTTCTTGAGAGTCGCCTCTCGCTGAAGGGCAACCGTCAGCTCCTCGCGGAGCTTCTGAAGTGCAGTCACCTTCTCGGCGATCGTTGTCGTGAAGCCCTGGTTCATTGACTCGTTCAGGGCCCGGGATTCGGCGAGCTGCTGCTCGAGACTACCGAGCTTCTGCGCGGTGTCGTTGAGTTCCCGACGCACGGAAAGGAGCCCTTGCTTGTAACCGTCAAGCTCCTGCGTCATGCGTTCGTCGTCCACCGAGTTGGTCTCTCCAACCGTCCCTGCCTTTGCCAACTGAATGGCCTGGTCCTGTCGGGCCGCAGAATCGGCCTTCACAAACCGCGCGAGACGCTTGCACTTTCTCAGCTTTCGCTTCAAAAGCACAACATCCTGGCTGCTGCCACGATTCTGTCCCACGCGTCTGCTTAACCGGATTTCGGCTGCGTATGCCGACGCTTCCTCCAGCAGGGTCAGCAACCCGTTTCCGAGGTTACCCTGCACCTCTTCAACCGTTCTGGTCCCCCCGGTGGCAATGGCTGTGCACTTGTTCTCAATCTCACGGGTGAGAAAGAGAAGGCGCTCGCCAAGGCCCGACTCCACGAAGGTCCCAGCAAGTTGTCGAAGCGCCAGGTAGCCGTACGTGATAAGGATCCTCAGTCCCTTCTCCTGCCCCAGCTGCTGCTGCAACTGGTTAAGAGAGGTGTCATCAGACGCCTTCGACAGCTCCTCGGCCAGAGCCTGGCACTGTGAACGTTGGCTGTCGTTCACTGCCCGCAGGTCTCCGAGCTCCTTTCGCGCCGCCCCAAGCTCGATCTTCTGCTGTTGGACTGTTCTGTCCGACAGCTGAATCTGTCCCCTGAGGCGTGTAACGACGGACTCGGAGATAGCCCTGCAGCCCTCGAGTTCCCGAATTCGTGCAAGTAACTGGGCGACCTTTTCTGACAAGCCGTTGCTGTCTCCCTTCAGATCGCCAGTCGAGTCCGTCTGGGTACCGATTTCAACCTGCGTCTGGCGGCCAAAAGCAAATATCGCGACTAGAAACACGCAGAACATCGCCGTGACCGAGTAAATAAAGATTGGCAGGTAAAATTCCCAGGTCTGGAGAAAGAAACAAAATCGTTAGTCAAGCTTCCAAAAAAAAAAAAAAAAAAAAAAAAAAAGGGGGGGGGGAAGAAAGTCGGAACGGGAATACTTACTGAGGTAGCATCTTCCTGAGCTTGTGTCCACCAGGCTAGCGCGTCGAAGCCATCGATTTCCCCATCGCAAAAGTAACGAAGGTTAGGGTTCTGCTTATGATGGTCGAATGCAGACCGGGTCACGCCATAAGGGCAACCATCGAAGTCGACATCGACCGGAGTGACGATTCCGGCAATAAAGCCGGAGAGATAAGCGAACACCGGGCAACCGACGTTGACCGATGCGTAGTAGAGCGCAGCCGGCAGCTAAAGATGGTCGGATATATATCAGCATTTTTTTTTTTTTTTTCTTTTTTGTTTTGACTCTTGTTTCTCGAGGAAGCGAATATGTGAAGGTGGTTTGGAATCAACTTACAACAAGAACTGCGACGATTGCTATTTCATCGCCGAGGACCAGCAGCTCGACGAGGCGAGAGACCCAGGGGCGTAGCAGAGCTACCTTGGCCATGTTCAGGGCGAGGAGAGCAGAACCCTTTGCACCGTTCTTCGAGTATTCACTCGCAAGACTTGTCACGGCGCGAGCCATGCCGGCAACTGCGCGGATTACAGGGATCAGCAGCCCATATATGCCGGAGCATAGGCCGCCGATACAGTATGCCGACACGGCCATGAACATGACCGTGTTGAAAAGCCTGAGGCCAATCGCCTCGAAGTCCACGAAGGTCCATTCTTCGAGGGGTGTCTGCCAAAGTGGAAGGTCCACGATGGCGTGACCCCCGAAAAAGAGGATCACCAACGCAAGGGATTGAAGGAGCTCGAGAAGCCCCATCTCGTTGGATCCGAGGGAGAAGTTCTCAAGGAGAAAAAAAAAAGGGAGAGAGGTAAAAAAAAAGCTGTTAAGCTTGAGAGTGAGAGTGAGAGTGATGGCTTTATAGAAGTTGGGGAGGAGGTGAATGAGTGCTTGAGAACTTGAAGAGAAGAAAGAGAAGAAAGAAGGAAGAGGAAGAGAAAGAAAGAGAGAATTTATATGCGAGATGTTGCTAGGGAACCTCTCGCTTACAACCTAGCGCGATGTAAACAAGCTGCTGCGTACTGTGACGTGGAAACGCAAAGAAGATGGGAATTCCCGGTTTGTTTCTCCAGGCTGACGGAAATATCCAGCCAGAAGGGAATCTCCCTTTGACTTCTCTTCCTGGCGCGCCGAAATCCTACAATATATAGCTTCCGGCAGGCCCTGGCTCCGGCTCGGCGGAGCAGATGTCTACACGTCTATATAGCAGCATTAGAGGCCTTTGCTAAAATTTATTTGCCTTGACCTTCTTTTTCTACAATGTTTCTAGCAACTACAGACTAAGAGAAGGGCGGTGTTTGTTGTAGTTGTGTTTGTTTGTATGGTTAGCGGAAATTTCATGACCCCCTAAAATTAACTTTCCGCTCCGCCCCTAGTGGGCGGAACTCGCCTACCCCTTAAGCCGAAACGTGACATAAAAAAATTACAGGATGCACATTACATACAAAGCAAATCGAAATTGGCCTCGAGTCGATGCAGTGATATACCCTAATAGTAACCATCACGGCAATGCCCCCCAAACCGTAGGCATCGTTAATCGTATGCGGATACTTTCTACCGGCTGACGGAGATTTCTCCGCAAATATCAGTACATGCATGGCAACCGCTCAGTTCAATGTTTATTTCTCCTAGCACGGCGTTACGTATGTACTTGGCATAGTTACAGTACTTGTTGCCATGGAAGCTAGGCAACATCACGTACTGTACTGCCGCCGTACATCGTCACATACATGACATACGAGTCCTGTGATAGATAGGTAGTGAAGTTATGTAGGGCAAAATAGGATGTCTCTATTCCATTCAACTCTATGTAGAGTGGGATCCCCAAAAGGGGGTCATGGTATCTTCTTATAAACTAAAGAACACAAAAATTGCTGGCCGGGGTCAACATAAAACCCAGTTCTGTAGGCGGATAACATACACAAAAATCACTGGAGGCTTGAAATGGGCATCACTTATATAAATCTCCTTATCACACTGCTTCAAAGCCCAAAAAAAACAAAATCCCCCCCAGACCCCATTTTTACAATGCATGCTCAAATCTAAGGATATCCTTTAATAGTGAAGCGTCTGCTTAATGGCATCATATATTCCTGTAGTAATACGTCAGCCTTGACACCAAGAATTAAGGGAATAAGGGGGGAAGAGCTTGGTAGTAGGAAAATTGAACGTACTGGCAACATCTGGCAAGTTGAACTTCTCAAAAATCAAACCACAGTGGGTGCCCCAGCCAGTGACTCGCTTCACAGGAGCCTCCAGCCTCAAAAACGCGCCCTCCTGAATCGTAGCGGCGACCTCGGCGCCAACACCGGCATTCATCATACTCTCATGGACGACGATGGCCCGGCCAGTCTTGCGGACACTCTCGAGGACGGTCTCTCGATCCCAGGGATAGATTGCCCGGAGATCAATCAGCTCAATGCTCGCGCCAAAGTCCTTTTCGGCCTTGGCGATGGCGTCGGAGCAGAGATACATCGGTTGACCATAAGAAATGACTGTGAGATCCTTTCCTGGTTTGACAATGTCCGCCTTGTCAAGGGGCAGGTAGTATGGCTCTGTTGGCACGTATTCGACAGCAGCGCGGTAAAGGATTTTCGGCTCCATAAAGACCACTGGGTCCTTGCAGTTGAGAATCGCGTTCAACAAGAGGCCCTTGGCCTGCGTTGGGGATCTTGGGATGACAACCCGCAAGCCGGGAACGTGGGTGAACAAGGATTCCGGAGACTGAGAGTGATATCTTAAAGTAGATATTTAGCACCACATTTCTTCGGGAGGGTCTAATTTACCACATATCACCGAGAAGGGCCACTTACAGCGCACCGTGTCCAACAGCCCCGCAAGGCATTCTCACAACCAAGCCGCCGATGTTACCACCAGTGGCGCCTTCTCTAAATCGGAACTTGGCAGCCTCATTGACGAGCTGGTCAAAAGCCGGAAATACGTAATCCGCGAACTGGATCTCAGCTACGGGTTTGAATCCCTCCGCGGCGGCGCCGATACCGAACCCCACGATACCCTGCTCGGTAAGCGGGGTGTTGAACACTCTCTCAGAACCAAACTCCGTCTGCAGGTCGACGGAGCACCGGAAGACACCACCAAAGGCAACATCCTCGCCGAACAGAAGCACCCTCTCGTCGGCAGCGAGAGCGGTCCTGAGGGCGGAGTTGATGGACTGGTACAGGTTCAATCGTTTTGTGGAAGCGTTCTGGGGTAATTCTGGGTTATTTGACAGCGTGGACGATGCGTGATGGAGAAGGGGAGTCGACTTATAGTCGACGGGGAGATTGAGGCGTGCACCGGGAGCAGCTTGGGATGAGTATGCGCGGCAGGAACCTAGGGAGCCCAGGAGCCGGCGAGAGGCATGACGAGGGGAGGCCATTTGTTCCTTATTTTCTCTTTTTTCTTTCTTTTTTTTTTTTTTCAAACCTGTCTACCCAGAATTATAGATCAAAGCTATCACAGCCTCTTCTCTCACCCCGGGTGTATTCTGAATGTGTCTACGTTTCTGCGTCTGTCGGGGGAAATGGGTGGGAAGAGCTTTGGTGTCCCTCGCACCGCGCAAACGCCGCGATTAACCGCTCGGTTCTCCAGATGAGATAAGATCCGATGATAAACTCTCTCACCGCCTTTGGGGCAACGGGCACCAAACTAACAGTACTGCGCTCATACCATCGCAGAATTGCAGCAAATGATACTCCAAATAGAATCTTACTTGGACTGTCGTGAAGGAATATTCAGATCAGCAGTCATACGGCTCTTCCACAATTATCCCACAATCGCGAAGAAAGCTGTATTTATGGATGGATTCTCAATGTAATTCTGCCAGGCGCAGGTGTCCCGACGCTAGTGGTTTGCCGAAATTACGTAACCCGCTCACCAGACATTGAACTCGTTTTCGTTGTTAACCTGCAGCAACGGAAACGTCGTTTTTGACAGCGAACGCACATCAGCTTGGAAAAAAGAAATATGAGCTGTGTACTCAACATTATTTAACCTTCCAAAGTAAGCTGCTGGTCTACTCGAGTAGCTCGTCGACCCTTCTATCGCGTCTATACGTCCCTTTCTCTAGCGGCCGTAAAAATAACGTCACAAGTGCGGAATGAATCAAGACACAAAACCCCGCCATATGCATATTAACAACTCGCATCCACATGGATGGGCTGCTTCTGTTTAATCTCTTCTTTCTCCTTCTCGTCCACAGAGTTCTGAATTAGCTGGTTCTCCCACCCCCTCATGGCCTGCACAAAGAACTGCTTCTGCAAGTCTCGCGGTGCAGGCGCTTCAGCCCTCCCTCGTCGTTTCCTGGAATCAATCGTTTCCATGATGGAAGCATTGTCCCCGTCGATTTTGTGTCCGTATAAATCGTCGTCGTGGATCACGGCGGTAAACTCGTAGGTTCGGAATTCAGTGTTTGCCCAGCCGGTGCCTGGCCACACGGGCGACGGACGGAGATTAGTATAATTATTCGGGCTAGGTTTCTTCTTCGTGACTTTGTACGTGAAACGAACAAAGAAGAAAAATGATAAGTTGGTCAAGGATTCCTTTTTTTTCTCTATTTCTTCTCAAACTAGCAACTGGGGTACCGGGTAAAGGGAAACAGCACGAAAGACGACAATTCATGAAATCGCAATTGCATCTCCCAGGGGATTCGCCGGTAAGAACCAGCGATCGCAAACGGGAATTGCACACAAGGATTGGACAAGGGCAATTGCTAGGGAGGGAATAAAAATATGGCAACGTACCTGTGTACAACGTACTGTCCTGCCAATCTTCAGTAAAATAATGCAAAAAGCCACCATGGGATACCATGACGATTTCCCTTTCAGGTCTTGACTTCAGCCATTGACGCGCTTCACGCGCGCGAGCCGAAATAGCTTTGGCGTTCGGCGCCCATTTCGATTGAGTCTAACAAAACAGCAACTAACGTCAGCCTTTTTTTTTTCAAAACCTTTCAAGTACTCACCTTGTCGTTCCAGCCTTCCATCACCAGCGAAAGGTCAACTGGGAGGTCCTTTTCTCTCACTTCCTTCGCCAGCGCCTCAAGGTCACTCCCTATGTCACATGGCACGTCGCTTGTCTCCTGAACATGGGGCAAGGCAATGACTTTCAATCCTTTTTCCCTCAATGGTACTTCAAAAGCTAACAGCGCAGTGTATATTGTCCTTCTCAATGGCGAAGCGACAATTAACTCCACGTTAGCATGGAAAGGAAAATTCACAAGGAGATTCCGGCATTGAGTCTCCCCGTGGGGCGTAAGGAGGGGATCGGGGAGAATGTGATTCGCATAGTTAAGGTTGTGGAAGCCCTGTTTCCCAAAATAACATCAGCCTCCGGGGGAAGGGAAAAAAAAAAGAAAGGAGATCAAAGCGGTCTATGGAAAATATTGTAACTAGATGGAACTATACCTGGGCGTGCCGAACACAGTGCAAGACTGGCGGCATTTTCGGAGGTTGATTTGTTTAAACGGTGCGGAGATCGGAATTGCTCTTCACACAAGCACCCAAGGACGGAGAACAAATGATCGCGGATTGTGGCCCCCAAGATAAGCAATGGAACTTTGCACTCAGGTTAAAGTTGGTATAAACGATTGCTTTCGCGAAAATAAAAATGGAAACAAAAGAGCGTCTATCCTGGCTCCGACCCCCCTGAGTCGGCGGAGCGGGGTGCGGGGTCTTGTCAGGAGGCGGCAAAATATCACAGCGAGCGTTTTTGTATACGAACACTTCAACGCTAGCGATAGCTTCAGAATAAAGCCACCGTGGTTTACAAGACTATAGATGCCGGAAAAGAATGACAAACGTGGTTTCGTCGCGAGTTCATAATAATGGCTTCTCCAAACCGGTGATGACACATTTTTGAGTCAAACTCGAAAAATGAGCTCCGCCCCGCGGTCACGACGGAACGCGGGGCGGGAAGAGCGGCTCTGATTGGCCAGCCACGGCATACCAAGGGCAAAATCCTGCTGACTCATCTTATCGGCGAACTGGACGAGCGGCAAATCGGTTTGAGAGGCGAACATCAGTTGATTCAATCTACTCGAGTGCTCTGTAATATATACCACAATGCTCCATAACCCCTCACACCTCTATAGCTATTTGCATGATGCTCGTGCTTGTCAATGAAACTGCTTTAGAAAAAATAAACAAATAAATAAAGAGCACGGGGAATCAAGGTAAAGCAAAAGGACCGCAGAGCTCTCGGGCCCACCAATTAACACCCAAACCTGATCAAATGGCGCCAAACCCCTTGCAATATTCCAGAGCTCTGTCGAAGTTTTCTTCTAATGCCTGGCGTGAAGAATACTCAGGGAGTAGAAGTCTGCCAAAACACGTACCACTTGTCGGGAGTCGCTGCGGAAATGATTGTTAGCGGAGGAAAAGGCCAGTATATGATCAATCGAAGCACATACCTCGTCACCGACGCCGTTCTTCATTATGATGAATAAGAGACTAGAAACCCCCTTAACGGGCACCCGGTCACTGGCCGTGACAAACTCCAGCAGTCGACTTCTTTTCTCCTGGGGATACGTCTTGACAACGTCCCAAAAATCTCTGATTACTCGATCCTCGGGGTTGTAGCCCTCGTATCGGGTGTGCTTCTCAAGCTCATCCATGTCGATCTCTTGGATTCCTTCGACCACAGACTTCAACGCTTGAGGCGTGAAAATAGAGAGGGCCGTTCGGTCCAGGCATGTGTAGAACCCGCGAGCAAACGCCTCATATTGAGGCCGAATCGACTTATCAGTCAGCCAAAATATGTAATCGTTGACGAACTGTTCTCGGTTGGCATTAGTGACAAGTGGTGCTTCGTGTTCGGGAGGAGAGGGGACGCGTCGTTCGCGTAATTTGGACGAAGATCCTTTCAAAATTCCCGATAGACGTCCATCCCTGCGGTTCGAACGACTATCGCTAGGTGTATCTTGCAACATAGATTCGCCGTTGTCCAGCGAATCAAGGTTGTCGGCATCATCGTTGTCTGAGGACGAGGCAAACGATCTAAGCCTTTCTTTGCGCCAAGTCACGTTTCGTTCTGCAGGGGGCCATGCGTCACTTCGATCGACAGTAGTCATATCCACAGTCACAACCTTTCCAAAAGCATCAAAACTAAATTCGTACGTCCTTAAGAAAATATCGCCGACATCACCATCGCTCCACGAAAGAAGCTCGCTGAGTCCTCTTGCCAAATCTTCCCAGCCACTCCTTATATCATCAAGCTTCTTGACTTCGAAATCAAGCAACTTCATGTAGAATGCGACGGGAAAGTTCACGGGCAAGGTAATACCATTGTAAATGGCAAGAGACATCAATAAACCAGCCAACTCAAACTTATAGAGCGGCTCGAAAGAGCATGGTTGGAACCAAGACGTGTGGTCTCGATCACTCAAGGTAAACATTCCATACGCAGGGTCGAGGATTTCGGCCATGACCACGCGAAAGAGTTCTTGTTGAACACCCCCTTGATCAGCACCTTCTTCTCCCTCATCCATTCCCATTTGAACTCTGAGTGGCCGCATGAGCTCCTGCTTTTCGCGCCTCCAGAGCTGATTGAGAGTGTCCGTCAGTACGTTATCTCGCCGAACGATTAGAACGAGAAAAGACGTCACTGAGCGCTTAAGTCCCGCAAATAGGCCGATGTCATCATCTATTGCCCGGGCATGGCTAAATGCGGTTTGAGCTACATGTCGGGAGTGACCAACTGCAGTTTCGTGATATTTGGCCATCGCCGAAAAATTGAGAGCGCGAAAATACGTGACCAAAGCCGAGGGCTCAAACATAAATTGATGCGACAGAATGTGCATTGTGCGGTTGTTGGGGACAAAACTCATCCACTCAATTGGCATCCGCAAGGGATCCAGGTTGTCCCCAAGGTAAGCGGTATAAAAATCCTCTGGCACCAAACCAAGCTGGGCTCTATGGTGATACATCGATGCCAATAGCACCAAAGCGCCGCCAGCAGCGCCGGATTTCAGTATTTCGGGCTTCCCGTCCCATTCTTTTAGCAGAAGGCCCTTGAGCCATTCAACTGCAACCATCGGAATAGTTGTTTGACGTTCAGCCTCGTATACACCACATGATGAATCTAAATATCCATGCTTGGCAGAAATACATGGCTGTAGGGATGTTATGATGAGATCTACCGGGTTCCAATTCCCAAGGCTTCCTACATTTTGAATCGGGGGGCCTTTGAGTTTGGAAATCTCATGAAATGCAAGGCGAGCAGATATTGCACGAACCAGGCGATTCATCAGCCGTAGAGCTAGGTCATGCTCAAATTTATCCGTGGCCTCGGCCAGGAGGCCGGCAGTCGCTTCCGAAACCTTTCGCATCTCAAAGTCAGGTAGAACTGTTCCAGTAGAGCGTACTCGACGGATTACTTGCCATGCTTGGGCGTCCAAAGGAGGGATGGAGCTTGCCAACGCAAAAAGAGTAACAATAGCTATGTGCGCGGCATCACAGTCCGAGATATGGCTTTGAGATGCAGATGGGCTATCGCGGGAAGTCTCGCCACTCCGCAGGGAAATATTATTTGCAGTAGAGCGCCAAATAAATCGGCGATGGGTTTTAGATGTTGAAAATTCTTTTGGAGGAACAAAAAGTCCCTCCAGGCACATCCATAAGCTATGCAATGTGGCCTCCCAGGGACAAATGCTGTAGAGCTTTCGGAAAACGCCCTCTAGATTCTGTGTGTCTATATCTAAATCTGCACTGGTACTGTTGTCGCTCCGAGACGTCTCAGGGGTAATTCTGAAAGAACGCCGTAGTAGTTCTGGGCTGCTAAGAACGAAAAACAAACTTTGGGTGATAAAGGGGAAAATCTGCCGTTGACGGGGTGTAGCAAAATGCAAATTCCTAGGTTCAATGCACCCGCGCGATTCCAGATGCATCATTTCGTCTTTCCAGTTTCCCTCTTCCTCTTTGGTCTCGAACATCAGTTTCCCCAAGCTATCAACTATATCTTTTGATAGCATTGAAAGGCTTTCGATCTGTGGTTCCATGTCCGAGCCCAATTGGGCTTGACGATGCGCGTCTACATTCAGAGATGGAGAGGCGGGTGAAAGCAGCTCTGGTGGCGAACGCGGGTCAGCTGAACCCGATTGGAGGGGATCCGGTAAAATTTCAGCTTTATCGGGAGCCGGCTGTCGGTATCTTGTTTTCGTGTCCCGTTGGCTATCAGTCTGATATTCGGTCTGTTTGTACTTCTGAGAACGATGCTTCCGAGGCGGTGGTGATGGGAAGGATCGCGAAGTGGCTGTTGGTGTATTGGTCGTTGCAAGCTTCGGAGTAGATTTCCGCTCGGTCTTCGCGATGTCATCCGGCAGAGATCTCAGGGAATGTTTCCAACGGTCAAGTTCGCCAAACGAGAGGCGGTGTACCGGTTGCCCTGGAACTTTAACTTCAAGCGTTGGAGGTATAGGCGGTTGTGAGGACAAAACGCTGGGGTTCTCAGCCTGTATCCGTTCCCTTGTTATGGGTGGTTTCTGGGCCTTAGTTGACGTTTGCCTTCTTACCGGGGAGGCAGATGGATCAGCGTGGACCGGTTTATGGCCAGAGCCATCGCCTTCACCCGCCAGGGAATCGGAATCAAGGGTGTTGGAAGCCCTTTTTAATGGTAGCCACTCTATCATGCGAAGCGCGAGTGTGTCGAACAGATTCTGGGTGATAGACCTGGGATCTTTCGGGGTCTTGGGTTGTGGTATGACACCTGGGCGGTCCTGCGGGATGGGACTCTTGATGTGCTCGGGTGGATTCGAAACCTTGGGCTTGTCTGGTATTGGATCTTGGCTGTCAGGCTCCTTCAGTTGAGAGGAAATAGATTCCACGACCTTCACGGGCTGTGGTCTGCGAGGATGAGGCGAATGAGTCCGAGCTTCCCAGGCAAGTGGCGGCCAGCGCTCTGTTGCCGATGTTGTGTCTTCCTGTGCGAAGGATTCGAGGCTTCTTGCAGGCGCATTCCCACAGAGTCCCCCTTCCGGATCATCTTGGCTAGCTAGATAGCACGCAAGCGTTCGAGCACTCAGATCATTGAAATTCCGGAACGGCCTGTCTGCGGCTCTTCTTCTTCTATAGCTCAGACAGGTAGGAGTTGTACAGTTTGGTTCCTTGCACCCGTGAAGAAGCTGTGTCTTGTATCTAGAGAGCAAAACATCCGTCAGCTCGCGCAACCCAAGAGTGGTGAAGATCAAGCCCCTGTACCTCCTCACGAGAAGATTGAAATTTCGCTGGCGCTCATCCTTATTCCGGGATAATATTCTCGCGGGGTCGTTGACGATGACCGTGTTCTTGAGAATGACTTCTGGCGTCCCGGGAGGAAGCTTCGAGAAGCGGAGAGCAGCTCTGTCGTCTCCGATCGACCTATGTCCAGAATCAGAAAGGCCGCTGACAACCCCATGCAGCCTCGTCATGACGGCTCAATGGAAATCATAGTTTGAGTCTCGGTGGAAGAAAGCAGACGGGCATTGCAGTCCGTCGACCGTGCCAGGTCTCACGCCAGCTCGCCGCATCATCGTCATCCGACTGGCAGTCACGGGGGGCGGGATATTACATAACTGACTAATAACAGGAAACTAGGGCTGTGTATTGTATTGTAAGGTAGCACCACAGAAACGTCATTTTTTTGCCCGCAAATTCCAAACTTCTTGCTGATAAACTGATAAGTCAACCCTGACCAACCAACCCGCCCGCCGTACAGTACAAGAGGGCAATACTTTCCCTTCCACCCCAAATCTGCGACGGCGTGTGAGCTGGGATTTTCTCCTTCTCTGCACATACCTTGGGACAGATACATCCGCGGTACTCCTTATTGCGCCAAGATGCCTTCCTCGACCGCAGACAACCTGGGCGCTCCCACCACCCATCCGTTTACATGCAACACCTGCCAGGTAGCGTTTCGGAGCAGCGATGCCCAGAGAACGCATATGCGAAGCGACTGGCAGTAAGTAGCGCTAGGTTTTCTGTATCGCTCGGTTCCATGAGGCTAACCCCGTGCTCTGCAGCCGATACAACCTGAAGCGTCGAGTAGCATCTCTCCCTCCCTTGTCCTCAGAGACCTTTGCGGAAAAGGTTCTCAGCGTCCAGGCTTCTAATTCAGCGGCGGCGGCTAGAGCGACGTTTGAGAAGACCTGCACTGCGTGCCAGAAGACATACTATAGCGAGAATGCCTTTATAAATCATATGGGAAGTCAAAAGCACAGGTTGAAGGAAGCGCTGCTGAGGAAAAACGGAGGCCATCTGGACGACTCGGCGTCCGTGGTTAGTGGTGCATTCTCGATGGGAGAGCCTATAAATGTGCCTCCGAACGTAGTCTCTCCAGAAACTATTGTCGAAGAAGAGTTCTCGGCTATTGTCGACGGAATGAAAGACACTTCCATAGATGCCAAAGATCCTGTAGCGGGACGGCCACACCGGCCCAGCCAATCTCGATCCAGCGATTCCCGCCGACCGTCGGTTTCCACTAAGATGGAAATCGATGCAGTGACTGTCTCCCGATGCCTTTTCTGCAATTATGATTCCTCCGACATCAACGAAAACGTTTCCCATATGCATAAATCGCATGGAATGTTTATTCCTGAGCAAGACTACTTAGTTGATTTAGAGGGCCTGATCAAATACCTTCAAGCCAAGGTTATGCAAAACAACGAGTGCTTGTACTGCCATAAATTGAAGACGACGACACCTGGCATTCAGACACATATGAGAGACAAGGGTCATTGCATGATTGCATTTGAATCCGAGGAAGAGATGATTGAGATCGGCCAGTTCTACGACTTCACAAGCACATATTCGGACGATGAAGAAGAAGAATATTCAGATAGGCGTCGGGATGGCGCGGTCGATGGAAGTGCTGAGGAAGATGATGGTTGGGAAACCGATACCTCTGCCTCATCTCTTGACTCTGCCGAGTTGGGCGCTGTACCGATCGATGACTACTCACATCAGTACTCGAAGCTTTCGAAACATAAACATCACTCCCATGAGCCGCGTTCTCATCGCAATCTAGATGGTTTCCATTCACATGCACACGAGCACACGCGCGCGGTTTTTTACTCTGATTATGAGCTGCATCTGCCTTCCGGCCGGACCGCTGGCCACCGTGCCCTTGCCAAATACTACAGGCAAAACCTTCGTGATTATCCAACCCCAGAAGAGCGCTTCTCGCGGCAACAGGCCATAGAGGCAGCGCCTTCGGGTGAGACCCAAGAGGGGGAGACGGAGGCCGCCTTCCAGAACAAAAATCGGGCATTGATCTCGAGGGCAAATGGAGGTATTGGAATGCTTGGAGCTACTGCAAGTCAAAAGCAAGAAGTCCGGGCTGCGGAAGTGAGAGATCGGAAACGGGAACAAAGGTCTGAGCGCGCGTTCCAATGGGCTGTTTCAAAGAGGGCCAACCACCAGAAACACTTCAGGGTGAGTTTAAGTCTGGTCTCGGTTAACCATTTGTCACGAGTGATGCTGATGTTTCATGACAGGATCATCTTCTCCAGTGATCGCTTTACATTAGCCCTATAGGTGCTATTGTGTACTGTGACTGGGAAGTCCGATGGCCATTTGAGGAGGGTTTTACAGTTTTTTTTCTTTCTCCCTGTCTGGTTTGCAGATACTTTTGAGACATGTTTAACTTCCTCACATGTCACATCTATGCATTGATGGATATTGGCGCCATGCAGCACAAATCTGTAGCTATGATCCTCTTCCCTCAATGATGCGCTATAGGGATAAGCAATCAAAACAATGATGTTTCTCCATTGGACACCTTCATTGGACTTCGATTGAAGCTCATAAATGACCTTTTTGTGTAAAGAAAGGGTTTGGCAAACTCTGGCCAGGTTAAATCATATATATGTGAGACCGCCTGCGGACATTCCCAACAATGGTAGGAGTTGGCTTATTCTACAAGTCCATCGGTTTGTACGGGAATACTACGGAGTACAGTCCTTCGGGTTCAAACACCGTGGACTTTTATTCTCGGTGGAAAGTTAAAACAAGCATTCAATGAACGACGGCTCGTAATTTAGCGAGGCTTTCCGGTCAAGGGGGAAAAGTAACAGGCCAAAGCCCCAGGGATGAGGCGAGGTTTGGGGGTTTAAATCAATCAACTGGGGCAGCCCTTAGGATTATTAGAGCTGAGAACCTTCGACGGCTCCAAGGCAGAATCTGACTACTTCGTTTTTCCAAGGAAAGATTTATTTCTACTGGGGATCTATGTTTCCTGTCATTGTGCACTGTCCAGGGTAGTTTCAGGCTTTCACCACATGTAGGTAGTCTGTGGTACGGAAAGCATGAAGTTGTAAAATCTTCTGGATCCGCTCTGCAACGATCATTTTCTCTTGGGCGTGTTGAGGCGAGGTTGTCGGGCTTTGCGCGTCGAGGAATTACGGAGCATGGAGATGCATGTTCCGGGGCTTGTAACACCTCGCATGCTAACATGGTTTCTCACGGTTTCAAGTGTCCTCCGTGGAGAAGACCATGAGGCTTGGCCTGCTGGGTGCGAAAAAGAAGGAATGAAAAATGGTGATGCCTGGTACTCCGTACTCCGATCTTCTTTTCCTCGTCTTCATACTTGGCTTGCATGGGGCAGTGTCGCTCGCTAACCGTTCCGGGGCGAGGTACGGAGCTCCGTACCTGCAGCGTTATGGGGAAAACGGCGCCGCTAGATGTCACTAACGCAGAAGCTTCGGAGTGCAGTTATTGTGTAACCAACCAGCGGGAAAAAAAAAAAAAGGCGATGCTGTTAAAAATGGTTAAACAGCAATGCAAGTGGTGCACGGACCAAGGTGCCGTAACCTTCGCGCTCAACGGAAGAACAAAGTTACGTCAGTCGGGTGACGACGCCCCGAGAAGCGGAAGAAGCGCTCTCACTTCACAACCTCTGGTATGCCTTGACTGGTGGGCGTGACATTTAACGAGTTACTATATGTACCACATCGAGGGAACGCCAAAGCATCCAGAATCCTGATGGTCACTGGCATATGAGCCTTGGAAAACTCTCAAAATTCAATTTGAAAGCAACACACTTTGTAAGCACTTGTTGAAACAGAGCGGCCTTCAGGTTGGACTTGGATCTCCTTTTGACTGACCTCGAAGTCCCTTCCAATCCCGCAAATCTACGAAGAAGTTGAACTGCTGACACTCTACCCTCTATCCATGAGCCTCCGAATCTACTGACAAGGCTCAAGATGCTTGATGAAAACCTTCCAAGTAAGTCTCTCCCTTCCTTCTGGGAGGCTTCACTCGCTGACCAGACCTGCCACAAAGCCTTCTACATCAAGCCTTCCACGGAGAGGCCAAAGCATCAATCCACGTATTACTTTTGCCAGGGTGGTGAAGACCCATCCCCCGCCTACTCCGTTCGCCATCTCGACCCCGACCTTCCGGCCTCCAAAAACCGGTATGCTGTAGCTCTCTACGACTCGTTTTGCCCGGACATCCTCTACGGGGAAGTGCTTTTGATTCCAAAATGGACGCAGCCTTCGCTATCGCAGGAAGCCATCCGACAGAATAACGGAGTCCCTCCGCCTCCCGAGCCTATACTTCCAAATGAGTTTATTATTCAACTGTATAACCCGGATCAGCAGGTGCTGGTGCGTTATAAGCCAAAATCTTGGAACTCGCCTGCATCGTGGCAGTTTGAAATGCCCCAGCAGACATTTCGCCTGCCGTCGGGCTCTTCCTTGGACCGCACTATGAGCGACCCGGCGGCTTCGGATATAACACCTAAACTTCGGTTTAACTGGCAAAAGGATGGGAAATTCTCCAAGGACCTCACATGCTATCTTTCCGGAAAGACGGTGGACGTTGATGATGCTAGAAAGCGAAGCAAGGAGCCGGATATTACCGTTTCCATCTTCAAAGGACTCAAAGAAGTCACCTTATACGAGCCAAATCTTTACCGTGTAGAAATGGAAGATCATAAGGGCCTGGAGGTCGTTTTGCTCTTGGGTGCAGTAGTCATCCGTGATGTCTATTTCGGCCATATTAAGACCAGCTTTCATATCACAGATCCCCCAAACCCCACCACTCTAGCAGCGCCAAAAATAACCCCGCCTAAAGTTTCGGTGAACGGAACCGCTCCCCAAATAAAAGGTCAGAGTGGAGGACCTCAGCCGAACCAACAAGGTCCTCATTCCAACCCTCCACGGCAAACGACATTACCAGTACGCGAAGCACGTCCACCGCCTGCCGACCCGCGCACACAGTGGGAGATTGACGCCGAAACGAGCCGCTTAAAACAACAAGCCGAAGCTGAAGCACGAGAACGTCGACGAAAGGAAAAAGAAGCAGAAAAACAAACAAGGAAGCTTCTTGAGGCTGAAGAACGAGAAAGGAGGCGGAGAGAGGCCCAGGTGAAGGAAGAAACAGAGCGCTTAAAGAAAATATACGGCAAGGAGGACAAGAAGCTGCGGAAGCAAGTCTCTGGGCCACCAAGTGCTTCACGGCCGCCAGCTCCCCTGCCACCGGGACCGCCACAATTCAACAATGCACATTATCTGACTTCTACGCCTGCTCCGTCCTGGTTCGCTACACCTGCCAGGCCACAAACGACACAGCCGACCCCTCAGTTTCTCGCACCTCGTCCGCCTGCATCCACGGCGGGAGGACTAAGACCACCACAGCCCCAGCTAAAGGAAAGGAGGAGCATTTTCGGGTTTCGACTGGGAGACAGTAGGGATTCCGGAAACGGGTTGTCCAAGAAGAGGAGTTCTATGTTCTAGAAAGTACCGGGTACCAACGCTTTCATGGCCTTTCGGACGTCATTTTCCAGCTGTTTCTGGGGTTGGGAACTTGGTAGATGGCAGGCGATTTTGGATTCTGGGAAATTTTGGGTTGTTACGGTGTTGTTTGTTGCTTTGCATCATATTCTTTACGCTACTTTGATACCCGATATTGCATATTTTTATTTAGCTACTCGAGTTGCATGTCAATAGCTGTAACTTTTATATGCTGGAATGGCAGAAAAAGTAAAATGAGATATTAGACGTGTACGGAGTACTCCGTACCCTGTACCCGATCCCCACAGCTCTTCGAGTTTTGAAGACCAGCTTCGCCTTGCGCCTCTGTTTTCATCGATCACAAACTCTCTACGGAGTACGGAGTAACTAGTTAGCTATTCCTGGGTTGGTTTAGTTTAACTAGAAATTGGCAAGCTCAAGCTTCAACCAAACACGCCGTGTCCACATCCAAAGACGAGCAGCTCAACTCCAACCGCACAGTTCATGATGGTGCTATGCGCCTTTTAGCTTCATCCAATCTCTTCTTATCGCGTTGCACATGGTGTTGTCGCACAGCACGGCATGTGCCCCTCTATAAATACACTCTGCGGCGGGCGTCGTATATCGCTCGTCCGTGTTTGCGCGAGCACATTGAGCATGTACGCGTCGGGAACAGTGGAAGCATTACTTTGAGGTTTGTGGCCAATGCAGATAAAATACGATTCCGAGCTCCTGCGCGTTTTTCTCGTTGCTAATCCCTGTTTACTCCTTTGCTCTAGGATCCTAGAACCCCTTCCTTCTCCATCGACCAGAGGTTCGAAAGTCATTCTCTACCTGCCGCCTGGCCCAGTATTCTCTCAATTTCCATCAAACGACGGTTTTCAAGACAGTTTCACCGGCGATCAGAATGCTGTGGATTCCGCCGAACTGTTGGCCTCTGCAAGTCTGTCCACAACCGTGACAGTTAACTATCGGCTAGGTCAGAAACTAGGCGATGATGGAAAGTCAACTTTCAGATTTCCAGCCCCGATACACGATACACTTGCTGGCTTTGATTGGATATTCCAAAATATCAATCCCCCTCGGATAAATGTGTTTGGAAAGCATATTGGTGGCTCGCTGGCCTTGATGCTAGCACTTACTGAACCGCAGTCTATAGCTGCAGTAGCCGCACAAGACCCTGTATGCGATTGGGTTGGACTGGATGACTATTGTATAGTCGAATCGGATGAAAAAGGTACCTTGCCGAAACACGCGAGTTCGACTGTGCATGAGAGGGGCCTTCACGATCACAAGAAACGGGGTCGGAAGAGGAAGCCACAGAAGCCGCTGCCCGCTGATTTAGTACCCCTTCTGAAGGCGCGGAATGTTCTTTTCCATGCTCCCCAGAATTATTTCGATCCTTTCGCCTCGCCTGCGTTGTTTCTCCGAACAGCTGGGAAATACTGTCCTACCAAGTTCCCTGCTGTTTTTACCGGCCCGAACTACCCCGTTCCTTTACTCAAACCTCCCAAAGAACGAGATTTGTGGACTCTGACAGCCTCCATGCTAGAGAAAGAAGAGGCGGAGGCCGAGGAGGATGTTCCTGATTCTGCGAAACATATCGTGCGTCGCAGGAAGACTCTTACACGGTGGCCACCGCTCGGATTAGACTATGGAAGTCACCCTTCTCCGAATACCGGATATAAGGAGGCTGCATTGAACACCGTAGTTCTTCCAAATGTGAGGGTTTTCATTCATTCAAACTTATATTCAAAGGAGGCACAGACCGAGCGGCAACCTACTCTCACCGATGCTGTCGACGCACTGAGTTCACAACTTGAAACTACAACTTTATCGCCGGATGAGCAAGTTGATTCTTATCCGGAGGATAAATCTCAGTCTGCTTCAAGTCGCCGAAGTCGACATTCCTCACCCCGAGGCTCCCTCCCAGACCTAAGCAAACTGGAAGAAGAGACCGTCCTCGCGGCGCAGGGTGCTGAAATGGTCCATCTCATGCACAGCGCATGTTTCTGGGGCCGAGAAAAAGGGGTTGGAGAGAATAGAGTCACGCTAGTTCGGGTGCCATACAGTAGCACCTCGTCAACTGGGAAATTTATGGGCGATACCCAAAATGCAGACAACTTTATTGGTGGTGACGGACATGACGTACAACGCCAAAATACAGCGGCGCATGAGACGTCCGTCTCCGTCGAGGAGCAAGCTGGAGAGTGGTTTCTATCTATCCCAGAAGCAGAATGTGGGAAGGATGGATCTGAATAATTTTCCTTGCAAACGGTCAGTCTTACGTCCAAATAAGCTGCAACCCGTGGTGTGGCCTCGCTGCATTGAAAGATGCTTGCGAGCCGAGGCTGGATTCAAAAATCAACAGCCACGCACGGCCAGCTGCAAACACTCCGTCTTAGAATATTTATCATTGGATTGAGAGAAGCTCGGGTGTTTTCTATTCATCCTATTGCCCAACTTCCCTTTGCGCAAACGACTCCAGAACCCCACCGTTCACGCCATGCAGACAAAGGGAAAAAAAAAAAAGAGAGAGAGAAAAAGCTGACTCGACCTCATGTGGTACTTTGTCAATAAGAGGGAAAAGATATGTAGAACCAAAAATCGGAAGGGTAAAAGAAAGAAACATCCACGGATATAACTCGAAACGAATTTTTCTTTCAGGATGAATTGGCATTGGGAAAGGGGTCGTTCTGCCATACCCCAGTGAGACCGGATTACATGACACGACACATGAGAAGGGGAAGGAGATAATAAAAGGGAAACCGTCACACCGTAAAGATATTTTGTATGATTTTCATTATTCATTGATAATTTGTTTTGCTTCGCCCAGAGTAGGTGGAGCTGCAGGAACGGAAGTATGGGTGGACACAGGCTTGTTTCGCAGAGATACGACGTGCAGGATCATATTCGAGCATCGCGTCCAACAGCAAGAGCCCGCTTTCTTCTAGGCCCGTAACAATCTTTCGGATGTCTTCCCGTCTCCATTTGGGAAAGGAGCTTTTGAAGTCCGGGAACGAAGTCACGCCGGGCCAACTTCTCTCATCGGGAGTACCACGTATTCTATGATGATCACGTCAATGCATGTCCCTCAGAATATACTACAGTAAAACTTACCTGAAAATTTTGAATATTTCGTCAATCTCAGAATCCCCGGGGAACAGTGGTTTACGGGTGCACATCTCTGCGAAGATGGCACCAACAGACCACATATCCACCCCGGTAGAGTAGTGACGTCCGCCCAGGAGGATTTCTGGGGCTCGATACCAGAGAGTAACAACCTGATATAGGGATTAGCACGTAGCCATTTGGACGGGCACGGGGCCTCTCTAACCTCATGAGTATACGTTCTGAGCGGGACGCCAAAAGCCCTTGCTAGGCCGAAATCTGCTAGCTTAAGGTTGCCGTCGCGATCAATCAGCAAGTTTTGAGGTTTCAAGTCACGGTGCAGGACCCGATGACTGTGACAGTAACGGACGCCCTCGACCAGCTGAGCCATGAATTTCTTGACCATGGCTTCTCCAAGTCCCAATCGGCTCATATTTAAAGACCCATCTGGCAATGCCTTCCCTCGACCACCCTCGCTAACAGGAAGTGCTTCCATGTACTTCTTCAGGTCCAAGTCAAGGAACTCGAAGACGAGGTATAGTTTATGCCCATCAGCGTGGACGATGTTAAGCAGGCGAACGATATTCGGGTCGTGCATTTCCTTCAGCAGGGAGATCTCGCGAATGGCCGTGCTCGGTACTCCCTCATCTTCCGCCTCAAGGCGGATTTTTTTCAGAGCCACGATGCGACCCTGGTTGCTTAGGTCCCGAGCTTTGTAAACGACGCCATACGTGCCTGCAAAGATACACTCTCAGCTTCAGGTCCTCGCACGTATTGTTTGTGTATGAGACGCGACATGTCAGCTGTGAACGTCAAGACATACCCTCTCCGATCTTCTCGATCTTCTGGTAGTTTTCCATGATGCGATAATTCTATACACTGCAATGTTCGTAAACAAATAGTAATAGAGGAGCAATGAGTGTCGTTGCGCTATAACTTTGGGCACAAGCCTCGTCGTTGGCAGCGGGGGAATGGTCTCGTAACGGGGTCAACAGTGTCGTGTAGACGCGCGATATTGTAACCAGGCAACAGGCCTGGAAGGAAGAGGAAACGATTGGGGGAAATGGCTAAGTGTTAGTATATCCTCAACTTCACTGGAGCAGACAGGCGACAAGGGAGCCGAGATGTCATTGTCCAGGTCAGATTCTGTCAGGCTGAACGCTCCATCTTGCAGCAGCCGGGAAGTTTCTGGTTGGTGGTGGGGGACAAGGCTGCTTGTTTGGAAGTTTTGTTTCCCGGGGGAGGTCAAGTTTACAAATTTCCACAAACAAACAAAATTTCTTTTTTGTTCAGGCTCATATTGTCCTGGTTGGCCCATATTCCAAACCTTTCTACGCGTTTATTATCCAATAAAGGCCCAACACACCATCTGTGGTTCGGGAGTCGCGGCCAAAACGCAAAAATATCCAGGGATTTTCCACGAGGATACCTTTCAGGGCCCGTAACAAGGACTTTCATTCAAACATTGCCGGAAAAAGTTGGATGGGACCAACCAGCTTCCCATTCAACCAAGTACCTGAAAGACTACGCATGGTTCCTGCTGAAAAGCTCAGCCCATATGAACGGGCTCCAGCGGCCGTTCGAGAGCTGTACAGCGAATGTCGACGTTTGAGCGCCCTACAGATCGATTCGCATCCGCAAATTCTCGATTTTCAAGGCCTGAACAAGGATCGCTTACCCGATGGAATCGTCCTCAAGGAATGCATCCCTCCGTCTTCCCTTGAACTAGCGTTTGACGAGTTCATGGGTAGCAATTCCTGGAGGAAAGACCTACGTGATGGAAGAGACGGTGCTTGCGTTTATGGAATACGACAAGTTCCCGGTAGGTAGCAACCCGCTGACCGAGACGATGCTGCTACATTCCTGACTTGTCCAAGGTCTCCGGATCCTCCCGTCGCTGCTCCCGCCCGCCGTCCAGACCGAACTCCTTTCCCGCTTGCTTCACCGCGATCTATCAGACGAAAGGCACCAAACCAACCTACATCTACATTACGACGTGTCCTACCCGTCTCCGTCAAGCGATGCGAACGGAGCATCGGCACTCAAAGGTACACAGCAGGAGGCGTGCTGGTCTACAAACTCGTCATTCTTTCGAGACGATCCCACCCGGACTTTTAGCCCCAAGGATGCCACGGTACACCGTCCGCTATCGATACAAGCTGCCCTCAACAGTAAACTCCGCTGGATAACGCTTGGTGGCCAGTACAACTGGACGACCAAGGAGTATCCCCCAGGCCCTCCTCCGGCTTTCCCTTCGGACATAAGTACTCTTCTTCACAGTATATTCCCGGAAACGACTGCGGAAGCTGCCATTGTAAATCTTTATTCTCCTGGCGACACTCTTAACCCGCATAGAGATGTAAGTGAAGAGTGCGACACTGGCCTGATTAGCATCAGTCTCGGATGTCATGCGTTATTCTTGGTGGGGCACGGGAACGGGGACTCCTGTGCCGTAATCAGGCTCCGGTCTGGCGATGCGGTCTACATGACCGGCGCTTCTAGATTCGCATGGCATGCTGTCCCCAAAATCATACCATCGACCTGTCCAGACTGGCTGAAGACTTGGCCTGGTGGTGGCGATGTGCCAGACGAAGACTCCCAGCGTTGGTGGGGTTGGATGGCGGGAAAGCGAGTCAATCTTAATGTCCGGCAAATGTTTCAATCTCCCCCAACTAACCCCGCAGCCTTAGGCGAAAATGACTGACTCCATCGTCCTGTGGACACCCATCTTAGCCGCCTTTTCCAAGTTGTGGGGGTATTTCAAAGACATATCTGTATGGAGAACGGAGTACAAGACGCGTTGGGGACAGACCGCGGTAGCGTGATGCCAAGCATAATCGTCCTCCATCAATATCCGTTCTGCGTACGCTAGACGTCGTACCATCATCCACACCAGCGTGAAGCGTCGCAGGCATTCCCGCAAACCCCCAATTATGCTAGAGTTGTGTAAGCCAAGGTAATGGGAACCCGGGTGACCGAGGCGGGGAGACTATGATTAAAGGCGGTTGATTCCTCCACCCAAGTGCTCCCCACCATTCTCCCAGGTAATCATCAAAATGGCGCAAGCCCCGTTTGAAGTCGCAGCGAAAGCTAAGCGTGAATCTATACTACATCTGATTCCGGAAAAATGGCGATTGCAAGAAATCCCGTCAGCCGCTCAACAGAGGGATGTGACTGGAAGTTATATCCAACAATTCTTGACTCCACGCGAAATTGAGATCACGGAGACTGATGCCGTCGGTATCCTAGCATGTACCACTACTGGAAAATGGAATTGTGTCGAGGTGACAGAGGCATTTTGTCACCGAGCAGCTCTTGCTCATCAATTTGTATGTCAACCTTCCAAAAGTACTATGACGATCACTATGCTGATACAAGGAACTCCAGGTGAATTGCTTGCACGAGATTTTCTTTGATGCCGCACTTGAGGATGCAAAGCGGTTAGATGCCTATTTTGCTGAGCATAATCAGCCAATTGGGGCCCTCCACGGGCTACCAATCAGCTTGAAAGACCAATTCCACGTCATGGGGGTCGAAACAACTATGGGATATGTTGGCTGGATAGGAACTTTCCAGGGCATCAAGAATGACCCAAGGAGGTGTGTATTCGAGAGCGAGCTGGTCAAGGAACTCCGTGCACTTGGTGCCATTTTGCATTGCAAAACCTCCGTTCCGGCCACCCTCATGATTGGAGAAACAGTCAACAATATTATTGATTACACTTGGAACCCTGCCAATCGAAATCTCTCTTCGGGAGGAAGTTCTGGCGGTGAAGGAGCCCTGATTGCATTGCGAGGGTCTGCGGCGGGATTTGGCACCGATATTGGAGGGAGTGTCCGCATCCCGTCCGCACACAACGGTCTGTATGGTATCCGTCCGTCGGCTGGTAGAATTCCTTATGAAGGAGCTGCCAATTCTATGGATGGCCAGAATTCAATCATCTCAGTGATTGGACCTATGGCCAGGACCCCAAGTGATTTAAAGCTCATTTTTAAGGCAGTGCTAAGCCAGAAACCATGGCTTCACGATCCTATGGCAATTGAGCTTCCATGGAGGGCCGATTTGGAACGCGAAACGTTGGATTTGATAAATGGGTCTCACCAAGGTACCGGGCAACTAGCCTTCGGGATTCTTTACAACGATGGGTCGTGTACGCCACAGCCCCCTGTCGCTCGTGCGTTAAAGATCATGGCGGAGACTTTAACGCGACTCGGCCACAAGGTACATTTAGACTTAAACTCTACCAGCTTGGCAGCTCCTAGTATCATATTAACTTGCTATATTAGGTGATTGAATGGAAGCCACCAAATCATGCAAGAGGGGCCAAAATAGCGGTATGTCCTTTCAAGTTCAATGGCAAGGTCGTGGCTGACCGGGTTTTCTGTTAAAGAGCACTATATATGGGTTCGATGCCGGTGCAGACGCCCGGTACCATTTTGGCCTATCAGGAGAGAGACTCGCGCCATTTGATTATGTCTACGCCTGTAATAACCCCGAAAAAACAGCCACGGAAATTGCAGCAACGAACATTGCTAAACGTGAATTCCAGAAAGAGTACATGGAGTACTGGAACTCAACCGCATCCCAGACAGGCACGGGACGTCCGGTTGATGGTTTCATCTGTCCTGTTGCACCGTATGCGGCTCCGATGCGAAACGGATGTTATTATACTGCATATACAAGCATCGTGAATGTTCTGGATTACAGCGCTATCGCGATTCCTGTCACCAAAGCAGATCAAACGTTGGATATCATGGAGAAAGATTATTCTCCGTTTAATGAAGTGGATGGTCATGTCCATAGCAGCTGTAAGCACTCCATTATTAGCCCTGTTTTCCGCCATGGTCGCTGATTACTTCTTTTTTTCTTTTTTTTTTTTTAAAAAAAAAAGACGACCCTGAACTCTATCACGGGACACCCGTGGGGTTGCAGCTTGTCGGCAGGAGATATCAGGAGGAAAAGTTGATCGTACTAGCTGAATACATCGAAGAAGCGTTAAGAAAAGCAGGACACCCAGGCGCACCTCAGTCAAGCCTTTGAAGAACATTTGGGGTTAGGCGCCGAGGGCTGGCCAAGTAGATGGATGTGAGGGTGTAAAGTGTTTGCTTTCGATCCTATTTTCAATGAGAAGGCTGTCACCGCCGGGAGCGGTGCTGACCGAATGCCGATCCCTTACGCATGATAGAAGCAACAAGTAGCCTGACTCTCAGGTAGTTATAGAATTAACATACATACGAAGTAAAGGAGCATCATCTTCGGGGCACTCCGAGTCAAGCAGCTTGGATAATTTCTTGTGAACCAGGCCGGTTGTCCATGCAGTGCTGCAAGTCAGCTCATAAAAAGACGCTCAGGCCTGAAACCAGCCGCCAGCCACATGGGAAACATTCGTTCGAGGGGAGTTGGTTAACCCAGGGAAAAAAAAGGTTTGCTAGTCGTCCAGAGGGTTGAGCCTGTTCCATTTCTCCTCTTCACGCAGTGTCTGTTACGGGTGTGATCGTGTTCTGTTTTAATTCTCGTATCTTTTGTAAATCGGTTGCTTCGTCCACTATTGGACAAGCTACTGGAGTTTAGGGTACGGGGTACGGAGTGCATTGCGCGTAACAGGAGTTGAACCCGCACCGGACTAACCCTGCTACACTCAAACTTTGACCGGTTCAGCGACCTGAAAGTACCAAGACCCGTCCTCTCCATGAGATCTGAATAGCCACGATGAGCGATTCTGGAGCCGCTGGAAGCGATGGTGGCAAGGAAGCCAATGCGCGAGAGGACAGCAACGAAGCCAGCGCTCCGGGACAAAAGGTGACCGCAGTGAAAGACAAGAAATGCCGCTACTGTGACCAGCTGTTCACGTCCTCTTCACTGGGTCGCCACCTCGATCAGTACCTATTTAAGAAAAAACCGGACGGGATCCACGATGTCGACGAGATCCGCCGGGTTCGAAGCGGGATCACGAGACGAACGGCGCGCAATTCGAATAAGCAGGCAAGCCCGGATATCGCTGGCAAGAAACCCACACCGGACCCGCATACCATTCCTCCGTTGCAGCTGAATCCAAGAGGCGCGGGAAAGGGCTTTCGCGTGTTTTTAAATCAGCCGAGTTGGCAGGCTACGGGCGTGATAAACGACATTCCCAACTCTACCCCCGTGTCGCAACTCAAGATACCTGCGACGCCTCTTGAACGTTTGAATCAACTGACGGATTCAAACCCGGAGACCGCAAGGGCCTTGGAATTGGCGCTCCGTGAAGTGCTGGACAGTATCAAGGCTGCTACGTAAGTGCAAACTGCATGATGTCTGTCGGCTGTATCCGTTTGCCGAGAATAAAACACTTTATACTGACGATGCATTACCTCCGTTTAGAACCCGCAAAAGCTCACGGCTATCTCCCTTCGACTTTGACCTTCAGTCGCAAACGTTCCCGGCGTTATGCCTTCAAGCCCTGCCACCTCCTCCGAGCCTCTTCTCCACCCATCCCTTTGCCTCTCCAAGCTCCTTTCCCATTGAACCACCGACGCCAAACCAAAGAGATATTGTCCAGCAGGCTCTCCGGGCGCAAGTAGAGCAATGGAAATCCGATCAGCTTGGCTCTGCAATGTCAACTGCTCAACACACGTCTCAATTGCCGTCAGCATATAGTGCAGCCTCTCCCAGTAGCGACGCAGAGATGATCGAAAGAACTTCTCAACAGCATGAAGAAATCATGATGCGCCATCTGGATCTATCATTAAGGCACTGGATGGCTCTCGCTCCACATGAGCAACGAAATCTGTGGCAGCTAGAAATCACGCGCGCATTTGTAAGGGAGACAGAAAAGCGGAAAAAGTTGGAACAGCAGCTTGACAGGACACAGCAAGAGGCAAATCAGTTACGCGCGCAGGTCGAGAAACTTACTTCCTGCCAGTGGCCGAGAGAATTTGCAATTTTCCCGCCCAACCTGCTTCCACTGACCCCTGAAGTGGCACGTGAATTGGATGATAAAGAAAGCAAGCTGAATCGCGCGGACGCTTCAAGATGGGACTACGATACATTAGTTGCGAAGTGGAAGCGCGTCGTTATGCACGATAAGAGCATGGGCCGCTCGGGCGTTGGAGCTTACATGGATCCCATCACGGAAAGACAACACGCTGCGTCCGCAACTAGAAACCTTCTGCAGAAGATCCCAAACTCCAACAATAATAACTCCAATCGCTTGGGTATGCCGTCACCATCCCAGCCCAGCAACCCTGTTTCTCCGGAATCAATGAATCTGGACCGCCAACCTGGCAATCCCCCTACTCCTTACGAAACTCGAGACCCCAACGATAACAGCGAACCGTTTAGACCGGCAAAACGACAACGTTTGGGGAACCATCAGTCTCAACCTTCCTACAACGGCGATGAGTTATCAACCCAAACGCCGCCCAATTCTTCAAATCCGACGACGCGCACCTTATCCAATTCTTCTGCCCAAACGGTTCCGCCCCTAACCTATTCATACAATGCTTCAAGCCCGCTCCCTCCACCTAACAGCGCCGGAAGAGAGTCTCATTTTCCAAGCCATGCGTACCGGCCACAGAACGTTCCGTCTAGCTCCCCACATTTGAATTCTGAGCAACGACTGCACCTAGATCATCGGTCGCCTGCCGAACGGGAAGTGTCGAACGCAATGGTTAGCATGCACCATGAGTCTGTTCCACAACATCCACCGCTTCCTCCGCCTCCACCTCCCCAGAAGCACCACCCATACCCCGACGGTAATAACAGGGGCATGCCGATGAATATAAACACGTATTCTCGACCTCCGGGCGGTGTGTCTTGAGACGAGATTACACCTTACTCCTCTTTCTTCTTTCAACTAGCCCCATGCTTCATACATAGACATAGTTCTTACTCCCAGCTAATATCACTTATGGTCAAGTCACATAGGATTTCACTTCTTTTTACGATTCGACTGCAGTCAAATTTTAGACGCGATACCATCGTCGTCCCGCAAGCCCTTTTTCGATACACACCAATTTCCTTTCAATTTATTTCATATTTTATTTTATTTTATTTTTTCTTCTTCGATATTCATCTTCTGCTTTCCCCCTTGCGACTTGTATCAGCGTTCGTTCAACTTACTTCCAGGAGACTATTTATATTTCCTCAAGACGGAGTTTGTGTGCTTGTATGAGTCCCTGTATGGCATTGATTTCCGTCTTATGTCTATAACTCCTTTCATCGAAGGCAGAAATATCAGATGTACGATAAAGGGGCAAATATATATTATACCCTCATCTAAAGCAGATAAGATCCTCTATTATCCTTTTTCTATCTAGATTCATTCCCCCATATCATATCCCTTTTTGATCTCATGAAATGAACAATCATATCACATTCTAGCTTATATCATTTCCAAATATACAGCAAAATCCCTGCTTCCAAATCCAAAAAGTGAAAAAGAAAAGATAATCGACCATCGAGCTCGTCGTAGAGCAGGGGGTATCTCAACGATCCCAGAAAAGTGCACGTAGACATACAGACGTCACTTCGTTCGGGAGGTACAAAGTAAATATCATCGATCATTAACAAGCCTTATTTCGTCATTCAGAACTCGTTTTTCGTTATTTTCGCTGGTGGTCCCGTGGGGTGAGGTGGCATATCAACTCCTGTAAAAAAAATTTCGAAAGGCGGGTCGGTCGTCAAGTCGGTAGCGTTAGCCATTATCCCAGAGCGTCGTTCGTGTATTAGCAAGTGATAGAGCACACACCGTTCGCCATCTATCAATCCAAAACAATCCAACACACATTCAGCAATATTAAAGAAGTCACTTAAGCACGACCGAGCTCTTTCACTGTTCCTCCTCGTCTGCCTCCCTATTCGAAGCAAAAACAGAGACTCGATTCTGGACTGCGTATATAGCGTACCCGGCCGCTGCGAGAATAATGAAGAGAATAATAATAATAATTGCAATGGCGATGTTTTTTTTAACCATATTTCCTTTCTTTTTTTTTTTACGAGCGAATACTGCCCCGCTCTAATGAACCTTTCAAAGGTGGAACTTCTGGCTGAGCTGAACGTTCGACAAGAGTTGCGATAGAAAGAAAGGGCGGCGCGGCAAGCGACGAGACGCGGAGGTGCGTGTAGAGCTGCTCTGTACCTTGACGGACTTGGGGGAGTGAACTGCTATGTTCCCAAGCGGTAGATTGTATGGTTGATACGGAAGACCGTCCTGGATGTCGTCGTCTGCAGCGGAAAGGAAATGACAAAACCAACAAGAATGCAGGGAAAGATCTAAAAATCAAACTAATCTCTATCGCTGAGGAACGTATACAGAGAAAATTCAGATGAAAATGCGGACTTGTCTGCTCAGCTTGCTGTCGTCCCATCCGCATGCACAGGAGTACAGCGAGGTGTAAATAGCGGGGTTGTCTGGGCAACATTAGTTAATGGGGGCGGCAGAGCTCGACAGTCATCCCTCATCGACGTCTACGGCCATTCCAGGCCACTGTCTCGCAAGGCAAAAGGAAATCGACTACGATTTCATACGAAATCCCTCATTGACAGGTGAGGATTATTATTGAGAGATGCTAACCACAAGCCCTCCAGGGCCATTTTCACCCAACGGAACAGCAGGGCCGTTTCCCAAGAAATGAACACGCAATAAGCCCCTATGGCCGAAATCTTTAATATAGACTCGGATGATGTTTCCCAACAGATATTAATGCACTATGCAGAGGGTTTGCTTAGCAGATGTCGATTGCCTACTGGCTCGCCGTCACACCCTTCTAGAAACCTTTCAATCCAACGGTCAGGAGGCTCCCTTGCACAATTTCTTCTTTCCTTTGTTCCAGCTCGTCAACGTCCCAACTGGACCACACCAGTCGGTTCTTTAGGAAATCAGCTTTGGGATCCACAAGCCAGAGGCAAAACTTTGCCGGAAGGTCAACTACAACAAGGGCTGTTAGTAAGTAGAGTTTGGGAAAGGGAGCGCGGGTGAGCAATGCTAAAACAGATCCTTACCACTCTCTTGAGAGCTCTCTGTGGATGATTTTGCACTCATTTCTGTCGCAATGAGGCCTGGGTGTAAGTTGAATACACGAAGATGCGGGTGTTCTTGTTGGATGAACTCCATAAACCGAACCGTCGCTATTTTTGAAGCCGTGTATGCGGATGTCCCGGGATACGGGGGCAGATGGGCAAGATTTGATGTGATATTAATCAAAGTTGCACCCGGAGAGGCGATTTGAAGGAATGATCGGACAGTATTTGCCGGTCCCTTTACGTTGACTTCGAAGGCCGACCACCAATCGTCAAAGTCCGATTGATCAAATCGCGCTAAATCTGGCAGGTAACCGGCATTATTTATGAGGACATCGACCGCTCGAAACCTGTCCGCGATGCTTTTGAAGGTCGCATTCACCGAGGCAACGTCCGTTATATCCGTGGAATATGTTGACACAGAAGAAGTTGTGTTCCCTTGCTTCCCAAAGATTGCCTCTAGGTCGCGTTTCGTTTCGAGAAGCCTCGATTCCCGCCTCCCAAGCAAGACGATTGCCTTCGCGGAAGATTCTGCAAACGTTTTCGCAGTTGCCCTTCCAATCCCGCTACCGCCACCAGTAATCACGACTACCTTCCCAGCAGCTGCGGTTGAGTTGAGTGCCGCGTACGGCTCCCGATGGTATTTCGGCCTGAACAGTGCTGGGGAGACCTCCATGGTAAGAAGAGTCAAGGAAGAAAATTAGCCCGTTGACAGACAAGGGACTGAACGCCTATACGGGGCTCTTTATACGCCATCACTCAATCCTCGACCGGACATCAAGATGCTCACTCAGCACGTCGATTTCTCAGCAAAATCTTCCTTTGGCCACGCCGAATTGCCTATTGTAACAGACGCGGCATTCGGACTGACGCTGAAGGTTTTGCGTCTGCGGCTCGGGCCGGGTGGGTCGCTTTGTGTGACGTCATTGGCGAGCTCTGGCCCTCGGAGCGTCGGCCGAGGAGAACGCCGACAGGGATATTGGATCGCTTGCGCTGTCCGTCCTCGCAGAAGGGCATTGCAATGCGAAATCGTCAGTGAGCACGGAAAATGGTGCCGCCTCTCTTCAACGACCGATTTCGAATGCTTTGTCATTCCAGATCATATCCAGGTGGCGTTCGGGATCATGTCCGTCCAGGAATTGTCGTTGACAAATTTGTCAAGCTTCCGGGATACCCGACTAGGTTTCCTTTTCGCCTGGGGAACCATCACTTTGCTTCTTCTCAAATCGGACTCATACTACTGACCTCGAAGAAGCTCTACACAAGAGATCTTATTTTCAGGCCGATCTGACTTCGATGCAACCCTTAGTTAACGATGCAATTTGTCCTGACTAACGTATTCAAACTGCCTACTTCTACCGTCAGATACGCCAATAATTACGGAATACGGCGTCAAATGTCCCAAAGGGCGATTCAAAGACGTGTGTTATCATTACTACTATGGTTTATTAATCTACTCTATGTCTATCATCTATTAGTGGGGATAGATCGCCCGCTGGAGTACAGCTTGCCCTCTCTTTGTCCTTTCCACCTTTTCTATCTTTTCTATTTTTAAACATTCATCAGGAACTCGCATGATGCGGAATCATCAAACGGATTGCAGGTATCTAATGCACCGCCTAAATCAGCCCCTATATTTCGACACATCACGGGCGGTAGGCCCATGCTGGCGACCCATGGGCTAATCTCCCGATCTGCAAGAGAAAGACTCTCTCGAGCGATTATCCCAAGCTCAGTGTACGTGCGTCTACCAAGTGGCCAGAATTCGCTCAATGATTTAAGGGCAGCCATGCTCAATCGTATCTTTTCCCGTTCCATTTGCAATCTGCGGCCCCGAAATAGATGTTTGCACGCGGATAAGTGCGCAACAGTTGTGTTTGCGATCATACTTATAAGAAAGGGGGTACAGGTGTCAAAAGCCGTGACTACGTTCAGTAGCCTACCCACCTTTTCGATGGAACTGAGGACTCTTAATGTATGCCCGTGCGTCTCGTTGGACGGGAAAACGTGTAATCGTTCTGCTGGAGATGGCGGAGCACATCTGGACACCGATTCTATGGGGCTATAGGCTAGATCTGACAGCTCACGATGGAGATCAACAATACATCTACACCCGGGATTAGAGTTTCTAAGCCGGACGAGTCCAAGAGGCGAAGGAGAAATCACTTACGTGTGGATCAATATGTTGGCATTGAAAAGCTGCTCGTCCACAGTACCGTCGCTCCTCTTTACGTTCTTTTTCGAAGCTGGGAGGAGCGCGCACCATGCCGAAATGGCAATATCCACTTCCGCACATATGGTCCGCGTTACGCTCAGGTTTCCCGTTTTTCGACCGGAGAGGACCATATTAAGAGTTCGAGTCAAACCAATTAACTCTGCAATAGACGAAAACTCAGCATCGCCCTCTGCCATCAAGAACTCCCGCATGTCATATTCATAGAGCGTTCTCGGCGGTGGGATGGTCTCAACCTTAGGTCAGCAGAAAAATTATGTATTGGGATCTGCTATGGCTTACCCCCGATTGATAGTTGTGATCCTCACATGGTAGCGCAGTCGTTATATGCAAGCCACCAGTTTTCGTCGGAAACGAACGGGTTGTCCCCGTAATGTGGGCTTCTGTAACGTATATTTGCCACCAGGTCCTCCTCCAACTTTCTTCGAGAACTGGATCTCCTTCCCCGTGTTGGATCGCGTAGCTCTCAAGTTCCATGCCCAGCTCAATGGCAAGTTGAATGGTTTCATCCAGCAACCGGAGGCCCGTCTCGGTTTTGTTACACCAGTATGCAGCGCAGGAGTATAATAGAAGACATTGTACGTGGTATCCGGTTAAAAAGTATTCACGGCTGCGAATTGGCGCCAGGGCTCGCTGTACTTTTCGTTCTAGGGATGCAGATGACGTGGATGGATTGAATAGTGAACCGATGTATCGCATCACTAGCACCAACGCTTCAAAAGACAGCGGGTCTTTCTCCAGTCGATCCAATAGATTCTGTTTTGGGAGAACAAAGGCGTGGGCGGCGTGGAAGGTCGAATAGTATAGATCGAGCAGGTTGTCAAACGGCGAGGCCACAGGGTCGTCTATCATAGATGGAGTAGCTTGGGAATCGGATGTTACTGAACAGGGCTCCGAAAATACTATTTCCTGGCTCGGTTCGCGAATGGTGTCGATGTATTTCTTCCATTCTGGGGAGACGCTTGTTGGTTCCGAGAACACGGTCGATTCACCCTGGGGGCTATCTGCGCTTGTTGCACGGCGTCGGCCTCCGCGTTTAGATTTGACGTATGTGCACCGTCTCTTGTCCAGCTGGCACCGAGAGCACTCTGGCTGTTTGGCATCGCATCTCATATGCCGCGAACGGCATTGCATACAAGCTAGGGATACGCGATGGACTGTTTGTCTGCTCGAACAAACAGATGGAAGCGAGGAACTGCGCATGGTAAAGGCAGAATGAATGCAGTAACAAAAATAAAGAACCTAGGCAGGCCTGTTAACTGCATATTAACTGCCGGTTTTAATATTTTGAAAGGACATGGACGCCCTTATTAAAATCACAACGGGGTCCCTTGTCAGTGGTGAAAGTCGATATCGATTCATAATCGCATGTACTGGCGGCCAGGACATTCAATGCTCGCTGGCCAACGATGCTGAGCCCCGGGAGTAAACAATGCACAAGACATCCTTCGAAAGCTCGGTGCATCGATGTGCCGTGTCCGAAATCATAAAAAGCCCAGGTTGGTTCCCAAATTCTATTTTCAGACAAACAGTCCCGAACAACAATTTAGCCTACAGGGGTCCTCACAAACACATTCGTCATTGCTGAATGGCGAGGCCAAGTAGCTTCAAGGTCGCACTTTTGTTACTTAGCGTTGCAAGGGAGCGTTCCGACGAAGTGATGAGAACCACAATCATCGCCACGCTCTCAGTATCACTGTGGGATTTCTCTGAAACCCCTTCGAATTTCCACCATTTTCCATTTCTGCGTTGTGAAAGCTGAGTAATTATGAGTACAGTTTTTTTTTCTTTTTCTCCTTTTCTTTTTTTTCCCTGTCGGAGGATGCAATAGGATTAGCCACCGCTTATAAAGCCGCCCATTTAGCTATGTGTCGATGACCAAATCTGATTTTGCTTCTTGACGATGTTCACCGTATAAAGCTGGGTGTGTATTCTCCTGCCGACGCCGCCAGACCAGTCTGATCGAATACCAAGGCGGTGTCGAGGCGATCGGCGCGCCAGCTGTGGGGATAGGGCTGAGCAGGGATTCTATCCGAGTAGCAGTGTGGGAGTTAACTGGCTACTCCGTACTGGGAATTGATTCATCCAGCACAAAGGGAGAGAGAGGGGCTTAGACAGGTGATAGACAATGCAATTCCAACAAATTGCTGGTAGTCGATTGCCCAGTTCACATTTATTTCCCTGTTGTTATTCTTTGAGCCACGTTCAAGAGTTGTTACCCCAGTGCAACACAAGGATGCTAGCGACCAAAAAAAGGCAACATAAAATTGTTGGTCTTGCGAGGCACCTGTATACTTCTATACAGGTCTATTATACGAGGAAATAGGAGCACAACATCCAAGGGCACGAACAACCAGAGCATTGGGTGTTTAGCTTAACAATGACAGGGCCGAAACACAGATTTACAGTTGAAGAACCCCGATTAAAGTAATAAGGGTATTCCCAGGGTTGAAAGAGAGTCGACTGACATGAGAAGAGGAAAGGAAATGACAAAATTTCCGATAGAAACCAATTGTAAGAAGGCGCCGCAGGCATGACTGGAACAAAACTCCTGATCTATTTCAACACCTTATCCACAGTGTATCCGAAAACTATAAACCGCCCAAGAAGCGCGCGCATATTAGGGGAATCTTGGTTACCGTTCGTATGTCATTTTCTAAACCGTAGAGAGACACCACGAATTAACCTGAATCGCATATCGAAAGAAGAAAGGAAATTCATCCACGCCGAGATCTCGACGATGAACCAGGATGGTCTAAATCTGAGCTGACAGGTCTATAAGGACTGTCTTCTGCGGTGTTGGTTAAAATCTCCGAGTTGTGGTACTCACGCGTATCTCGACGGCCGAACTCATCATCAGATTCATGCTCAAGCTCGCTCGGATGTTCAGCAATGTCTTTTTGCGCTTCTTTTCTCATCGTCGTAATTTTCATGTAATTGTACGTCGCAATGCAGCAGGTCGTCACAACAAGACCCGCTACATTGATTAGAGTAAGACGGTCGTCGTACAGAATCCCCGCTGCCGCAATGGTGATGACTTCCTTGAAAATTCCACAGATACTCAATGTCACAACTGAAGAACGACGAAGAAGGGCGAATTCGGATGCGATCATGCAAAATGCAAGGGTTCCCGGGAATATCAGAACCGCCAGTGTACGCAGAGTTCCGAATTGATCTGTAAGTATTCCCAAGCCCGTCAAGATCTGGGAAGGGCCCTCGATCAAAAGTGCAAGAACGAGCAGGGAAACAAACATGATTGGAGTAAGGAAGAACAATGTCGAGAACGGGTTCGCGGTAGCGGGATGGCGAAGGAGCAGGAGCTGTGTGAGAGCCCATCTAAACCCGGAGAAAAATGCGGAGGCAATAATAAGGGAGAATCCAATGACGTTGAATGTGGCCTCGTCGGCAACCATCATCACAACTCCAACAGTCATGGTGCAGATGATCATTATTAATTTCATAGACGGGGTTTCGAGACCGAGAATGAGGGCGAAAAGGAGAACGAATCCTAGCGTGGAGGATTTACACATGGTAAGGAAGGTTAGAGAAATAAACTTCAGAGACATGTTCCCCAGACCGATATCCAACGATGTTGCCGTGCCACAGGGAACTAATCGAGTAAAGTAAAACAATCTGGTCACTACTGGACTCGTATTCGGGGCTCCGCCGGTCATCGAAGTAGTGGCCTGGGGAGCAGCGGGATTTTTGGGGCGCAATTGGGGAAAGAAATAGAGTAGAGAAGACGCAAGCGAAAATTGGACGAGCATGTGAAGACTAGTCGTAAACAGGGGATAGGAAAAGTCGAGGTGTTTCGGATCAAACATCCAGTTGTTATACTGAAAATCCCAATCGTAATCAGTAACCCGACGTTCGGCTTTGCGCAAGATGGGAGCTGAAGATGGACCAGAAATCTTACCAGCGATATGGACACCGAGAACAGATACCAAAGCAGGATAAACACCACATTAACCGCCAATCGTCTCGCCACATGTTTATCCGCCAAATGCTTCTGCGCTACCGAGAGTGTGATATCCTTTGAGTCTGCCTCTTCCCGACGCTTCTTCCGCAGCAAGCCTCTCTTCTTTCTCTGCTGCGTCGTAAGGCCCGCCTCCTCGTCGTCATTGAAATCATCGCCCGAACCTGCGTATTCCATCTCCGAACAGCTTCCCTCGTCAGTGTCCTTTGCCAATGACACCAGATCCGTGTCCTGCGCGGCCTCTCCGACGCCCTGGGTATTGCCGATTCCCGGTCCGCCGTCCTGTTTGTTCCCTCCCACCAAGGGCTCACATTCAGGCTCGGGGTGCTTAGATCGGGGGCGACGGTCAGAGGAGGAGGAGGAGGATGGAGAAGAGGAGGAAGAGGAGGAGGAGAAGGAGGACTCTCGGCGAAAGATGTTTGCAGCCAACTCTTCACTTCTCCCGGACTGAGCCTGGGGTGGATCAAGGCCCATAACTAATTGATTCAGGGACTGAGATCAAAGCAGGCTTGGCGTCATCCTAGGGGCCAGTTGTTAAATCTGTGATCCCAGGCACAAGTCAACAATCATCAAAGAAGATGGCCAGATCCAGCTGTATGGAAACAGAGGGCGTCTGTCAATTGCGGACGGTGGGAAGTGAATATGTGTTGGCTGTTGATCGTCAAACATGGGACGACAAGGAATAAGGTCAAGTGGTCTGGACCCCAAGCAGGAGCAGGATCAGGCGCCTCCTCACGGTCGACCAGCACCATCCGCTTGTCGAAACATCAAGCTCAGGTTTGGATCGCAACCGTTGATTAAAGTGCTAGTTATGATAGATTATAGTCATATCTATTAATTATTGATATGCGGCAGCATCGTGATAGACCCTGGCCGGAGTAGCTACCAGATTTTGATTCGGGCGCACAGCTATGTAGGATTATCCGGGTGCAGATAGATACATTAATACGTATGTCCAAGAATACCCCTAATATAACTTCAACATTCGTTCGTTGCCTCTCACAAGGCCGCGCGCACTTTTCTCCATAGCTACCTCCAAAGGAAACGCTTTTTCGTTCGTATGTGTCGTTCCGGAGGACAGTGGATTCTGGAGCTCAGATGACAGGTCCAGTACTACTTTGTGGGAGATTCCGAGGAATCCCAAATATACCCAGCAAAGTGATCAGAGGCCGACAGGATGAGGGCTGAGCTCCTTACAGAAAAGTTGCGTGATCCAAGTCGAACTGATCGTTGAACAAAACGGCACTTATGGGGATTGTAAAAAGCTAAAATACAGTTCAACAGCCTTTGCTCGCCTCCTGATTTCCTACTCAATGCTGTCGTATTCCTGTCCTTTCCTCCCACTGTCCCTGACATCATCCATAGGAATTCCAAGTCGAAACACCAGCGTTCTCCCATGACTGTCGAGTGCTCCATAATGTGTAAGATGGTGTAAACGATCCAAGCTATGATCGTAGCCATGGCTCCCGTAAGCCGTACCTTGGGCCGCCCTTTATCGTAAGCCCAAATAAATCATATACGCTTTAACCACCCTTTCGCTGGCTGCCAGCCGGCGCGGGTGACGAACGAACATTGCTTCTTGGGACTGCTACAGCTGCAGCGCGTAGATCTCGATCACGAGTGTTAGCGGCCGTGCCGCCGGGGCGATTTGCGTTGGGATCGGCTGTTTGTGGAGAATCAGGGAAAGCATTACGCAATTCTATCTTCTTCCGTTCCATCTCAAGCTAAAAAAAGATTGATAACATTAGCAGGGAGGATTTATGACACGGCACGGCATAACGATTGAAAGCTTCATATACGTACCACCTTTCGGACTCTAATCAAAGCCGCACTAACTCCACCATTCTCGGTCATCAAAGAGCGGCAATCCTCCACACGATACGGCTTAGAAATGATCACAGCATCCGCCACCACGATGCTCGTGTCATCCCAGCGTGCAGGCATTGTGCGGCTAAAGGCATCAAAAAGATCCTGAGCCTCCTTTGTCACTCCTTTCCCTCTCCGCTGCTCCCGTTCTTGGAGCTTGGCAACCGCGGCCGCTTCACGGTTTCGGAGAGACTTGATGTCCAGAGGATAGATGGTCGGATACGCATCAGTAAATGGAGCGGAACCATCCAGATTTGGGGCAGCTGCGGGAGACTGTGAGGGTAGGGAGAGGAGTTGGAAGCTCTGAATGCGGGCCACCGGGATAATGTGAAAGTCACCGGGCTGCGCAAGTGCTGGAGTTCCCGCGGCAATCGGAGTTGGTGGCAAGGGGGATGTATTAATTGCAATCAAGTTTGTAATAGGGCAAGCAGTGAAGAGAGTTCCCTCAAGAGTGGCAGAGGTTGGCGCGGCCGTGGTGACTCGGATGCTACGCAGAGAATCTGATGTCAGCCCTCTTCATAACCAGACCACATCGTCGGGATCCACGGAAAACATAGCATGTTATGCAGCAGCATCCTTGGTTTAATTAATAGAAGGAAACCAAGCAGAGGTGAACTCACCGAGCTCCAATAGCTCCACTGAGCGCCACCTCCAAGCTCACAGTCCCCGAAGGCCCCGGATTGGGCGTCGTGGCACCACCCGGGCCCTTCGCACCACTAGCATGGCGCTTGTTTTCTGCAGCCATGTTAGGATGTCCGGTGGACACCACTGTCTTTCGTAGCGTCACTTTGGAAGGCGGTTCTTTTTTATTAAAAAGAGGCAATCAGAGAGGGGTTTTGACCGCAGATGCTGGAGCACAAACACACTGTCGGCACAGCACCATAGAGATAACAGCTCCCAGGTTCAGAATGGGGTGGAGGAGCATATGATATATCTCCTGGGAACACACGCGCGATTGCCGTTTCGATTGCCTTGTGAATGCGCTGCGCTAAGAGTCAAGGAAATGAAGCAAGCGTCACCCGCTAACTATTAAGGCCAACCGCAAGAAAAGGAGTGACATGAAGAAGAAAAAAAAAAGTATAACAGAGAATTAAATAGGTACAGAAGAGTAGGGAAATCCAGCTCCTCAACCAAGAAGTCTGCCCAACCCAGCTCAAGAAATAAAGAAAAAAAAAAGGGCAGGCTGGTGAGGTTGTGATGCGAGAGAGATTCGGTGTGGTGTTGGAGCAGCGCGGTTAGTTAGTTAATGCTGACATTGCGACCGCTCCCGCAACACGAATTGGGCTTAGCGCCGGGGCCAGCTCGTCGCTCGTGTGTTGGCATGAAACATCATCACATGGAAGGTTAAAGGAAAAAAAAAGAAAGCCAGAGAGTAGCCCTCTTGGAACTTTGAACAATGGCATCTCCTGTTTTGTCTTACACTGTCTTTTACTCATGGAGATAAAGGAATAGAATAGTTTAACTAAAATACAGCAAATCCATCAGCGCATCCAAAAATGCGTCATTGATGTCAAGAGTTGTCATGAAACATGGCCCATTTTGAGCTTTGATCTTTGAGATTTCGAGCCTTTTATCCTGAGCTTTTCAGCCTTTTGGCGATGGCAGGTCATCTGGAATTAAACTGCAAACATGGCACAATTAGACTTGATAATTTGATGCCGAGACGTTTCCTCCTCGCCCAGTCCAGTTGACGTGGTGGTTCTGTCCTGCCGGGTATCTCTCGTTGGCACACTCAGGCTTGATTAAAAAGGTATGTGCACCAAAGTAATCACGTTGGGCCTGGAGAAGGTTCGCCGGGAGGTCGTGCGAGCGGTAGCCGTCGTAGAAGCTGAGGGCGGTCGAGAAGGCTGGAGTAGGGATTCCCCATAAGGTTGCCTTGCTGACAACATCACGCCATCCAGGTTGCGCCGTATGGATGGCCTTGTTGAAGAAGTCGTCGAACAGAAGGTTCTCTAGGTCTGGGTCGTTGCGGTACGCGTTGGTGATGTCCTTCAAGAAGACGGAGCGGATGATGCATCCTCCACGCCACATCAGTGCGATTGATGGTTTGTTCAATTTCCAGTTATACTCCTTGGCAGCCTATTGCATTTCCATTAGTACCCATGCGTTTTAGAAGGAGCCAGCACCGGGTAATACTCACATTCTGGATAAGCATGAAACCTTGTGCATAAGAAATGATCTTTGAGGCGTAAAGGGCTTGCTCCAGGTTCGCGATAAACTCCTGACGATCGCCGGAGAACTCGGGTTTAGGGCCACCGAGGATCTTGCTAGCGCGTACGCGCTCACTCTTCAAAGCGCTCAGGCAGCGAGCGAAAACAGCTTCACCGATCAAGGTCACCGGCATACCAAGGTCAAGGGCATTGATGGCCGTCCATTTGCCAGTTCCCTTCTGCCCAGCGGTATCCAGAATCTTCTCCAGCAGTGGCTTCCCATCCTCGTCGTTATAGCGTAAAACGTCACGGGTGATCTCAATCAAGAACGAGTCAAGGACGCCCTTGTTCCATTTCTCAAAAACGTCACCCATTTCTGCTGCAGTCATTCCTAGGCCTCGTTTCATGATGTCGTACGCCTGCAGCTTTTGGTCAGCCACGATGACCCATTATATCCAGGAGTCAGTATATGGTCCTCACCTCACAGATAAGTTGCATGTCGCCATATTCAATACCGTTATGGACCATCTTGACGTAGTGGCCCGCACCTTCGTCTCCGACCCAATCGCAGCATGGCTCGCCATAGCTTTTGGCAGCAATGCTCTGGAAAATGTCCTTGATATATGGCCAAGCTTCCTCGTTTCCTCCCGGCATCAAGCTAGGGCCGTAGCGGGCTCCTTCCTCACCACCCGACACGCCAGTTCCGACGAACCGGATTCCGCGCTCCTTGAGATATTTGCAACGACGATTGCTGTCGGGGAAGTGGGAATTTCCACCATCAATGATGATATCGCCAGGCTCGACGTAGGGGAGAAGGGCATCGATGAAGTCGTCAACGGGTTTACCGGCCATGACCAGCAGCATGATCCGGCGGGGCCGCTTGAGCTTTGCGCAAAATTCCTGGATGGAATGAGCTCCGACAATCGATTTGCCTTGACTTTGGTTAGAACTCGCAGTGCAAGGTAATGATGGGGCAGGCTTGGGGCGGTATACCTTTGGCTTCGTTTTCTAGAAACCGATCAACTTTCGACACTGTTCGGTTAAAGGCGACAACGGTGAAGCCATGATCGGCGGCATTCAAGATGAGGTTTTGGCCCATGACGGCCAAACCAATAAGGCCGAAGTCACCACTGGCATCATGATGCGCAGAGGCGCCGACATTGATGCCGGCCAAGCGCGCTCTGGTGTCAGCTCTCAGTCATGTAACACACAATTATCGGATAATGAATGCACTGGGTGGACTCGAAACAACTGGGCCAAAAAAAAAAAAAAAAGAAGAAGAAGAAGAAGAAGAAGAAGAAAAAAGAAGAAGCCAAAGCTACCACGACCAGAAGTGCAAAAAGTTGAATGGGGGCTTCGAGCTACGCGGAGCAGGGAAGAGTGGACTTACACTGCTTGATCAGACATGTTGATTGCGTGTCAATCGAAGTATTTCCTGGGACTATTTCTTTCTTTTCTTTTTTTCTCCCGGAGCTGCTGGTGTTCTCCTGGACAGATGTAGGTTGGGGTTCCAAGATGGTGGGAAATGGCGCGTCAACAGGCAAAAGGGCGAACGGTGGGGTTGTTGGAGATGTTGAGGTTAGTGGGATGCTCCAGCCAAGGTCTCCCGATCACGTTTCCGACAGCTTTCAACCTTACTAATGGGTGGATGACAATTGTGGGTGAGCTCTGGGCCCTGTCCGGCGTTGGATAGGTCTGGACAAAGAAAGAGATTTCTCACAGCGCAAAGAAATTAAATCAATGATTGCATTTGCGTCTTTTAAGTACTACAGAGTCTTTCACTGGCATGACACCATCTGTGTCAGTCGTGTCCTTTTGTCGCCGTGAACCAGCAACTCCCTCCTGGTCACCCGGCGAATGGGCGGGGCGGCGCCGCCTTTTTCCCTTAAGTAATGAGGGGCAGGCTCATCGGGGGTTGGAGGTTACAGGTGCGCCGGGGTCCTCATGCGAAACCTAGCCCAGGAGCCAATTGCGGCCGGATCGGACGGCCAGCATTGAAAACGAGGCTGCTTTCCCCCTGGCACGAACGCTCGCTTGCTGCACAGTCCGCCCCAGGGCTCATGCTACGCCAGCAGGCGACTGTTGTATCTCCGGCGAACGGCGAACGCTTGAACGATGATGACAGCGCGGGGGGGGAAACCGGATTAGTCACCACGAACACAGCCAGACCCGTACTAAAAGATGTGATTGGCCAGGACTCGTTATGCTGAGTCAGCCAAACTTCAACGGTGCACTAGTCCATATATAGTTAGTTAACTAGTTCATCTGTAGCATTACCTCATCCTTTGGATCACATGACCTGCTCTCCTCCGATCGAGTTTTTGTTGGCAGCCCAACGGGGCGAACGCCAGCGCGCTGCTTCTACGGCGGTAGACATAGAATTCCCGCTGAGCGTCCGAGCCTCCTCCTCCCAATATCGAGCAAGGATACCTAACTATACCCAGCAGAATCTTCTCAGCTACCTCTGCGAGCCGTCACGACTCTTGCCGGTGTGACGTCTGGTGTAGGACTCTTGCTTCGGATCTGCATCTGAGGCGTGTTTCAGGCCGGACGTGCGCAAGGTACGTGTGTCTGCTGTTATTGCACACCCACAACCAAATCTATCTGGCCTAGCGACGAGCGTTCCGTTCATCATGTCCTTTCCACCTCCTCCAGGTCTCCAACAGCCCCCTCGTCCCTCCTCCGCCCAGCCACAGCCTCACAGTTCGCTTCCTCCACGACCCCCTTCCAACCCCTATACCGCTCCCGGTACTTCTGGGCCGTCTAGCAACGCGCAGAGACCCCAGAGCCACAATGCATTCACGCGCTTTCAACCACGGTCTGTAGCTGCCTCCCAGCCCTACCGTCCCCATAGTCCTGCCACCTCCGCTCCTTATAGCTCCAGTGGCAGCTATCCAGCGCAAACCGCATCATACAACCCCAGCTATCAGTACTCTCAGACACAATATCAACAATCGCCACAGTTATATCAGCAGCAGACGAGCACCTATTACCGCCAGCAGCAGCATCAGCAGCATCAGCAACAGCAGTACGGGGGTAGCAACTACGGTCAGTCTTCTGTCTCCCAGAGAAACCAGTATCCAGGACAAGATCAGGGTCCCTATGGCTATGGGTCTGGAGGAAGAGGCGTTGGTCGCCATGGCGATACAACCATGGATCCAGAGACCGAAGCCCAAATCGCTCAATGGCAGAGCGCATACATGAGCAAGGATGAGAGTAATCAAATAGCCGCTAGTAACGGTAAGGCCGGGGTAGGGCGCAGAGATGATGCCTCATCGGCCACTGGAGCCAATACAGGCCCTCTAGGCAACATTCAGCGGCTTCAAGATGGCTCGACGATCTCCACCCCTCCCAGTGTCGCCCAGACGACTTCCACTACACCTATTCCCGGTCAACCCAATGCTCCCAACCAATCGGGACCTGGGAAAACCGTTATGCGTTCCGGTGGCGGACAGACGTGGACAGATTCCACTTTACTCGAATGGGACCCGGCTCACTTTCGTCTTTTCTGCGGAAACCTTGCTGGTGAGGTAACGGACGATTCCCTTCTCAAAGCATTCTCCAAGTATCCCTCGGTCCAGAAAGCACGTGTCATCCGAGACAAGAGAACGGAGAAGAGCAAAGGATACGGATTCGTTAGCTTTAGTGACGGCGAAGACTACTTTCGAGCTGCGAGAGAGATGCAGGGCAAATACATAGGTTCGCATCCGGTGCTGTTGAGACGAGCGATGACGGAAATCAGACCCGTGGTGGTCGGGAAAGGTGGCGCAAAGGGTCATAAAAAAGGAGGCAATACCTCTGGGAGTGGAGCAGGTGGTGGTAAGGCTTCGAAGGCAGGCGGTAAAGCCCCTGACAGTGGTATACAGAAGAAGCAAGCAAAGACAAAAGGCGGACTAAGGGTACTTGGGTAATGACGATTAGAGAAATGGTTTGATTGATATGCCGAAAATATGCTGGCTGGCGTTGATATCCCTGAAAATTCGAGCAGCTGTTGCGTTGACCACTGGCATCTGCCCAATAATGAACAACTGATGAGTGTACATCTTGGGGTGTATGTATGTAAGACCTTGCCGACAGGCTACTTCTCTTGTTCCGTTCGCTAATGAAAATAGCCGCCTTAAGACAAGTCATGTAACTATCGTCCATGAAAACTCCCCGTACCCCAATAAATGCAATTGATGGGTAGCAGCCCTCGTCAGTTTAACTATAGACTGGAAGGTAGGGTCACTGATCAGCCGAAACCCTTACGTAGTGCATTATGGATTCTCAGGAACGTGAAGCTGTACGGGAACGCGGGAGTGTATATTAGCAAATCATATATATACTCCATAAAGCTCATGCTCATACTAGCCTTTATAGGATCTGTTGGAGCTAGATGCTGTGGTAAGGAGCAAAATCTATTTCGCTACCCCTTTCTTCACCCCGTTTTGTAAAGGGGGGGTTTTTGTGTCTGAGGAAAACAGGTGATGAGTGCTCTGGTTGTCAAGGGACAAAGGAAGCATAGTAAGACATTGTGCATCCATATTTTCTATTTCATTAGATATGGTAATTGTTGTGCTCATCAATGTTTCACAGAGCAGCAACCATGGCATGTCCACAAACCGGTGTATATGTGCGTACCCAAGGGACAATTTTTTATCCCCCAAATCCAAATCCTTCAAAGCTTCAATCATCCAAAAGAGTTTTGTTGATATATACACATTATTTGCACCGTAGAACTTTCATGGAGCCCGGGCACTCATTCGTCTCACTTCCTCGAAACCATCCCCGCCAGCACACCCGCCCCGATGATAGATCCATCACTCGCCTCCCTCAGAAAAACACTTTTTCCTTCCTCCTGCGGGCCGCCTCTCATGATTAATCGATCGATGTATACCTGGCACATTTCTTTGAAATTTGGATAATGCTGGATGATACCCCCCGTATATGCGACGACCAATTCCTCGGGGCCGCTGTGCCAGCCTGATCCCGGACATATCGCTTCAGGTTGATCTTGCGGGTTCTGTCCGGTGGGTTGGGTCGACGTCGGGCTACCAGATGTCGATCCCGGTTTCTCGGAAAGTTTGATTTCGTGGTTGCATGCCAGCAAGCCGACGGAAGCTGCTGCGATAAGTGCTGCAGAGCGAGTTTGTACGGCTGATACGGTCGCACGCATGACGACGGCGGATTCGGGAGTCCAGCTCCAAGAACTGGATGTCGGGGGCGGAAGGCTGCGGGCGAGATCAGATGCGAGAGTGATGTCTGAGCGGGAAGTGGCGATGACGTCGGAGACGAGGGCGGTTGTGAGTGAGTAGGGTTCTGTTAATGTCTGTGGCAGATCTTGCTTGGATATTCCGGCGACGTTGGTGAAGTAGTCAAAGACGATGATGCGCACGAGTTCGCCGATGTAGCGTGCTCCGGTCATGTACTCGAACGGCTGGAAACCGGGACGATGGGTCTTCGAGTCGAGCTCGACGTCCCATTTTGTCACCACGCCCAGTTCCTGTAGTGGAGTTTCGGTGCCGCGGAGAGTCCATTCTGTGTTGATGATGGCTTCTGTTGCGTCTGGGTTATAAGAGCGTATCTGGCGAACTTTCGATTCGTGCAGGTCAGAGAGCTTCATGGGTACGGTGGCATTGCACCCGGCTCCGACGATGATGCCCATCGCGACACGCGTGTTCGGCAGCGATTTGACGGAGTACGCCAACGAGACCAATGTTGCAACCGTGTCGTTCGTGATGGCGACGATCTTTAACTTTGGCAGTTCGTAAATCTTTTGGCGCTTGGCTGTTGGCTCGATCAAGTCTGTTCGCCGCGTATGGCGCTCGTAGCCGGCGAGCAGCGCTTGACGCAGGTCGAGATCTTCACTGATGAAGAAGGCCTTTCCAACGGGCATCAGAGTAGCTTCGCTCAGCGATTTTTGCCTAACAGCAATATTAGCCTTCCCCGTGTGGTAGATAGACACAACACTGCAACGGGGTCGCAGCTAGGTCCATACTTCATCGGCAAGCTAAAGGACAACCCTGTCTCCAGCTCCGCCGGGAACTCCGAGCTATGCGAAGTCAGCTCATCCGCAACGACGTCTGCGATGCAGCTCCCGATCCACGAAAACAGCTCTTCGGTCGGATCCTCCTTCAGATGCTCCTCAATCCTCCACGCCTTCTCTAACGTCCTCCTCACTCGTCTCTGCCATACCTTGGGAATCGCATTGTGCGCTATGTACGATTCCGCCGTCGGCATCGACGAGGAGCCGTTGCCAGGGCTGTCTGAGGAGTCGCCCAGCAACTCGATGAAGGCGACACGCAAATTTGTCACCCCCACGTCCACGGCCAAATAGAAGCCGGTCTCCTTGCCACTGGGCAGGTGGGTTACAGGAGTAGGGAAGAAGTGGCCATCTCCGGTGCGTGCCAGGTCCCGGAAAACCTCGGACAGACGATAGGAGATATCGTAGACCTTTGCATCGTCCAACACCAGTGGGGCCAAGAAGGACTTGATTGACGGGGCGTCACTTTCACGTTGCCCTTCTAGATCCGCCATGGCCGGAAGTGGCCTGCTGAAAGCATCCAGCAGCGATTGTATAAATATATCACCAGACAGTAGCAACGCTTATCTCACCTGGGAAAAATGGGAAACCGACGAGGGAAGACGACTTGAGGCTCTTACATATGAGTAAAGAGTTAACTTTGCGGTTGCGTTGCCGACTAAGAGGTGACACTACTCCGTACTTGACTAGTAAATTTCCGATGAAGCTAACTAACTAGTTGGCGAATTGGTTAGTCAGTTTTACGTTCACTAGCAATATGCTTGTTCTGTTCTAG